GTGTGAAACCGTACGGGATAATGATTTTTATTCAATATACAGTCTCTTTAAATATTTTATTTCCCACAGGGATGAGTTCAATGTTCGTCGCATGCACACAGCAATAAAACTAAATGAGGTTATTGTAGAAAAGTCACAGGATGCCCAGTTGGTCATAATGAATTTACCTGGACCACCTAGGGAAGTGAGAGCGGAGCGTGAAAGCAATTGTAAGATCTGGAAAAAAAGCATCCTAAAACATCACCTAACTGATTTTTTTCCCCTTTCAGATATGGAATTTCTGGAGGTATTAACAGAGGGCCTTGAGAAAGTGTTAATGGTTCGTGGAGGAGGTCGAGAAGTTATAACAATTTACTCTTAAGAGCATTAATCGCTCAGTTTTATAAGAGTTCGCAACACTAGACAAGTTTAAGAATCAATCAAATTTTTAAAAGAAGGTTATTAATTTGTTATATTCAATCATATGTCCAAATATTTTATTTTTACGTAAATAAAATATCAAAAAATTGTAACAATAAGAAGGACGGGCGTTTCATTTGGTGGGAATTCATTACAGGTGGATAAATACTGGTTGCTTTGGTAACTCGGCTTGGAGACGGAGTAAACAAAAGTTAACAAATTATTTACCTAACATTCTACAAGGTAAAATCCACGTTTGTAAAAAAGATACATCTGGCAGATTGACCAACACTGCGATTCGGTGGTTTCTCCCAACTTTTGTTATTTCAACCGTAGCGAGTTGAACGTCTTTCAATGGCTTAGAGATTTCTTGGGCAAAATAAATACGATCGAAGTTCCTGAAAATACTCGAAATACGTTTCAAATACTCCGAAGATCTTCAGCAACTACGCTATTAATGAATTCGGAATCGAGAGATCTGGACTTAAGAAAGGTTTGAGCGTCGCTGTCTTGTTAGAGAGACTCTTCTGTTTATTTTGAACACGCAAGCAACTTTTTGGTATCCATACGCAGCAAACAAAAGAGTCTAAACATATGCATTTGGGTTGATCCGAAAACGAATACCATATTTATTGACCATTTTCTCTGCCACAGGGCGATGTAGAAAGACCGCACTTCGAGGCAGTTACCACATTGTCGGATTCCCAGGCGATCCGTAGCGTTGACTTTCATCCGAATGGAAAGTTGTACGCGGTGGGCTCCAACTCCAAGACCTTTCGCATCTGCCAGTACCCCCAGCTGTCCAAGCTAAGGTAATTAAAGTACGGAGCTCTCGAAGTCAGTTTAATTGTTTTTCCCCCCCATATCATTTTAAAGACATGGCCAGCAGACGACGGTGTATCCCCCATCCGTGCTCTGCAAGCGGACGAAACACCATCGGGGATCCATATACTGCACCTGCTGGTCGAGGGATGGGGAACTCATCGCCACGGGATCGAATGACAAGACCATCAAGTACATGCGGTTCAACAACGACACCAATCAGTTGGTGGGTCACGAGATGGAGCTGAACATGCACGACGGCACGGTGCGGGACATGTGCTTCCTGGACGACTCCTCCACCAAGTCCAGACTTTTGGCCAGTGGCGGGGCAGGGGATTGCAAGATCTATATCACAGACTGCGGAACTGGCACTCCCTTTCAGGCTTACAGTGGTCACTCCGGCCACATTCTATCACTCTACAGCTGGAACAATGCGATGTTTGTCTCGGGATCTCAAGTGGGTCTTGGAGAAATCTTTATAACTGGGTACATAACCCTATATAATATGATCTTTTGCAGGATCAAACGATACGTTTCTGGGATCTGCGAGTGAACGTCTCTGTAAACACCTTGGATAATGAGCGGAAAGATGGGGGACTGGAGAACTCGGCCGTAACCGCGGTCTGTGTGGATCCCACGGGCAGACTTTTGATTTCTGGACATGCCGATAGCTCTTGCATTCTGTACGACATCCGTGGCAATCGACCCATACAGCGTTTCTATCCCCACACCGCTGAAATAAGGTATGGTATAGGGATTAGACCATCTCTTTTTGTAATATCACCCAAATTTATTACAGGTGCGTTCGCTTTTCCCCATCCGCCTACTATATGCTGACTTGCAGCTACGATAATTCGATCCGGCTGACGGATCTGCAGGGAGATCTGGCCCACGAACTATCCTCCGTGGTGGTGGCGGAGCACAAGGACAAGGCCATCACCATCCGATGGCATCCGACCGAATTCTCCTTCATCTCAACGTCCGCGGACAAGACGGCCACTTTGTGGGCCTTACCGCCTTCATAAAGGCCACATATCATTCCACTTATAACGGCTTTAACTTCGTTGTCAATATTGTATTTCTGCGGAATAGTTCAGACTGATCTAATTTATTAAATAAATCGCATTCCAAGAAAGTATATGAGTGATTCTTTGTGAAACGTATCGAGATTTTCTTCATGGTCTCAAAACGATATCTAATTTTTATGACACTATCACACCATTTAAAAAGGATTTTTAAAAAAGTTTCAAAAAAATCCATTTGACAGAAGCGAAGATATAGCGTTGCTATTTTTTTGTTTAATTCATTTATAATTTTAAATTACGCAGGATAAAAAATAAATAAAAATACTCAAAAATTATTATTTTTGCCAAGCTTTCAGATGAAAATAACAACCATAATGGTTCCAATGCAAAATACGGTCCAAACTTTAAAAAAAAATTTTCATTCGCGGTTTTCTGCAAATCGGCATTTTTAATCTTTATAAAAAAATAGTATAATGTTCTATACATAATTCTTGTTGGCTCCTAAAAGTTTCGTCATGGGACCTCCATTACTCTCTGCATAATTTAATAAAACATTAAAAAACAAAGCAGTCTTTCGTTGTTATACATTAAATTATATTAGACGAACAGTTTCGTTCTTCATGAATTCCGGGAGAACGACCGTTCCCATTTAGGTAAAACCAATAGGAAAAATGCAGTTTTGTAAAGAAATAAATCCCTTCCAATTTCAACGTGGGACAATAACTTCTTGCTACTTATGTAGTTCTAAGGAAGGACAACACGTTAGCAACACCTTACATTCAAGCTAAGACCATTCCACGTTCTCAAAAGCACCATCATATTGCTCCAACACCTAATAGCAAACTCTTTTAAAAAGATAGTCATTCGCTGAAGACATTTAAATTTTCCCAATACACAAATCATTGTAAGGAGGCTTAAAATAACAGTGAAGCGCCGCCACAGGGGGAATCAAGAAGCGAAATGAACCGAACGAGGTGCGTTATTTACCAGGAGCCTGGAATGGTCTTAGCTTGGATGTAATGTGTTGCTATATATTCGAGTGTTCTTTTTTAGAACTAAATAATTAGCAAGAAGTTATTGTCCCACGTTGAAATTAATAGGGATTTATTTGTTATACAAAACTGCATTTTTCCTATTGGTTTTACCTAAATGGGAACGGTCGTTCTCCCGGAATTCATGAAGAACGAAACTGTTCATCTAATATAATTTAATGTATAACAACGAAAGACTGCTTTGTTTTTTAATGTTTTATTAAATTATGCAGAGAGTAATGGAGGTCCCATGACGAAACTTTTAGGAGCCAACAAGAATTATGTATAGAACATTATACTATTTTTTTATAAAGATTAAAAATGCCGATTTGCAGAAAACCGCGAATGAAAATTTTTTTTAAAGTTTGGACCGTATTTTGCATTGGAACCATTATGGTTGTTATTTTCATCTGAAAGCTTGGCAAAAATAATAATTTTTGAGTATTTTTATTTATTTTTTATCCCGCGTAATTTAAAATTATAAATGAATTAAACAAAAAAATAGCAACGCCATATCTTGGCTTCTGTCAAATGAATTTTTTTTTAAACTTTTTTAAAAATCCTTTTTAAATGGTGTGATAGTATCATAAAAATTAGATATCGTTTTGAGACCATGAAGAAAATCTCGATACGTTTCACAAAGAATCACTCATATGCCTTTCGAATACAGGTCCATAAAATAAAAACACATCATTCTAATTTATATATTTGGTATATATTTATTTAAATCCGTTCTTACTAACCCACAGTTCCATTAATGTTTTACTTTCTAAAGCAAATAAATTGATTTATGTTGGATTTAATGTTGCAGTTGCAAGTAACAGGGCTGGCTTAGCGATTAATACACGAATGATAAAGGCAGAAAAATTTGTCCTCCTTCACATTCACTTTCACATTCGTAACGGTTTTGGTGGTCCAAACCTTTACATCCTGTCGACGACGACGTCAGGAACTACATTTTTTTTTTGGGGCGAATAACGGTGGCAATTATTACCATGGGTTCTTGATCGAGGGGTTAACCAACGCAAGAGCAAACCAAAACTCATGGGTGATGGGGGGGTTCATTGAACTCGGGACCAGTTAAGCGGCGTCTTCCGAAATTCTGGAATTTGGCAGTTTCGGTGGGCTCATACTTACAGCCTAGTGGGTTGGATTATCTGGGGGAGATGGGTGTTTTTCTACAAGGGGTTGGGGATGGAAAAGTACACAGAGCAGGAACTTCGGATTTCTTGTTTTATTATTTCGTTTTTACGTTTAGATATCTTACATGCTGAATTTCAAATCTGTGTGTTTCTCGTTTATGCCTTCGAGTGCGATAATGTAATAGACCATAATGTACAGCAATTGTTCTTTTCTACATTCACATCAATTTGGCGCACTCGGACATAATATAATAACTGCACGTACTTTTCTAAAGCAGGGATGGATTCAATTTGTGTTATGGTAACTAATCGGGGTCCAGTTAATGAAATCTGGGATTGACTGTATAAAATAAAACAATAGTTCATTGAGAGATGGTGGAAGAGGTAGGTGGGGTGGTATCAAGAGGTATCAAGTCGTCGGTAGTTTCTGCCAAGAAGTACTCTCTTGCACCAACGATTCGATTCACGTGCATCGTGCAAGCAAACGGAATTAAAAGTAAGTAAAGAACTTGCAGCAGCGAACATAAGCTTTTTGGGGGGAGGTTCGGATCCCAGTCGTCGGGTTTCGTAGAGCCAGCACGTTTTAGTTCTGCATAATTTATTTCTTTAATGTTAGGTGTAGGTAATTTTTGTTTAATCAATTCACAGCGTCTCTAATTGTATAACAGAGTAAATTATGTATAATGTTAATTTAAATAGGTATTCTATAAAAATGCTAGAAGGATTACTTAATTCCTTACAACTGAGGCTGACATAAATTACACAATTTGCTTTCAATAAATCCCTCAAACATTTTCAATACGGTTGCTGCACCGCGCAAACTTCTTTCAGATAGATGCGATGATGCCTATATGCATTATGTACGATCGCCAGAGACCCTGTTCCTAATCATTTGCTCATATATGTACATACAATACAATACAAATGGAAACGGACACCGAGGCGATGTTGCCGCGCCCAGATTTTTGGGAGTTAACTGTGTACCGAGTCATTATTTACTTAATATCTTGTGCTCAAAATAATTCTTACAATTATGGAATGAATGAACCAATATTTTTATTCGGTGCGAGTAGGTTGTATAAATATAAGCAATTCAATTACGTTAGACAAACCAAGTTCAAAATACTACTCTTAAAAAACATTAGGACGCTTAGGATTGGAATCTTTTTAAACATCAACATACAATCAGATTCGATTTGGAAAGGTTTTTGGTTCTACTTAAACGGATTAAACAAAAATTGTTCATGAACGTTCATCAGTTATAATGTTTTGTTCTTCTGCATGATTAAGCCTACACTTTAGTATTTCAGTTACTAAACACAGAGACGAAATGGTGAAGTTAAGTAAGTTTGGTTTAATACAAACAGCCATCTCATTTCCAGAGATTTCAAAATTTCCTAAAACTTTCTTTTTGGCAACCCAGTGAAAATTATATGACGAAAACTAACTAATGTAATTGAATATACCGGTGTGGAACTCTCTTATGTATATATAGCATTGTATGTACAAAAAGCAATCCTGCTAAATTTAATAATATACAAACACAAATATATATTTAGGGTATACGCGTGTTAGACAAATCGTTAGCTCATAGAAAATATTGATCATTTAACGCTGTTTGTTCAAAGCCAAAAGCCAGGGAGCGAGTCAGTCGGCCCATCTTTCGGTGTCACCAGTCAATTCCGTGACACCGGGGGTGGTTTGAAAATCAGTATCAGTAGTATTTGGGAACAAACTTCATGTGGGTTATTAAAGTCGTTACGTTAGATGTATATAATTGTGGGTTTCTCTTGTTTCTGTTTATATTTAGTAACATTTTATACTAGAAATTAGAATAATGAAGTTGGGCTTATGGATTATAATTATATTCTTAAAGCATCATAGCGTACAGCAGGCCAAAGAAGACAGCCCACATTAACACAATCCCATGCATCTTATATATAGGACTCTCACCATCTGCGATTTTTCTAGCAACAAACTTCAATGTCTCATCTAATAAAACTACAGGAATTGAGAATTTCATCACAGTTATCCATTCCTCAGCAGACAACGGTGTCACTTGGAAGACGGTCTGTGGGGGGTAGAAAAGATCGGGGGATTAGCTTTCTTTGTTAGAAAGTCACATGGTATCGCCTGGTACTTACGGAGAGGACATCGACGTAAAGAATAACAAAGTGAAGAGTGAAGGAGAGTGCCATTGATCCAATCAGCCACAGGTTGCACCATGGAGGCATGGTAATCAGCGACTGATTCTCAGACAAGCTAATCAAACAAAGGGAGTTCGGTTCGTATCTATTGCGTCTATCACTTGTTATCTCACAAAGACGACTCACCTGTTCATTGCGTTCAACATTTCGATTGTCACCAGCACGGACAGAGCCATGGTCATCGCATGGGGGTCGCTGAAGATCTTGCAGTCAACGCCCTTGAACTCGTCACCACCGCCCAAGCAGGCCAGATGGTGGGTCAGCTGCCAGTAGCTCAGTTTGGGTCCCTCGTCGGAGAAGACGAACCACCAGGCGGCGGCACCGACGGTGGCAGCGCCGACATAGAATCCAATAGCCATGTAACTGAAACGAATGTAAAGTTAGAACTGTTGTAAAGGATCCCTAATTTAGGGTTAACCCACCGGAAGAACAACCATCCGGAAATGAGACCCTCATCGGCCTTCCTGGGGGGCTTCTCCATGATGTCCAGATCAGGGGGGTTGAAGCCAAGAGCGGTGGCTGGGAGACCATCAGTAACCTGTGAATAAAGAGCTTATTAGTATAACTACCCCAGAAAAGCAGCCAAGTATTACTTACCAGGTTGACCCAGAGCAGCTGGACGGGAATCAGGGCCTCGGGAAGACCGAGGGCAGCAGTAAGGAAGATGGAGACGACCTCACCGATGTTCGAGGAGATGAGGTAGCGGATGAACTGCTTCATGTTGTTGTAAATAGCGCGACCTTCTTCAACGGCGGACACGATGGAGGAGAAGTTGTCGTCGGCCAAGACCATTTCGGCGGCAGACTTGGCGACAGCGGTACCGGAGCCCATGGCAATACCGATCTCGGCCTTCTTCAAAGCGGGGGCGTCGTTCACACCATCACCAGTCATGGCGGAGATCTCGTTCATGCCCTGCAGGAACTCGACAATCTTGGACTTGTGCTGGGGCTCCACGCGCGAGAAGAGGCGGGAACGGGCGACGGCAGCCTTCTGTTCGGTGGGGGAGAGGTCGTCGAATTCGCGACCGGAGTAGGACTTGCCAGTGGTGTCCTCGTCCTCGGTGAACACACCGATCCTGCGGCAGATGGCCTCGGCAGTGGCCTTGTTGTCGCCGGTGATCACAATAACGCGAATACCGGCGGCACGGCAGCGCACAATGGAATCGAAAACTTCCTTACGTGGGGGATCCAGCATGCCGACGACACCGACGAAGGTTAGGTTGACCTCGTACTGGTAGAACTTGGTGGAGTCGCCGAGATCCATCTCGTCGGGCTTCATGGGGCTATCGGCAACGGCCAGGGCCAGGCAGCGCAGGGTGTCGCGTCCAGTGCCGTACTGGCCGGTCAGGGCGAGGATCTTGGCCTTCAGGGCCGAGGTCAGGGGAACCTTGGAGGTGCCGACGCGGGCGTGTGTGCAGCGCTCGAGGACACCCTCGGGGGCGCCCTTCACGAACAGCTTGGGGCCGGTGCCCAGGCGGGAGGCCTTCAGGGGGGTGCAGTACGAGGACATGGACTTGCGATCGCGGGAGAACTCCAGGGTGAACTCCTTCTTCCACTTGGTCTCGATCTCGCCGCGGCAGGCGATGGCAGCGGAGCGACGGTCCAAACCGGACTTGTTGACGCTGAAGCTGTTCAGCTTCTCGGCCAGGACAATCAGGGCGGTCTCGGTGGCCTCGCCGACCTTCTCGAAGGCCTGCTTGAACTCATTGTAATCGATGGCCGAGTCGTTGCACATGATGCAGATGGTGGACAGCTCCTGCAGGGTGTCGTAGTCGGCGGCCTTGACGCGCTGGCCGCCCAGGAAGGTCTCGCCGATGGGCTCGTAGGTGGAGCCGGTCAGCTCGAACTCCAAGAAGCTGCTGTCGTTGCCCTCGACCTTGTCGAAGATGAACATGCGCGAGACGGACATCTGGTTGGTGGTCAGTGTGCCGGTCTTGTCGGAGCAGATGACCGAGGTGCAGCCCAGGGTCTCCACGGAGGGCAGGGAGCGGACGATGGCGTTCTTCTTGGCCATGCGGCGGGTGCCCAGAGCCAGACAGGTGGTGATCACAGCGGGCAGACCCTCGGGGATGGCGGCGACGGCCAGGGCGACGGCGATCTTGAAGTAGTAGATGGCACCCTTGATCCAGGAGCCACCGTGGGCGGGGTCGTTGAAGTGGCCAATGTTGATGGCCCAGACGGCCACGCAAATGACGGAGATGACCTTGGACAGCTGCTCGCCGAACTCGTCGAGCTTCTGCTGCAGGGGCGTCTTGATCTCCTCGGTCTCGGACATCTCGGTACGGATCTTGCCGATGGCGGTGCTCAGGCCAGTGCCGATGACGACGCCGCGAGCCTTGCCGGCGGCCACGTTGGTGCCGGAGAAGAGGATGTTCTTCTTGTCCTGGTTGACGGCGCGGGGATCGGGGATGGCGTCGGTGTGCTTGATCACGGAGACCGACTCGCCGGTGAGGATGGACTGATCGATCCTGAGGGTGGTCGAGTAGATGTGGGTGATGCGGATATCGGCGGGGATCTTGTCGCCGACGGACACCTCAACCAGATCGCCGGGCACGATCTCTTTCGCGCGCACCTTCTGGATGCCGGACTTGTCCTGGCGCACCACCTTGCCCATCTCGGGCTCGTACTCCTTGAGGGCCTCGATGGCCGACTCGGCGTTGCGCTCCTGCCATACTCCCACCACGGCGTTGGCTATCAGGATGAGTAAAATAACTAGGGGCTCTACAAATGCAGTGAACGTTTCCTCGTGTTCCTCAAACAGGGCGAGAACCTAAGGGGTAGTGGAATAAGGGTTGATTTTCCTCTCTCAGAGTCTAGAAAGAGCGAACTTACAAATGAGATGATGGCTGCCAACAGCAGAATCTTCACCAGCAGATCGTCGAACTGCTCCAAGACCAGCTGCCAGATGCTCTTTCCTGTGGAATACATGGGTTATTATGGTAAACAGTGGGAAGTAGAAGGGGTAGTAGAAGGGACAGGGGCGGGGGATCTGGTTGGGTTGACTTCGCACCTTCCTCGGTCGGCAACTCTGTAACGATAAGAAAGCAAACACGTCAGTCGATTCGGATTCGGATGCGCTCGGGGAATTACGAGCGCTCTCACCGTTGGGTCCATATTTCTTCTGGTTCGTCTTGATCTGGTCGAGGGTTAAGCCGCGCTCTGCGTCCGTTCCGAAGAAGTTAAGGGACTGTTCGACGGTTTTCGAGTGACCGTCTTCCATCTTGATTCGTTATCCTCTTCGTTCAGTAGCCTGCATCCAGTTTCCAGGGCGGGGGGATTTGGGGATTTGAAAGTAGAGACAAGGCAAGGCGCTCATTTTAGTTCTCTGAGACTGGGCTATTTCCTATTTCCTACTGACTACTGACTGGAATAGCAAGTGTGTATGTACGTATGCACGAGAGTACGGGGCCGTTTGCAGTTAAAACTACCTCATTAGGTTCTGAATAAGTGTTTGTACATGTGCATGTGCACGGAACACGGGCACTTTCCAACATACATGGGCACATACACAGGTGCTACATGCTAATTTTCAGATCCCCAGATACTTCTGGCGCAGTTATGGCGCTATAGCGCCAACTTTGGATGGTTTACGGTGTCGTAGGGGATCGCAATGGATCGAAGAATATGCTGGAATAATTGCATTACCCTGGCCAAATGAGATTCACACACGTGTCACTTCGCAAAAACAGTCGCAGTTTCGTTTCGAGTTCTGCGGGCCTGTCGCTTTCGATTGGGGATCTCGATCCGAGAATCTGGGTGCTCAATCCTCTGTTAACCTCGCTAAACGACGCGCTGCGTGTGTTAAGTACTTTTTTCCACCGATTCTCTATATATTATAACCCATGGCGCTTTTTTCTAAATATGTGTGCTGATAACTATTGCACTAAGTCCCGAGCCGCGCATTAATGCCTATCGGCGCTTCGTTTCTACCTCACTATGACACGACAGTATTCCCGAGCAGGGCTGACTTAAAACAGATATCGCTTGTGTTACGTTAATCGCGGTCCTACCTATATGTTTATTACAATTCCTACACCTGAAAACTGAAATTAACGCACCTTTTCAATTAAAACCTACTGATGCGTTCAACTTTTGCCACTCGACTGCGACTGCCGGCGTTATCGATAGCTCGGCGTCGAGCTGCGATAGTTAACTGGTGAATTTGTATATTCAAATTAGCCGATAGGTAAGGTGAGAAATGAGTTCAAATTGTTATCGCAATTTAAAAACTGTGGTTTTTTGGGGCAAACTTACAACAATTAACTGCTCAATTTCGTAACTTAAAAATTTGGCACTCAAAAGAACCCAAATTGTTATCACGATTTTTAAAACTTATTTTTACACCTTCATATTTCCATTCAGCGAGCCAAAGAGAGACAACCAAATTGTGCTCAAATTAATGAGATCGAGATCAAGAGCCCGCAATAAATAGATCTGGGTGCCAGGTATTCGGCCAGCAGCGACATTTTTAAATTTTAATTTTAATCTTTTCGCGACCAGACACTAGAATCAGGCCATACGGGGAATTTTGAACGGCAGCCAACTCGCATAATATTTGAATATTACGCTCGGGAAAGCGCAATTACATACGTAACTTTTGATAACGAAATTTCAAGTACTTCCCGCCTCCCAAAAACCGTTATTTTTCGAAAGATTGTCAAGCAATGTGCTCGGCAACTACTTATATTTTGAACACACACACAGAAGTGAGTTTCGAAAACATCTATATATGCCATATAGGCTATATACCTCTGATATACACATGACACATGCCTGTATGTGTGCATTATGGAGCAAAAAAATCGCCTCTGTCCGAGATGGTCTAAAAATAGAGTCCTAGCACCCGAAAAATACAAGCTCAATTTTGAACATTCGTAGATATAAAAGATATGTACTGGGAACACATAAATAAGTATGAGTACATATACAGAGAGACAATCGAAGGGAGAAATATTCTATTCGGTTATATGTATGATTTAACGGCTTATGATATTTCGAGCAGAGATATCTGAATTCTAATGGATGTCGACATTTGTGCAGAGACGTTTCTGTTTCCTATGGCCTGATTCCAATAATTCCGATTGACAAGTCCACTGATGAATTGTATAACAATTATTAATTGAGTGAATAATTGACATGGTTAAAAAAAAGTGTTTAGGGCACAGGTCCTGGGATTAATGTATTTATACTCTTTTCACTGATCCACCGATTTTTTGCAAGAAGTCAGTTATAATCACTTACTGACATATAACCACCAAGTAAGGTATGCGGGTGAGGACTTTAGGAGTTCTAATGATCTCTTCTGTGGTGATTACATTGGGTACAATACAAGGCATGCATCTTTTAATTTTGAAAAACGGATATTTCCCAGCGGTTGCATAACCAGATTTTCAATCACAAATACATAGCACTTTGAGGAAATCTTTACATCTGTGTCGGATCGGATCTATTCGTGGTGTGCTCTCGTATTGGTGACATTCAAAATTTTCAATTCGACTCCGGAGGTCGAGGTCGCTCACTGTTTGTCCCCCTTACGGATACTACAGATATTTCAGATATATCTTCGAACTGTACGACTGGGAGGGTAGTAACTAAACTGGGAAAAAACACTTTGGAACACGGTTTTTCGAGTGTAAGCATGTTCGTATGTAGATGTGTAGGTATTTCGAATAACTTTTCAATTTTCCAGGTTTTCTTTTTAGGCGCGCGATTAAATATTTTTGACATTTTTTGGGATATATTTCTTGTACTCAATGGAATTTGGAGTAAAATCACTGGCGTATTCGCATTGGAATTGTTGCAAACAAATCAACAAAACTTACAATTATTATTCCTAGTAAAAATTCCGTTATTATATAATAAATTTATTCAAGTCGGAGGACCAAGAGCTAACACAAAGATCGCGCTATTATAACGATCAACGGCAACTGAACGCAAGGAGAACGCTGCTCGATGAGAGTGTCTATTTGAATTACAAAATTCATATATTTTGGCAAAATTCCCAAAACTACATACACTCTCTATTTTGGCCCGGGAAAATACTTTTAGCACGCACAAACTTTTGAGCACTTACCACCTATCCTATCCACGAGCCAATGCGATTCGAATTGTTCTGCTCGTGTTTTTCTGTTTCGTATCTCGCCGAAGCGAAATATACTGCGGACCCAGCAGCCTCAGAGATATATATTCACATAGGTGAGAATACCACAAGCACACGAATATATATATATCCCGATTTCGGATCGGCGGGAGCGCACAGATACGAAAAAGTCTAGAGCAATGTGGGGAGATCACTTGTGTGCCTGTGAGTGTGGACTTATAGACTTATTTCGAAAAATGCACGTGTGTTTGTCTAATATTTAGAAATCGGTATTTTTAAACCAATCTGGGGAAATTATGGTAGATTATATGGAAGGGTTTGTCACTTAGGGGTGTTTTTGGCTATAATTTTAATTTTTTGAAATGGGTTATATCTCCGATCCTTCGGAAAACATACATGAATTAGTTTCAACATTATTAAAGTAAATATGTCGTAGTTGTATATTTTAAGTTTCATTCTGAAATCCCACTGGTTTTTAGGTATTTATTTAAATCCATTTTAGAAAGGGCATGCACCTGTCGGCTTCCGATTGACAGGTTCTTTCTTTGGCTTTTCTGCTTTTTCCCCAATTTCAGCAGAGACTGGCGGCCGTCGTTTAGCCGCATAAAAATAGTCGTCTTGTAATGCCTCTACGGACTCTCAGAAGTTGGCAAGAGCGCTCACCGCACACGTTTTTGCCGTATGATATCCGCCTTGTGCAGCAAACTATTACGACTTTTCATAGAGACCCATAAATATGCATTTGGCTACTATTTTACCTCTATATGTCTAGGCCAGAACTTTTATAAGCTACCTATATATTTAAAAATATTGATAAATGACAATGCAGCCAAGAATTTTGCTTTATTTTAAGACTAGCGAATCTGGGTTTAATTGTTTCGTCAATCGTTGAATAACCTTTGTTTATGAAATCAGAAGTGCACCCAATTTTATTCTAATATTTATAGTTTAAACCGAATGCTATGGAACATAAATCATTAAATTAGTGCAGTTAAATCTTATCCAAAGGGATTTTCTTTTTAAAAACAAGTCTCAGCTGACTTTCAAAAAAATACAATAAAATCATACATAAATGAAATTCACCTGTAATTGGCGTGTTTATTACACAACTATTTGCTAATTACTCATTTTTTCATATTCGGTATTGCGTAATGACAAAGAGAAGAGATAAACTAGATACAAGCAGCTTGCTACCCTTAACATCAGACCAATCACCTACCCTACCCAGTTCCTCTTGAAATCTTTACGTCACAAAAGCATTTTGGTCCAAAAATAGAGCAACAACTAAAAAACTAGCACATATACTACTTTTTACTTTGTTTTAAATAATGGTATAATTAAATTGAAAATAAAATATTTACATTTTGCTTAGTCTGCTCTTAAAAGCTTCTAAATTTTGGTGGAAAATAGGTAAGAATCTTTTTTGCCCGAGGTCAACTTAACGGCGTTTTCGCTTCCCACAACGTTACTCAAACTGAGCAGGTCGTACTTTGTGTACAGGATATTGACGGACATTGCCTCTCCGAATCCATCCCGCGGGTTTTGATTGGACTCGAGCATCAAATTGATCATTTCGGAATAAAAGTGCGGAAAGTTAGGCGGCTGGTACATAATCAAATTCCGGATGCCCTTAATTCGAGTGCGCCGGAAGAAGTGTGCTCTTTCCGAGTACAGCAGAACAGATGCTCCGCTGTGGAAGAATATATCTCTCGCCCGGGAAATTTTTTCTTTCTTTGTATACTCATTTATCTGCACAAAACTGACCATTTCGGTTTTGAAATGATTTCGTATCCGTACGTAGTCAAAGTAGCTGGGCACGTAGAGCATGCAATGCGAGAACCCGGGCTTACTGAATTGGGGCATAATATGTTTGACGAAGTACTGGAAGCGATCGTCGAACGTTGATTCCACATTGGAGCAACTGATGCGGCGGAAAACCTGCTGAATGGGTGTCAGTACGTTGCGAATGTCTCCATGCTCCACCAAATTTGCGATTCGCACTTTTCCCTGGTAGTTGCTGCATTTACTGTTGAGCACGGCCCGGAATTCGGGAAGCTCGTGGGATGCGAACAATAGGGTTTGCCGGTAGAAGCTCGACGCCCCACTCAGGCACCAAGTTCGAACCCTCTGGCAGTTCGTATCGGGCAGCTTCTGCGGCTGCAAATGAAGATGGTCCAGAGAGTGCAGCAGGTTCTCCCAATTCTGTGCCAGGAACAGTTCGGCTTGGTCAATTATAAGCAGTTCGATCGAGTTTAGAAAGTCAAAGTCATTATCCTTGTCCGTAACCAACATTCTCAGTCCCAAGGGAGACGCAATCAGTATGTCCGATGAGTTCATATCGGAGAACAGGGACATGGTTTTCTTGGTGAAACGAATCCCCAGCTTGAAATTGTCATCTGTGTTGCCACTGAAGGTCTGCTCGTAGTCCACCGGCTTGGGGTTGGTTTTCGGGAAGTATATCGTATTGCCAGAGTAATCTGCCAGAAAGCGTTCGTAGTTGGCAATTGAGGTCTTCCTAGCCTGATCTGTAAAGTGCACAATCTTTTAATACTGTTTAATGGTATAAATGATTAACCTACCATCTTGACTGCCGAAGAGTAGGTCCCCGATTATATTTACAATCTTCAGTGCCGATTCCCTGAAGGGCACTATGAAAACCACCTTCATCCGCTTCAGTCCTTGATCTCTAAAACTCTCTGGTATGGAGATTTCGTTGGGCGACATTTTTTGAGACTTGGCCAGAGCCGAAACCTTTTCGTTGTTTCGCAAAATCAGGGATCTGACCTTCAGCATGTGGTTCAGGGCGTGCAGGCAGTATACGTATCGGATATCCTCGGCGTTACCATGTGTTCGGTGGGGATAGTAGACATCCTGATAGTTATTGGCAATGTAGAACAGTTGGGACTGCAGGGCGGTGAGAGGTAGCTTGGCGTTTCCACAAATAGACGCTTTTACCTCCAACTTTTGGAGATCTGCGGCAGTGGCAATATCCTTGGGCTCATGGCAGTCGGGCTCCTGGAAGTCGTCAGACAGTCGTGGAATCTCAAACCTTAGATTTCCCAAGGCAGACCAATTGCCCTTAATGGCTTTTACATCTTTTCGGGCAATCAAATCGTTAATATTGTCCGTGGACAGCTCAAAATCAAAGCGTTTGGAGAAGGAATTGTATGTTTCCAAGTCGGCACTAATCTTTTCAGCCCGCTTTTCCTTTTTGTGTTTAATCTTTTTGGGCAATGCAACAATTGGCTCGTCGTCCTCCACAGTTGAGCTCAGAATCTGACCTGAAAACATAATGTGCTGTTAATAAACCATCGAATTTGTAGCTTAGTAAGGAACTTACTTGTGGGAATGTGATTGAAACCAGTCACGAGCTGTTCGTAGAACCCAGCCTCATCCACTTCGTCCTGAATCTCCGGCAGGAGTTTCGCCACGGGCTCGTATTCCTGTTTCGGGGCCGTTGGAATCCGCTCCCTGCGATGCGTCTCCTCCATTTGCTTGCTCCTCTGGATGAAACTATAGTTCTTCGAGAACCTCTCATTTCGGCGTGCGGGGGCGGGTTTCTTGTAGGGCTTTCCCCTGCTTTTCCCGTGTTTTTGTTTCATTTCGAATTGTTTGCTCCTGAGTATCTTTCAAACACACGTGTGGATGGGCGAACATCTGTTTTGGCATCCGATGGATAGTATCGATAGTTCTTAGAGATGGCCTGAGGTGAAGTTGCAACTATTACAGCAGTAATGTGGAATGGCGATTGTGGAACGGTAGAATTTGGAACATGTAGCCAATTCTAATTTATTAAGTTTTTCGGTTTCTGTGGGCCGAATCGAAAAATGTTAAATGCAAAAATGATAAGAATAAAATTATCTGTCGATCCAGGTAGGAAGTAGGAAAAATGCAATTTGCAATGCAAATCCCCATATTTTGGGGAATATCTCATCTGCCCATACAAAAAATTCCTTAGAGCGTGCTCCACAATTCCAAGTTTAAGATAGAGGGCGGTTAATTAAGCAATGTTCCTAATAAATTGCATTAAAATATTGTCGTCATTTTTCGAGAAAATAACTTAACAGTGTATGAATTTTAAGCGGATATTGGAATACCAACTCAAAATCCAGTACAGGAACCATGAACCGCATTATCCGACACTACTACCGACTTTAATTGTTGCACGGTATTCCAAAAAATCAGACAGAAGAGATACAGCTTAAGTATTTGTAGAGACTGGTTGTCTCATACATACATATGTGTTTTTTTATTCAGGATTGCTTACGAATTTAATAAATGAGTACCAAAACCGTACCGGTACGAGTAATACGGTAATCGATTCGAAATAACGTTATTGGTTCCGATTCCGGTTCCGTTTTTATTCCATTAAAAATGGAATTTTGCAGCCGAGCCAAATGGGGCCGATGGGTTTGGGGTAGGCGTCCTGGTCCAAGTCAACCTGAGGGTGTAACAATGCATTAGTTATAACTTATAAGTTATGTTTCGAATTGAGCACTTTCCAGAGCTTGCTGATACTTACATTAAATTTCATTGGGTCTATTCGGTAGTATTCGTCGCCCTTGAACAAGTGCGTGTATCCATAGGAATCCATAAACGCAGCATCCAGGTTATCGGGAACACCCTTCCAGTGTTGATTTATCATCCCAGGGGATATCATTGTTGGGGCCAACGGTTGATTGGGATTCTTGTTGCGAAACGTTATCCATTCAGAAAAATGGTTGACAGGGTATGCCCAGAACTGGCTGCCCTTGAAAAAGAAAATCTCGTTACCGCCCTTATACAGCACTGCGTCAAGATGATCGGGAATAAAATAGAAGTTGAAGCTGATCGATTGTGGGAAACCGAACAACATTTCGCGACCCAGGTAACACCACAAAAGGTTTCCCTTGAAGAAGATCGTAAATTTATTCAAGGTTAACGCCGCATCGATGTTACTCGGCAATCCTGGCCAGCGCTCGGAGATAAGTTTGGGGTATCCTCTTACTACGGACCCATCGGTCACTTTGTAGAACTTGTCGCCCTTGAAAAAGATCGTCTCGCCTTGATCCGATTGGAAGACTGTGTCCATCTTGGGGTTCGTGCAAATTGAGTCGTCCAGCGGCACTTTGGGCTGAGTGGTAGTCGTCTTACTGCCGTAAAGCGATTGGATGCCCGCCTTTTCGTCCTCGTGCAGCTTGAAATTGGAATCGTACTCGCGGTATAAGGGTCCCATCAAGGCGGTATAATAATTGGAGTGGCGCAGACCCAGGGAATGACCGAATTCGTGGGCGGCCACCACGAAGAGATTTGTGCTATTCTTCGGGCCAATACCAATAGTCCACAGCTCCGCATCATCGAAGTGGACATCGCCATCGGTAGGTAAAAAGGCATGAGCCAAAATTTTTCCTCTACCGTCGAAGGAATCATCATCACCATGATCTCCTACCTCGAAACTGGGAATAGGGATGAAAAGTAATAAGTTTAAAGTGACAAGCAAAAAATATCTTGCTTTAAATAGGTATTTTAAATTGAGCTTACGTTGCCATTTATATTTTTAGAGGTGACAAATTTGATTTATTTTATCGATATTTATACCAGACAACTTACCGGATCTCGATGTCGACCTTTTTGGAGGACTTCTTGGTAAAGGTCAGATCGGTCACCTCGGACCAAACGGCAAAAGCGCGTTCAATCTCTACGTCCACATCCTCCCGCCTGAGGAATTTGGGATACGATGCGATATGGTACGTTAAGTTTTTGGTGGGCCACTTGGGGCCAACATTGAACTTTAGTCTGTCAGTGTCCAGGCGATCCCGCACTCCGCAGCGTGACATGGACATAAATCTCATGGTCTCGGCATCCAGATCGCCTGTAACTTCCAGCCCCATAAATTCCTGGAACTCCCTAAGGGCGCGAACAAAGCTGCTCCCATCGCGCATACTTGTATCGTCTAAACTTTTGGAAGAGGCGGTTAGATAGCCATACTGTTCCAGGTAGGACTGGGGGCAGAAAGACAGAAATAAAAATATTTCGAATAACCCAAAACTTTTTTTTGTACTCACCTTCGCTTGTGACAGGGGAATGGGCACCGCTTGAACCGCTGCTAGAATGACAAACAGGATGCATACGACTATGAACTCTGAACTTTGACAGTTTGACATTTTGTAGCTGAGTTGCAGTTGCCGGCTGCCTAAGGTAGAAAAGGTAAATAAGTATTTCATAGAGCCGGCCAATTAATAAAGCAGCCTAAGCAGACTAGAGTAAAATGAAAAAAATATATTTATTTGAACTATGTTTTTGGTGTCCTTAAGTACATAATTTAGTTCACATTAGGGTAGGCCTAGTACTCACCTCAAAAAATGTGTATACCAAACTGACAGGCAAATTTTTTATGGAGATGCTACCAACAGTAAGTTAGGTCCTGCCAGCTTTTTTAACAGACCTGCAAAGAGTGCCTGTCGACCTGCCAACTCATTCTTGGGTATCTTGCTGGTCAATGACCCGGAATTTTGGAATCTGGAACCATGGCTTAGCTAAGAGATAATGAAAGAAGAGATCGAAGAAGTTAAAAGTCGAGGAAGGGCGTTTTGGCTGCTGCGCTGCACAGTTCTTTTTTTCAAGTTCTATGAGTTAAATAAGAATAAGGCCCTTTCTGCCCACCCTTTATGCCCTAACGAAAATTCCTTAAAAATCAATTTATCCATCACTTTTTTCACAGAGCGTGCTCCAGAATTCCGAGTTTATAGGATAAGCAATGTTCATGGCAAATTGGATTAAAAAATTTTCCTGAGTTTTTGAGAAAATTACTAACAGTGTTTGAATTTTAAACGGATATTGTACTGTTATACTGCCACCTCCAGTACACGAACCATGGCGAGCTGTGACATGAACCGCAGTATCCGACACTACAACCGACTTACGAATTTAGTATCGACGTCATCTTAATATAAATTATTGCTCCTTTTAAAGAGCGTGCTCCATGTTGCCCGGTATCCCAAAAAAGCAGAAATTAAAAGAACTATTTATATGAAGTTTTTGGTTTTGAAGGACTTCTTGTTGGGTTGAATACCAGCCCCTATAGTCAACAAGTTAGAGGAATCCCCCTAATACCAATTGTTAAACCCAAGTTGGGAAGTTTAGTATATTTCCTCAGCCGAGCGGTATAAATTACCGCTCCAATAGCGGTCTTATCGCATTGAAGTTGGGACATGGGAAGTGATCGCACGTTGAAAAAGCAAAAAATGTCGGTCTTGCAGGAACTTAAGAAAATCACCACTATTGTGGCTGACACCGGCGACTTTGAAGGTAAATATGGACATTGTATACACAATTATAACTACGCCGGCAGGGCCTGGTTTTAAAGTAAAGAAATCTTTACCCAAGCTGGGGATGGCAGTCTTGAAATACAAACTCATGTTTGTCTGTCGATCTGAGCTCGGGAACATCCATTTCTAATACACACAGTTCGAGTCCAAAGATTCATATCGCTTGCATACACAGATTGAATCTGAAAGATAAACATAAAACCATCTCCATAGCAGTTTGTCTTATCTGCTGCAGTGAAGATCAAATAAAAGTGAAAAGTAAAACCAAGCTGACTTTAGTTTGACCTTAGGTGCTTACGTGTGTTGGAAATGTGACCGCTAATAGAGTGTCTCATTGATAAGGTTTCGGAATCGAGTGAGAAACCTGCTCAGGCATCGAAAAGTTCAAAGATATTTTCGGTCAGGCGATTGAAAAATGAAAGTCGCTCAACAGGTTTCTCGGTCTTTCTAGAATTCGCAATGTAACTTGGGTGTTTGGCCCCGTATTAATGCAAATACTGTTGTTGTTAATTTCAGCCATCAACATCTACAAGCCCACAGATGCCACCACCAATCCCTCGCTCATCTTGTCCGCCTCCTCCATGGAGCGATACCAGCCGCTGGTGCAAAAGGCTGTGGACTATGCCAAGGGCAAGAAGGGGTAAGCCGTCTATATGGGTATTCCGAAACCAAAAGCTTTAATGCACTCATTTCCAGCTCCGTGAGCGAGCAAGTGGCCGAGGCAATGGACTACCTTTGCGTGCTGTTCGGAACGGAAATCCTGAAGGTCGTCCCCGGCCGCGTTTCCACCGAAATCGACGCCCGTCTCTCCTTCGACACCAAGAAGAGTGTGGCGAAGGCCCTGAAGCTGATCGATCTGTACAAGTCGCTCGGCATTGGCAAGGAGCGAATCCTGATCAAGCTGGCCTCCACCTGGGAGGGCATCAAGGCGGCCGAGATCCTGGAGAACGAGCACGGCGTGCACTGCAACCTGACGCTCCTCTTCTCGTTCGCCCAGGCCGTGGCCTGCGCCGAGGCTGGCGTGACCCTGATCTCGCCGTTCGTGGGCCGCATCCTGGACTGGTATGTGGCCAACACGGAGACCAAGAAGTTCGAGGCCCTCAAGGACCCGGGTGTGGTCTCGGTGACCAACATCTACAACTACTACAAGAAGTTCGGCTACAAGACCCTGGTTATGGGTGCATCGTTCCGGAATGTGGGCGAAATCAAGGCCCTGGCTGGCTGCGATCTGCTCACCATCAGTCCCTCGCTGCTCAAGGAGCTGGAGAACGAGACCGAGTCGGTGGTCACCTACTTGTCCGTGAGCAACGCCAAGCTTCAGGACATCGAGAAGATCACCGTGGACGAGAGCAAGTTCCGCTGGCTGCTGAACGAGGACGCCATGGCCAACGACAAGCTGTCCGAGGGAATTAGGAAGTTTGCCGTGGATACTGTTAAGCTGGAGAATTTGATTAAGACCTATCTTAAGTAGACGTTCCTCGGGTTCCGCTCCCAGGTGGAGGATGAATACAACAGTTGTTTAAAAGACAAATGATTTTATACTTTAATAAAAACTATACTTAAAAATATGTACTTTTATTCAAGTGGAATGCAAATAATTTTGTCTATTATATCATAGATAAAGATATTTTGGCCTTATCAGAGCAACTTCAAAAAGGTTTGTTACACGCCCATGTAAAAATGTATATTAGAACCTGTAGAAAGGACTGTCAATGTAAAGTATCGATTGTATTTTTAAGGGGTTACAATGCTCTAAATATGAAACGCTAATATATTGCAAGCATTTTAAAAACTATAATAAAACCGAAAACAATTTTAACGTTATTCTAAACTAACTTTTTTCCCCTAGGAAATATATCTATCTACATCTGCGCCCTCACTATCCGATAGTCGGAAAAAAGTATCGATAAAAGTATCTACTTTGTTGCATCCCTATACATTGATACATAAAATAAAAAATATATAAAAAGTGAGTTAGTACTGGTATTAAAAGTAATTTTTAAGGAACAAATTGAAGAATTGCGGGCACGCAGAGTTAAAGAATATTGGGGAACTGGAAAACAGTGTCTGGCGAGTCAAGTGCAATAGAAATATCCGTTTTTCAGCACCCGAAAGTCGTCGCTCCCCACAGAATCGTGCACCTATAGTTTTAGAAGTTGCTCCCATGAATAAAAATGTTCGGTAATTTCACGGTAAACAATAACCATTGTCAAACATAGGGAATAAGTCGTGTTCAAATACGTAATTGGAATCGGACATGGATGTGATTTGACTCGGATCCCAAGTCCATTATCCATTCGATTCGAGTCCGACTTCCTGTCGTCCTACGTCCTGCGTCCTTAAACCTGAAATCAGTGAAAAATCGTTCGCGCATGAATATTCAAAATACTATTCCATCCATTCGACTCGCGACGGTATAAGTATAATATAGTTTTCCTAACCCAAAGTGTCAAAGAAATGGCAAATATTCGGATTCGGAGGCACGGAGCACATACGTATTGATATATGTACATACATTTATTTATGTACATCCATTCACACATGCGAACCGAGAACTTGTGTATATATCTAAATACATACGCACGTATATACGAGTAGATACACAACGGTGTGTACTCATATCTGTGAGATATATATATGTGCCCGTGCCCGCTTAGATCCCGATTCCGATTCCGATGAATTTATGTACATATATTTACATTTAAATCTGCATATCTCCTATCTACGGCTATATGTCCGTTAGGTTTTCCCTGGCTATAGGCTATATAGTATATATATCTTCCTTCGAGAGAGAGAGTCTCCCGTCGGTCGGCAATAATTAATAGATTAAATACTTTTACGCGTGCCTATACATTTTCCGCGCATATAATTCATATTTGAGCAAAAGTTAATCAATTTTTCGCTACCGAATATATGTAGATTTTTTTCCCATCCGAGTTTTAACTGCAGATGGAATTATGTTGGTATCTCTATATACATGCGTACCTGCACCTCAGTATGCGCGAAAATTCCACCCGCCCTCTTCTTCACCTGTTACACTACGCCGATATATGTAGATGTGGATGTGGATGTGAATATGAATGTGATGAATTCCAATCGCCCGACGAGAATGTCGAATGTACGGCCGTTTTTGCGTGGAGTAATTTTTGATTTTTATTTTGATTTCGGTGTTCGATAATAGAAGCCAGCGTTGTTTTCGGACTCGAAATATTAGTGACTCACGGGACTTTCGTGGGCGGCAATGTCACAAATGTCGCCTTGGCTTAGGCGCCTATTATGGGCGATACACTGTGTACATGGGTGATATAGGGGTACTCTGATGTAGGCTCACAAATCCCTTGGAATACGAATACACATCTGCCGCCTGCAGATGATATTTACGATTTAATGTAAACAAAACGTGTTGATTTATTACAAGTGCAGAATGACATGGTTTCTGAATAATTTAATTTATTTATATTCCCTCTATAAAGTGTCTTACTTTCTCTTGGTGCCCAAAAAATTGTTATACATATAACTTTTTTAAAGTCGAATTAGTTTTAAATAATAGAAAGAATATAAATGGATGTAAAAAGCATTATCCAAAGAAAAAGCATTATAAACCCTATTTAATTCCAGCCTGCTACAGAGATCTTCTGAAGCGCTGAGCCAACGGTGGTGTCACTGAGATCGGCGACCCGAAGTGCGCATAAGGACATTTGTGTATTGATCCGAGGAACCCACTCTTAGCTATACTGGAGCAGAACGGAGAAAGCACAAGGGGTGCCGAGTCACCCGACGCGAACCAGGAAAACCGAGCGACGTGTTGGTGGACCCCGTGGGCTGCGATGGGTTGCTTTGGGTCACCCACCTCCAAGCAGTCGGATGTGAACTCGGAGGACTCGAAAAGCCAGAAGCGCCGGAGCGATGCAATATCTAGACAGTTGCAGAAGGACAAACAGCTCTACAGGGCCACACACAGGCTGCTCCTCCTGGGGGCGGGCGAGTCCGGCAAATCAACTATAGTCAAGCAAATGCGAATATTGCATGTCGACGGATTTTCTGACTCGGAGAAGAAACAGAAAATTGATGATATTAAAAAGAATATTCGAGACGCTATCTTGGTAAGTTTTAAATTCTTGGTGGGTAAAAAACCTAATTTTAACTTCATATTTCTTGCAGACTATTACAGGAGCCATGAGCACACTTAATCCACCTGTAGCTTTAGAAAAGAAAGAAAATGAACCCAGAGTGGAATACATTCAGGATTATGCATCTAGTAAGGCCATTTATCCAGCAACTATATAACTATATCTAACTACATATTCTCTTTATAGGTCCGGACTTTAACTATCCTCCTGAATTTTATGAACATACAGAAGAACTATGGAAAGACAAGGGCGTTCTTCAAACCTATGAGAGGTCGAATGAGTATCAATTAATCGATTGTGCGAAATAGTAAGTATTGCCTCTATTTTACATAGTAACAATCGATGTGGCCGAACAAATTGTTTTTGTAGCAATGTGCGAATGAAACATAATTTATTTATTAATCCCGAAAGTGCATGCCAATTATTCCGATAGCTTAACTGTGTGTTTTTCTTGGAAGTGAACCAATTACCGATGGTTAAGAATATTCGTTGGATTGGAAGTATGCAACTTATATTTATAAAAAAGTCAAACCGCTAGATGAAATAAATCCAGAAATGTAAATGCTTTGTAGAAGTGTGACTATCATTATTATATGATATTTATGACTTTAAAACTAAGCTAATTCACAATATCTCCAGTACATGACCTTTTCTTAAAGCTAACAAAATTCCAATTATATAGGTACTTACAATATTAAATTAGGCTTGTTTAAGCTATTCAGACCTAACACAAAACCTTCACTCATACTTACACTTCACATTTCACATTAAAGCTTCCTGGACCGAGTGAGCACAATCAAGAATCCAAACTATACCCCTAATGAGCAGGATATTCTTCGGTGCCGTGTTTTGACTTCTGGAATTTTCGAAACAAGATTTCAAGTGGACAAAGTAAATTTTCAGTAAGTTCAGCAAGTGATTTACAGACGAATTCCTAGTTAACCTTTGCAAATGTACGTGTGCAGCATGTTTGATGTCGGAGGACAGCGAGACGAGCGTAGGAAATGGATTCAATGTTTCAATGATGTAACTGCTATTATATTCGTAACTGCGTGCTCAAGTTATAACATGGTTTTGCGTGAAGATCCCACCCAAAATCGACTTCGAGAATCTTTGGATTTGTTCAAGAGTATTTGGAACAACAGGTGACACGTAAATGCTAAAACAATCTTAAAATGGAAACTCACCCACTTTCTTATAGATGGCTTCGCACGATTTCTATTATACTATTTTTAAATAAGCAAGATTTGTTAGCAGAGAAAATTAAGGCTGGAAAAAGTAAATTGTCGGAATATTTCTCCGAGTTTAACAAATACCAAACGCCAAGTAAGTAAAATAGTTGAATTCATCTTGCAACCACCATTAAATTCAAGGCGAAGGCTATCTTTTGATCAATTTCGGCAAGACTTTAAAACAGGGAAGGAAACATCGTGTCTACAATCGAAACCCGGATAAATTGGACAACTAAATCAATTGTTATCGAACTCACAAAGACAACAAATTAAAAAATGTGACAAATATTTTACCTTGACTAAAAAATTACGTTCAAAATTGAAACTCATCCCTAAATTAACTTAAGAAATTTAATGGATAATATGTTTTTGTCTAATTTCAAATGTGCTGTCGACACAGGTGACGCAATAATGGAATCCAATGACGACCCAGAAGTAATACGAGCAAAATATTTCATACGAGACGAGTTTCTGGTGCGTTTTAATCCGAGATCCTTAAATCTGATTGCTTATAGAGATTATTTATTTTTTATATATAGCGTATTTCTACCGCTAGCGGAGACGGTAAACACTACTGCTATCCACATTTCACATGCGCCGTTGACACAGAAAACATTAAACGTGTGTTTAATGATTGCAGAGACATAATTCAAAGGATGCACCTTCGTCAATATGAATTGTTATAGGTTATCCCCATCGCCGTAATGCAAGTAAATAAAAATATTAATGACTTACTGTTTTAAATATAATTATCAAATGTAATTTGTATTTAAATAGTCCCTTGATTAAAAAAAAAAATTCGCTGCATTTAGATCTGGTATGACCTTTCACAAAACTCAACATTAAAGAATAATAAATAAACATGTTAATAACAAAAACGCTTGTTTTAATCATAATATCTATGAGGATGCAATGCACATTGTTTATTTTCTATAATCCCTTGACATGAAGCATTTTAAGAGTATATTCGATCGTTATCGGTATCCATATCCGTGAGCATTTACAATGGTTGGAGGGAGTATCACTAAACGAGTTGGTTGAGAATACTGAAGCTGGCGGAAGCCTTGTCGATCTCATCGAAGTTCCTTTTGAGCTTACTGCTCCAGGTGTCCTTGTACATCGGGTCCATCCTCACCAGGTAGGGCAGCATGTCTCTGTGATGCCCAGTCCCGATCTTTCGATCTCCACAGGGCTTAACGGTGTACTTCGCCTTAAAATCCGATTGACTGCACTCGTAGCACACGACCGTTTGTCCATTGGCAGCGGAAATAAGTCTGTGGGATACAGATAAACGTGTTTAAGGATTAACTTTAATGAGTAACACTGTCTCTTGTGGGTAAATAGGCACTTTAACTTTTAGGATGGATAGAGGGTGTCACATATATTATATGGATCTGTTATCTGCATATTTACATACTGTTATATACAGTACCTTTTCCGATAACATTCGGATAAGACCTGATAGCAGCTATTTAATCTTTAATTTTTGATAAGTATGTGAGACACGATGGAAATTCACGTGCATCTGTTATATTTGATATAGTGTATCTGTTACCACTCACCTAACTATAAAAGGTCCATCGTACTTCTTTGAGCCAGCTTTTTAAGGAGAAAGGATGGATTAATAAATGGTAAGTTAAGTCGTCAGTTAAATTTGATTTTGATGACTATAAACTATTTACAAGTCTCACTCCGGTGGCGTCTTCAGAATAGGGCTTTCTAAATACAGGGGTAAAAATAAAACTATTTTACAAATGCAATAATTTATTAACAATTAGTAGCTACATCATTTTATATGCACATATAACATAAAGCCCAAGCTGTTTATTTACATTTCAGTTTCATTTCGGGTCTTGATATGGTCAAAGTCAATGGTGTGGTAAAGTAAATATTTTATACGAGTTCTTAGTCGCTTAGTAGCCGTCTACTTTCAGATCTCTTTATCAAGTGTCCGCCGCCGATACTGTCTAAGCCCCGTTTTGAAACTGTTCGCGATAACCTCTCTTGAAAGGCTTCAAGATTTTTGTTTTTAGAGAGAAAAAGGTTAAAATTTCTTAGGAAGAGCTTGTATAACTCGTTAAATAGTGGCGATGAGGTTGATAGGTCGTCGTTTGAAAATCCTGTTTGTCGTAAACTTTCGAGGTTTCCGTTACAAAATTGTTTTAAAGCTGAAATATCTGGTCCAAAAAATAAAAGGAAATTAGGAATTTAATTGCTTATGTACAAACTAAACTATTAAAAATACAAGTTTATAGTTTTTAACTTTAATAAACTTCGGATATTGATTTACATTGTGCAACCCATAAGCAATCATGTTTTATACCTTCACATAGATATTTTCCATCCATCAATTCATCGTTAGAAATGTCCTACAATAAGAATATTACGTTGTAGCATTTTGGCTTAGTCCGCTTGCGATTTTCAAATATTTTCGAAAACACTTCGAATACTCATATTAGTATATTCTTACCACACTCGGCGCTGTTTGAATAAAGTTTAGGAACACCGATACAACCACTAGGACAATATAAAGATTCATATTTCCAATCGTTGACCTTTGGACCGATGCACTTGGAAACAATACTCGACAGGGTTTTGAAGAAGACTGTGCGCTTTATTCTGGCGCGGTCCGTTTTATACCCGATTCGGGCCAAACATCCTCTGACTTAAACAGGGTGATGGTAAATTTATGATGCAGATAACTAACGACAGCTAAAAGACCCACAGGAACGCACCCGTTATTAACGGCTTAGTGGTTGTTATTGTTGGTTTGGCTCGGTTAGTGCGGTTTCCTTTATGCTCTTAATGCGTCACTTGCACCATATTTCTAGCAACTAATGGTAAATACTCCTACAAACAGACCAAAGTGGTGTCAAGATTTCAGCAAACATACGCGCACTCAAACATATGCTCGAATTATTAGATTTAATTTTCATTTATACAAAAGCTTGGCGGCCTTTCTGCGTCCTTTGCTTTCGTCATTTGACGGGTTAATTGAGTTAACCACGAATTTAATTTGTCTAGAAAGTGTCTTGGAATGGAATGAAAAATTAGAGAAATGTTGTAACAGCATAGTTTTAGTATCGAAAAAAAGGCAAAAAAAGTCAAGGCAAGTTTACATTTATGAAACTTTCGGTTTTAAAAACGCGATTAACTAAAAATTAAATTCGTTTTAAACATATGAGATGGGTTTCTATCTATTATAATTTTTATACTTTAGCTTTGAACACTCAATAATAAAAATGGCGACGGTTTTATTATTTATATGACATAAGGTCAAATTGATACCCATTTCATATCAAAATGTTAGTGCTATCACGAGAATATCCCAAACTAAATGAATAATTAAAACTATAAATGGAATAAGAAATTATAATATGGTTGCTCTTTTCTTACTGTCACTTTCCACGGCATAAATTCTTTCAAAACAAAGAAATATTTGAAATCAATTTATTTTCGATTCAAAAAGTATACCTAAATTCACCCGTTGAGATACCCCCAACGAAAAAATAATCGATTTCCATGCTATCGCATGCTGAAGCACCCTGTTTCCGGACTATCATAATGTTTTCATCATAGTATTTTGCGGCACATATATTGCGAAATGTCCAGATTTCTCTTGAACAAACGCTTTGTTCCCAGTTTGGTCCAGGTTTGTGCCGATCTTTTGCTTCCAGCTCATATGATCTCATAACGCCACGTACATACTCCTACTTGCAGCAAGATTTCTTGCTCGCCGGCTCATGGATTCCGTCACAATCTCGGAGGGGAAAGGCCTCAACACCGATAAACATGTGTGTAATGTTTGTGCCACAGCAAGAGGTAGGTTTTATTAAATGATCACCCGAGTCCATAGGCTAACTCCTACATTTCCAAGGCCTGGGTAGTCGAGCGCATGGGCCGGTTTCATAGGATTCTGGATCCCGGACTCAACATCCTCGTTCCGGTGGCGGACAAAATCAAATATGTGCAGAGCCTGAAGGAAATCGCCATAGATGTGCCGAAACAGAGTGCTATTACCTCCGACAACGTGACCTTGAGCATCGACGGAGTGCTCTATTTGCGTATCATCGATCCCTATAAAGGTAGCTCCCCCAATCCATACATATCTGCATATTATATATTGGTTATATCACCATTAAGCTTCGTACGGCGTGGAGGATCCAGAGTTCGCCATAACACAACTGGCCCAGACGACGATGAGATCCGAGCTGGGCAAGATGTCCATGGACAAGGTGTTCCGCGAAAGGGAGTCCCTCAACGTCAGCATCGTGGACTCGATTAACAAGGCCAGCGAGGCGTGGGGCATTGCCTGTCTGCGTTACGAGATCCGTGATATTCGAGTGAGTTGATGACTCTCTAGTGGAGATCCCTTCAAGTAATCCCTGTTTCAGCTGCCCACCAGGGTCCACGAGGCGATGCAGATGCAAGTGGAGGCCGAGAGGCGGAAACGAGCGGCTATCTTGGAATCTGAGGGTGTTCGCGAGGCGGAAATCAACATAGCCGAGGGAAAGCGGAAGTCCAGGATCCTAGCCTCCGGTTAGCGGGATTAAACCTTTCAAAATGTATCCCTTACTCAAGATTCCTTCTCTTCCACAGAGGCCGAGCGCCAGGAGCACATCAACAAGGCGAGTGGCGAGGCGGCTGCCATTATAGCCGTGGCGGATGCCAGAGCTAGGAGTCTGCTGGCCATCGCCAAGTCCCTGTCTCATTTGGTGAGTAATTCCTGGGAATCCTCTTCATATTCAGGCAGGCTGCTAGGCATTTCCTCTTAAATCCTTTGAAACTACACTCCCATCACAACAAAACAAATATTCAAACTCCGAGATGTTTCAACCGGAGTACGAACAACGTTTGCTTCGGGGATTGACGGGCGGAAGGAAGGAGCAGTTGGATCTGCGCTGCATTCCGACACGAGCTGGTAATCAGTGGGCTCGGAACTTTGCCATCGCTCCCGGGGACTCCAGTGAAATGTGCGAGAACTCTGCGTACGCCTGTCTGCTGCGCAACGAGTACCTGGATGAGCAGATATCCTGCCTGGAAAACTGCAAGCAGGGCGCGGAGCTCCACGCCCAGACGGGTGACTTCAAGGTGCCGGAAAACAACCGAATCTATGGATTTGCCAATGGCGATGCTTCGCCACCGCTGCGTACTCCATTCGCAAACATAAGTGAGTCCAGTCAGCGGCTGCTCAGCATATCGAAGCGACCCGTGCGCCGATTGCCGCGGCGGCCGTACAAGATACTCGATGCACCGGAGCTGCAAGATGACTTCTACTTGAACCTCATCGACTGGTCGTCGCAGAACACTTTGGCCGTGGGCCTGGGCTGCTCGGTTTACCTGTGGAGTGCCGTCAGTGGACAGGTGACGCGACTGTGCGACTTCAATCAGGAGGACAACCTAGTCACAGCGGTTAGCTGGCACGGTGACGGCCGCCAGGTTGCCATTGGAACGCAGTCCGGCTACGTGAGCATCTGGGATGCCGAGCGGCAGAAGGAGATCAACCGATTGGACGGGCACTCGTCGCGGGTAACTGCGCTGGCTTGGCGCGGCTACAGATTGGCCAGTGGCTCCCGCGATCGTACCATTTTGCAGCGGGATGTCCGCAGTCCGCCGACGCACATAACCCGTTGCTTGCGCGGACACCGGCTCGAGGTGTGTGGCCTCCAGTGGTCGCCCAGCAATCGCTACTTGGCCAGTGGAGGCTGCGACAACCGCCTGCTGGTTTGGACGGACGATTGGCCAGAGCCCATTTACGCATTCGACGAGCATAAGGCGGTGGTAAAGGCTCTGGGCTGGTCGCCACATAAATCCGGTCTCCTGGCCAGTGGCGGTGGCTCTGCCGATCGATGCTTGCGCTTCTGGAACGTGCTCACTGGCAAACAGGTGCAGTGCATCGACACCGGCGCCCAGGTCAGCAACTTGGCCTGGGGAAGGGATTCGGCGGAAATAGTCACTACACACGGACTGGCGCAGCCACAGGTTATTGTGTGGCGCTATCCCTCGCTGAAGCAAGTCACCAGGCTGACGGGGCACACGCAACGAGTCCTCCACCTGTCCGTAAGCCCGGACAATGAGTCCGTTGTAACTGGCGGCGCAGACGAGACGCTCCGCTTCTGGACGGTGTTTACCAAGCAACAAACGCCCAAGGAGCCGAACTCTGTGCTCAGCCTGTATCAATCCATACGTTGAGAGCAAAATTGCGACGTGTACCCCTTAATTTTCTGAAGAATTATATTTATTATTAGCTTAAGACATGTATTTATCACTTGACTTGAATGGCTATTTTCTATTTTTCAGGATGGACAAAATGCTGCTTCCCTTACGCTGGCCGAGCAATACATTGGAGCCTTTAAGAAGCTGGCCAAGACGAATAACACCATGATCTTGCCATCGAATCCTGGAGATGTCAATGGCTTCGTGGCCCAGGCACTGGCTGTGTACAATCACGTTTCCCACTCCAACCAGGCCAACAAGTCCTCGGAAAACGTCAAGGGCGTGGGCGCCTGCTTGAACGCAAAGAATGTTGAGTACAAGGAGTTGCAGGAGGATAAAAACAGTGTGAAAATGAATATTGAATAGGAATGAATAAAAGGTTGTTGCTATTACATTTGCACCACTCATCGTTACGTTATTACCAAGGCCAGGCATTTATTTAAATTTTAAATAAAAAAGCAATTAGTTTCAACAAACGATTATTTATTTGCCCCTTTACTTTGGCAGATACTTCAGCAGTCGAACCTCGTGGGATAGCCACAATGCAAAACTAAGGAGTATCAGCGACCCGGATTGATGGGCAGTCGCCAGAGGAACGGGCACGTAGTTAAGCAAGGTGGTCACGCCCAGAGTGGCCTGTGTCCAGGCCATGGCCACCACGGCGTTGATGGCCCAGTTGGCCCGCTTCGGCAGCTTCATCCTCCTGGTCACCAGCCACAGAGCTGTGGTTAGGGTCACTGTGCTGATGCCCAGGATTCGGTGATTGAACTGCACTGTCGTGGGATTCTCGGTTATGTTCTTCTGAATCGGCTCAAACTTCCACATGTCGTCGGGGATCCAACTGTCGCCCATCTTGGGGAAGGAGTTGTACACCAACCCGGCGTCTAGTCCGGCCACAAAAGCCCCCGAAACGGCAGTCAGCAGGACCATGGCCTTAGTGAGGTGCGTTAGGCCCTTGATATTAAATGCTTTCTTGGCTTGAATCACGAACGTATTCGTGGGAATCAGCAGGGACAGGGCTCGCGACAGGGAGAGTGAGTACAGGATGAAGGCAGCTGCCAGGTGCGAGGCCAATCTGTACTGGGATACCCGCGGCACATCGTTGGGATCCTGGAAGCGGTCCTCCAGTCCCGACTTGACCATGTACCAGCCCATCAGACCCTGCAGACCGATCAGGGTGCCCAGCAGCAGGACGCTCTTCTTGGTCTTGGCACTGAAGTATCCCTTCCTCCAGAAGTAAGCGGCGGGCAGTAGGAAGAAGCCGCCAATGGCACGTCCCCACATTCGGTGCATGTACTCCATCATGAATATGAACTTGAACTCCTCCACTGTCATGTTAACATTCTTTCTGAGGGAGGAGATAAGGGTTTACTTATTGGATTTGTGCTGATTTAAAGAAGTACCCACAACTTGTACTCCGGATACTGCTGGTACAGTGTGAACTCCTTTACCCATTCCTCCTGCGTTCTGGGCAGCCGTTCACCCGTCAGCTTCCAGGTGACCATAGAAAGTCCGGACTCTGTCAATCTGGTTACGCCGCCTGAAAATGATGATCCTCAGTTAGGATCCGCTAAATTGATAAGGAAAATAATAGTTACCCAGACCAACGGCCACAAAGACCATGCCGCTGACTCCGAGGAACCATCTTCCCACGATTTTGTCGCTCTTTGGAATACTTATGGGTTTAATCACTGGGATTTCCTAAAAGATATACATAATTTTATTAATAATACATGTAATCACTGTGATTATGCACCTTTATCGCCGTTTGCGCAATAGTTTGATGAAGCCGGGGGCCGGGTACCAATAGCTTTATGAGGCTGGTTCTCTTCTGGAGCATTCGCAGCATTGTGTTAATTAAATTAAGTGACTTATTATTGTCTAGAACAAATATTTAAATAGTTATTTGGGTTTTTAACTATATTTACAAATGCCGCAGGCTGCAAGTATGACCGCAGCTGAAGCTTATGGAAAAAATACCGAAATCACTTTGAAAAATACCGCAGAGAAAAAACCGGTGTGAGCAGTCTGGCAACGCCGCAAATGTAATAAAGAAAAAACACAATCGGCTTCTCGTAAACAATTTGCTGAATAAAATGGAAACAATATTAAATACGCAGTTCGAGCAGCTGCAAAAGGCCATCGAGGGGATAATGGAGGCGAAGAGCAAGGTAAGTGTGATTTTAGTAGTCCGAAACACCGCTTATTTCGCACTTTACAGGGGCAATCCTCCGATGAGGGACGCACTGCAGCCACCCTGATGTTTGTGGCTCTGAAGCACGCCAACCGCGAGGTGAAGCACAAGATCAAGGCTGGCCGGGATAAGCTGCACCTGGAGAAGTGCAAGGTGGACCTCAGCCGGCTGCAGCTGCAGAATCTGCTCTACGAAGTGAGCCACCTGAAGAAGGAGATCGTTCGCTGCCAGAAGTTCAAGAGCAGGGACACCAATCTGGAGCTTCTCTCGGAGACCGAGTACGCCAGCAAGTTGCCCGGAATGGAGAACGACAAGGGGGAGTTGTCCAGCCACAAGCAGCACCTTCATCGCCTCGACTGCGAGCTGCGTTTGCGCAAGGATCTGGACAAGCAGTACAGCGCTCTGCTGACCTCCAAGCAGGAACTGCTCCAGGACAATCTCAGCCACGCCCAGCGGTACATCTCCTTTGCCCCAGCCCTGCGCACCTTGCAGGGCGCCACCAAGCCGCTGCACGATGCCCTTCAGCTGTCGCTCGACGTGGAGTGGAAGCTGAGCGCCGTGGTCAAGTACCTGCCGAAGCCCCTGTACATTCTGTTCATTATCCTGCAATCCCTGCAACGGGCCAGCGAGACTCAGCCCTTCACCGCCGAGGTGGTGGGCTACGAGAGCGAGGCCCAAATGCAGGAGCTGCTGAAGGAGAAGCAGTACGCAACCTTGCACCGTGGACAGAATGACAAGGAAGCTGCAGTGGAGAACGGCTTGGAAGACGCACTCGCTCCGAATCCACTACACATTCGCATGACCGTAAGTATATATGCTTCACTTTATTTGAATTACATTACAATCTCAAAAACTATAGATTGGAGCCGCCGGAGCGAATCAGCTCATCTTGCAGATTCGTTATTTCGAATTGATTAAATGTGCCACTGTCTGGGGCCAGCTAAACTACGCCAGCAATGCAAACGGCCAGGGGTAAGCTATTAAATAAGCCAAGAGAAAAATAACATAAATAACTAGTCATCTTTTTACAGTGATACAAACTTTGTGCACCACCTTCTGCGTCATTTGTACGCCAATGATTTGGGCAATGAAATACCCATTCCTGGAATTCAATACGAGGTAAGACGATCGTAGGTCTTACATTTCCACAACAAACTAAAATGATACTTTTCAGCTGCGAAACTCGGATTTAACCTCTGAAGAATGTGTGCGTTATTTGAAGGCCAAAGACTTTGGAAAACCTTTCTGTTGGCTGCAAACCATGTGTTCGATTCCAACTGTCAACACTTCTATGCTGTACAATCACGAACTAAACTTGAACAAGAACACCCGGGAGATTATCGATCGCATTGCCAGGCGCTGGAACTCCTGGATGCGTTTGAGCCAGCAGATTCGTGGTCTGACGTACAAGGACATTGATTTGTATACCCTCAAGGAGAACATCTATCCAGCTGGACTGTCTTGCAGCCTTGTCCAATGGACTGCCATAACACACGAAGAATTTCATTCGCAAATTTCAGACATATTGAATATTTCGTCAGACGACAAGGGCATTACATACAACACTTACCGCGCTGTTATCGTCAGGGGATCTGCGAAAATGGAGTGTTTTATCAGAATACCAAGTAACTATCCACTGGAGATGCCTCTGTGGATTCTAAATGTGCACTGGAACGGCTGTCATACCTCCCAAAACAATTCGGCAATCAAGGTGAGCATTAATTCACCCTTTTCTTGCAACCAGTTATTCATATTCTTTCTTTAGATGATGGAGTTCTGGACCAACTCGCTGCAACCGAAGCAGTTGGAGGCCAACGAGCGCATTCTGTATGCCCAGCTTTTCCGGACCATCTACAGCTTTGACATATTCCTCGAAACCGAGGGCTCCATGCAAAGCACCGTCGAGTACAACAAGGAAAAGCCTTACATAAGTGCCTTTGCCAAACGGAGCCGCTCGCGTCCATACAAGTATATCAAAAAGGGATCGGTGTATGCGTTCAAGCAGTGACGGTTCGAAATCGAATGTGTTACAAAGCTTCAATGCAGTTACTAAACATTTTCACAGTTTCCGTTTATTACGTTTAGTAATACAATAAATAAGTAACATTTAAAGCTAGCTACGCCTTCAATGGCAGTTGATCTTCTGTGAAGTGGTCGCCGCCAAGGATCCGGGAGGCAGTGCCGTCGCCGAGGGGTTCTCAACAGCCTCCCGACTCTCGTCCGGCATCACCTTGTCCACAATGTGTTTGGCAATCAGCCCATCGTCGCCCAGGTAGCAGACGGAGTAACCATCGTACCAGGCCTCCTGATCCTTCAGCACTTCCTTCAGCTGCCAGATTTTGTATTTCCAAAACTGGAACATGACCTTCAGCCCGGAAATGCCCCGCACTCGCCACCTAATCCTCACCGTGTAGTCATCCTGGTGCTTTGTGATCTTGAGGACCTCGAACTTTACGTAGGCGTACTTCAGGTGACCCACCGTCCGCAGGATGGCAATCTGTTTGACGTAGTGATACAGGCCCACCGTGTGCTTGCCCGTGATGTTGTTCTGGAAGATGAGTCCCGGACTGTAAATGGAATAGTCCAGGGGCTCCACGAACAACTTGGGCAGCGTGGTTCGCAGGACTTCGTAGGCTCGATCCAGGTCCTCCGGCTTCCTCGCGTTCTCTTTGGTGTTGCCGGGCTCCCTTTCCGCTTTGGCGCTTTCGTGGACCATTCGACTTTGCTGGAGGTTATCGGCTACATGGCTATTTAACAACTTTGGGTGGCACGCTGCCGGCCCGGGTGCATTTAGCCTCATGGCGAAGGCCCACGCCCGTTCCTTGGAGCACCAGTTGGCCAGCCAGCTGCTCCTTCTTATTGATAACATCCCGAAATTTCGCATCATCTTGCAAGGACTTTGTATTCTACTTCCCTCACCGGAACTTGGTTTCCCTCGAGTCGAATCTACTTGGTCAGCAGATCACACCATTCAAATATTACGTTGCTCCGGGTTATTTGGCTACTTTTCGTTTGCGGCCTGCAGGAATTTGACGTACTCGTGTTTAGGTAACGACATTTGGAAATAAAATACTCGGCAAAAATCATATGGTCGCCGAGTGTTACCAGGTGGTGACCCATTGATTACCCATGAAATTAAAACGCGCGCGCTTTTTATTTTTAAAATATTTGGAAATGAAAATCTCACTATGACGTTGTGCAGATCAATATCAATGATAAAAGTGGTCAGAAGTAACTAATATTTCAGTTTTCATCTAAGGTTTTCATATATTTTCGTTAATATGACTAGCGGAGTGTTGTGTAACTTTTATTACTTTGGAGAGCAAAGCCCAATGATAGGGTGTCCCAATCATTTAAACTAGAATTATATGATAGCAATATGCATCAGCTAAAAAATTATTTTAATTATTGATTGTGATGTTTTTTACTAAGCCTGTTGATAAATAAATTCAAACTTTGAAAATATACTTATACCATTAAATTATGTAAAAACGATATTAGAAATTAAATTTTTCGAGTTCTATATTCTTCAAATTATAAATTCGAAAATGATTGAAAAATTTAAGGGCGCAACTAAAACTTTTGCGATTAAAATAAGAAAGTCATTTTTTTACTGCTTTATTATGAGAACGATTATTTAAAAATAAAGTTGTTTTTAGTTAAAAAGTCTTACCTAATAAATATTTGATTTTTTTTAACTCACCCAAGTAATTCCCATTCCTGTTTAGTACCTCAACAAATATCGAATCATCCTAGCCCTCAAATCGATACTCGACTCCTTTGTAACGGGAAACTGTTGCATTTTACAGTACTATATGGTTTTGCTGCGCAGACTTCCTGCGCAGACCAATTTGTTACAAGCTCGAATCCGAATCACACACAAATCTGGAGGCATACACATATATTTGTCTACAAGTAAACACGTTGTTTACAGACACCTAGCTATATAACTCACTAATTTAAGCTAAGGAGCTTTCGTTGGCTGAAAAATCGACTTTTATTTGAGCTTAAACCTACAAATCCCTCGAACTATGACGCATTAATCGGTGACGGTATTATTGAGTGCCAAATACTTGATTTAGTTTCAATGTCTATTCGACTCTGCTAGCCTTTAGTATTGAGAAAAATCAATAGGAAGTAAATTAAAATGTTACATGCCTGAAATACGCTTTGTGGATATTTAAGGAAATATATAATCAATTTTTTTATTGAGAATTGACGAATCCAAAATGTACGGAATAACTCAATCAACTGTGAACGTAAGTTTTTGACCGGTCATCCCACAGACTTTTATGTACTTCCAGTCAAGCCTACTGGCTGCCTCGCCTTTATTTCTCTGTGGATTATTGATTGGCCCTGAAACTTGATCAATATGCGTGCCTGTTCCCTTCCAGAATCAACGCTTTCGAGTTCGTGATATGGATAACGAGCAAATCATGTCCACTTTTGGGAACATAGGACACCTACTGAACATTGCTGTGGAGCGATTTATAACGATTGGGGAGATAATCGCCGAGGAGAATATCGACATCAAGGGGGACATGTACGAGGCTGCAAAGGAGGCCCGAGATGCAGGTATAATACAATCTACTCCCCAACTTGACCCGTTCTACAACTTAAATGCCAACTGACTTGCAGGAAAATCAATTGAACGCCTTTGTGATATATCTCCTTTGGGTGGTATGGAGCTGCGACACCACATTGAGCCCCTGAAGGACTACGGCGCCATTATCCTGGCAGCCAGGTCCCTACTATCCTCTGTCACTCGAATCCTACTCTTAGTGGACATTATAGTTGTGAAGAAACTCCTGACCGCCAAAAAGCGAGCCTCGGAGAGTCTGGAAAAGCTGGAGTCGGTAATGAACTTCACCGAATTCGTGCGGGCTTTCTCCGTCTTTGGAACGGAGATGATCGAATTGGCCTACCTCACGGGTCACCATCGGAACTCCTTCAAGGAGGAGAGGCGGCGAGCGCAGATGTTTTCGGCCCGCCAGATCCTCGAGAAGTCCATTGCAATTCTGCTAACGTCCTCGAAGAACAGCCTGATCCACAGCGACTGTGTGATCGTCAAGGAGAACCGGGATACGGTCTTTTGCCAGATCCGCAGGGCAATGGATCTCATACACTTTGTGGTGAAGGACAGCATCTTCGATTCGGCCAAGCACATGCCCTTCGACAAGCAGGCCAGCAATCCGAACTATGAGAACGAGAGCATATACACGACAATAAAGCGGATTGTGAACCTGATCAAGAGGTACAAGTACCAGATGAGCTACTACGACAGCAACAACGAGGGCAACAACAATTCGGATGCTTACTTTAATTTCCTGGACGACGATCTGTGGAAGTCGGAGAAGAACTTGGCCTCCTCAGCGGGCGGAGGCGGTGGTCGTATGGTGAACAACACCAACTTCAGGAAGCACATGAGTTCCGAGAGCCTCGATTTGCGCGAGGAACTATCGGTGGCCTTCGAGAAGCTCTTCGAGAAGGCCCACGACTTCACAGACTCCCCGTACATAAGTCACAATCATCGAAAGAACATTTTGTCCTACTGCGACAGCTGCAAGATGGAGTTCGATCTATACCTGAACAACATCATGAAGGATCAGCATGAACAGGGTGCCGGTGGGGTCCAGGTGAAGGGTCAGGGTCGCGACGATCCCGAGCTGGGGATGCTCAGCAGTCTGGAGGAGCTGTGCAAGCAGCTCGTCGTCTCCGTGTCCAGTCAAATCGAGGACTTCAACGAGTCCCTGAAGATCTGCTCCAAGCTGGTCAAATCGTTCCACGTCCTGGCAACGAACTACGACATCGACAATCTGAATCAGCGCTCCACGAAGTTCCACGACTGCTGCGATCACATCTTCGACATCTGCAAGCTGCTCCAGCACATTGCGCCCACGGAAAGGCTGCAGGTCCAGGCCAAGTGTTTGGCCATCAATTTGAGGATCTACGGACCGCAGGTCTTTATAGCGGCCAAGATCCTGTGGAAGTACTCGAACAGCAGTGCGGCCAACGAGAATTTCGAGTCCTTCTCGGACATGTGGAAGTGGCTGACGAACGAGATCTCTATGATCGCCAAGAAGATACTTGTATCAATTAATACTACTAAGAACGACAGAGAAGCTGAAACTGAGGTGGGTCGTTATTAATTTAGGTTGCCCTTTCAGTAAGATTCCTAACGTTACTTCCCTCAGAAATGTGAAACCACAGATAAACTAACAAAATCCGGTGTACCTGCAACAGAAGATGGAGAAATGGTTGAGTATTCTGGCCTCGAAGGCAAAAACAATGGAGATCTAAACACATATCAATCAAAATGGAGTGAAGACTTGTCGGACGACAACGACATATTAAAGAGAGCTAAGAACATGTCAGCGATGGCTTTCCTAATGTATCAGTTTACCAAGGGAAACGGTTCTTTAAGAACAACTCAGGATTTGTTTACTCAAGCCGAATATTTTGCGGAGGAAGCCAATCGACTTTACAAAGTCCTCCGCCACTTTTCATACCAGGTAACCTGGTATCTTTTGTTATCTATCCAATCTTTTATTAATAACTGTTTTATTTAGGTTCCCGCTAGTGACAACAAAAAGGATCTCCTTAACATTTTAGATAGAGTGCCGACTTTTGTCCAAGCACTTCAATTTACAGTCAAAGACCACACGGTTGGTAAAGCTGCCACTTTTGTGAAGGTCGATCATGTCATCAGAGAAACCAAAAACCTTATGAACGTAATAAATAAAGTAGTATCGAAGTGCTTTGAGTGCGCAACTAAGGTAAATAAGTCAAGGCCAAGCCATGCGGCCATTTCGTATAGTTAAAACTACAAAGATTTCGATGTGTATCAGTTTTATGATTTACTGTGATATTAAAGCATGCATTATTACAGGTACCTATGATTTTAGACGTTTCTTTCTTTTTTTAAAAGCGGACAAGGAGAATTGCTTTGGTTTTAATGCTTTGATAACAGTTTCTAAACTCTATGTAGTATGTTTATAAAAAACCCCTATTTTAAAAAGATAATTTGTTCTGTAGAAAACTAAATTTCCTCTTATAACCTTTAATTAAATGATTTATCTTCACAGTACAGTAGGTATATAAAATGCTATCTTTGGATGTACTAACGTATCTCATTTTAGTTTTATAATTAAACTATTCCTTAATTCTATAGTTTTACAGTCCAAACCCAATACTTTTAATTTACTTAATTGTTTATTTAACCCAACTTAAGTTTAACCTCTAAAGTATGTAAAGCTAAACCACTTTATAACACCCCCTAACGGTTTTAAAAATCCCAGTTAATATGTGTGAAATGAAGTTACTCCTTCAAAATGATAATTTAACCCAACTTAACGTGAATCTTTAATTTGTTTCTTGCTAGTCATAAGCTATGAAAGTAAGCCCTCTTACATACCACCCCTTATTAACTTGCAGTACAAACTAAATTTAACTGGGATAACCGGAGGACTAACATCTGAGAGGACTAACGAGAACATGGCCGGTGGAATGTGCGATTCCAAGGGCACGACAAGCAGCAGCGATATTCCCTGACATTACGGGATGGCTCGAAGAGCCAAGGGGGATGCACGGAGGACGAGGGTATCATTTTTACTGTTCTGAGCCCAAAACCTTTTATTATTATTATAGTCTACACTGTTAGCATTCTTAATACATTCAATTTTGTGTATTAGTTGAGGCCGCTTCTAGCGTTTATTAATGTCGAAAACTTTATTAACATACAAAATCCAATTAGTTGTCTTAACAGCACGATCTTATAATGCATATTTTGTTTCACTACATTCGAAAAATAACGGCAATAAAGGTAATGAAAGATGCAGATATGTATGCGAAATTGTTTTAAATTGGGTCTATAAATCCGTTCGTAAGTAGTTCTTATTAGTTTCATTCACGACGTGACTTCGGGGACTATTGCTGCAGCAGCTTGTCTTCGGTTCTTGGGATAAATTATAAACTTTAAGGGCCACTGTTTCTTTTAATTGATCTGTTTGCGCTGTTGAATTCTTTAGTTTAAGCAGGTTTTTAAACAGCATTAGGTCCAAAGCAAATAAAGCTGCGCAGATGAAAGAAAGTGATCCCAAGACATAGGCATAAATCAAAAGATTCTCAGGTAGTTGTTCCACGGTAAAGAATATGAGTAGTCCTAGAATATATATTTAGAACTCTGTAATTATATAAAATTTTAAAAGTTACCCTCTATGGTGAAAAATAGAACTCCACAGGTCAGCAGAATTATTTCGCAAGTACCATAATTCGAGGTTGAATCGATAATTCTGAAATAAAATGAAGATTTTTACAAGAACTAGGTAGTTATTGTTTAAAGTCACCTTGTGAGAAGTAAAACTGCCGAAATAAAGGTATATCCCAAGAACGTAAGCGTGCTAAAATCGTCGCCTTCTTTGGACCAAGAGATATTGTTCAGAAGTGTCCATTCCCTGGATTGTTTTTTGTTAAGGACAAACACCCTTTCCGAATATTTGTCCGACAATCTTTTCACAATCAGCGATGCCACTGTAGCAATCTGTCAATGAAATGTACACGACTTGATTAGATTTCTCTCTTTCAAAGTTTTCCGTTCACAAAATCAGACTGAAAGAGTTAGGTCACTTTGAATGTACAAACTACATTTATGATCATTTATGATCTTGAGAAGATACTTGCAAGCTGGAGCACTTTGGTGCATATACAAGCCGCTAGTCCCATGTTAGACGTTCTTAACGATAACTTTACTACTGAGACACGTACGGGCAAAATTTACCTGACCCATGCAAATTTTCTCACATTTGGCTGCGTTGTTTAGCGTGGGAAAAGACAAAGTCAAAGAAGTGACTGAGCCAAGAGAAACATTCATTTATTACCCCTAATAACTTATACCTTGAACTATAGAACGAATCGAGTACATTTCAGCCTCAGTGGCGAATATTGTTTTATGCTTGTGGCCTTATCAGCCAAGTAAATATCAACAAAATAAATATATATGCGGATGCTTGATCTGTATATAAGCCCATAAACAAAAAAGCAAAACAAATACAGAAGCTCTGTGGAAAAGATTGCCTTATGCTTTATAATGTTATCAGTGCGATTGCAGTGAAATTAGCACAGCGATCTGAATTAAGAATTCGAAATACTCTATTGTTGTAATACAAATAATTGTCGCCTCGTTTCCAGCAACAAGTTAAGATTAATTTTATTATTTATTTAAAAAAAATGCCCAGTTCTCATAGGAATCCAAGTACCCCACTTTTTTAGGGCTATCAAAGTGGGGAAGCCATAAAGTTCATCACGTCGCGATCCTCAGTTTCGTTGAGGCAATCGGAGTGTAGAAAGCGATCACGGCGTATCGCACCTAGAAACAATTAATAAAAAATAATAACTGTAATGAAAATGAGCGTATGCATAATTGGGGCCGGAACGGCTGGTCTTTGCTCCGCCCGACACTCGATTGAAAATGGTTTCCAGACAACTGTGTTTGAACTATCTGACCGAATCGGCGGAACCTGGGTTTACAATGATGCAACAGGTGTCATGGCCAATGGCATAGATGTCCATAGCAGCATGTATAAAAATTTACGGTAGGTTCTACTTTAAAACGCTCAACGGTAGCAATCACATTTGTTAATTTTCCATAGAACCAATCTGCCCAAGGAGGTAATGGGCTTTCCGGACTTTGAAATTGGAGAAAACGAGGTTTCGTATGTGAGATCAGATGAAATTTGTGACTTCCTTAACCAATACGCTGACCATTTCGAACTGAAAAAGCATATAAAGTTCAATACCTATGTCATTCGGGTGGTACAAAGGAATACAAAGTGGCAAGTAAGTTAAATGGCCAGTAAAAATAAATCTTTATCTAACTGAACAGTTTAAAGGTACTTTATAAAGACGTAGTCACGAACAAGATAGAGTTCCATTACTTCGATAAAGTTATGGTGGCCAACGGACATTATCACACCCCGAACTATAGTAAAATTCCGAATATGAATCGTTTTAAGGGCGAGTACTTACACAGCCACGATTTTAGGACCAGAGAGGTTTTTGAAGGTAATTATTAAAGGTCCTTGAAAAATAAGTATAATCTTTATTGTTATCAAAAAAACCTAGGTAAATCCGTTTTGGTTATTGGAGCTGGTCCAAGTGGCATGGACCTTTCTAATATAATTTCCCGATCGGCGAAACGTGTTACAATAAGTCACCACTTGGCTGATATTGGGGAAAACATATTCTTTGAAAATGTCCAGCAAAAGCCCGATGTTCGGGAGCTCGATGAAAATGGAGCCTTTTTTGTGGACGGATCTTACGAGGAGTTCGATACCATTTTCTTTTGCACTGGATATAAGTATGTGTTTCCCTTCTTGACCGTAAATTCCGGGATTTATGTGGAGGATAACTATGTTCAGGAGTTGTTTAAGCAATGCATTAACATAAGAAACCCCTCTATGGCATTGATTGGCTTGCCATTCTATGTTTGTGCCGCTCAAATGATGGATATCCAAGCCAGGTTTGTGATGAGCTACTACAATGGATCGAATGATCTGCCGTCAGCAGAGGAAATGCTCAAGGATACCCACGATAAAATGACCAAGCTTTGGGAAGATGGCTACAGGAAACGACATGCTCATATGCTTGGTCCAAAACAGGTGAAATCTATCATTAAATTTATCATTTATGTTTTTAATTATCTGTTCTTTTGTAGATTGACTACTTCTCAGACTTGTCAAAAACTGCAGGAGTTAAGAACATAAAAGCTGTTATGACTAAATTGCATAACGAAAGCAGCAAATGTTTTAATGAGAACTTGCGTCATTTCCGAGAGGACAATTTTGCGATTTTGGATGATGAAACTTTTGTAAAATTAAATTAGCTTCTGTTATCCATCGGTTATTGGTATGTTTTTTTGTATTTGCTAATAAATAAAACGAGTTTATCTTAATTAGCATCTTTATTAAAAAGTTTAATAATTAGTAACGGTTTTACTTTGAAAACCCCTAAAAACGAAACAAACATTTGTTTGAACATGTTTCCTAGTATTTTTCCACGACAGCTGTTCAGTTTGCTGGCAGTATATTTTCCGTCGCTCTGGCCACACACAAACACCTCCCGCCCGCCCCCTCCTCCCGCCCTACACACCAATTCTTGCATAATTTTCGAATCGAATCGAAACACCTCACTTCACTTTCAAAGTTCGCTGATTTAGGTCGGGTCTTCAAGAGTGGAAAATCGCCTCGTCATGCAGTGTCCGTTCCTCAACCGCTTCACCGCCAGCTTCGTGCGCAACTACGCGGAGACGCTGTGCCAATCCTACGGGAGTCACTGCCCCGTGGTTGGAAAGACCTTGAGTGGTGGCGAGAAGAAACTTTCACTCGTCGCCGCAAGTGTTACAAGGTCCCACTCGACGGGGGCTCCGAATAGAAATGCCAATGCGGGAGCCCCTCTATCCGCTGAGCCTCGTAAGGTTGCCTCCACCTCGGAGACCTTTCCCTACGAGCGGTTCTTCAACGAGCAGATCATGAAGAAGAAACGGGACCATTCCTACAGGGTCTTCAAGAAGGTCAACCGCCTGGCGGGCGACGGGCTCTTCCCCCACGCCCTGGAGTACTCGGAGCGGGCGGAGAAACCGATCACGGTGTGGTGCTCCAACGACTACCTGGGCATGTCCGCCCATCCGAGCGTCAAGAGGGCCGTTCAGGAGGCCCTCAATATGCACGGATCGGGAGCGGGTGGCACCAGGAACATCTCGGGCAACTCGCTGCACCACGAACGGCTGGAGGGAAAGCTGGCGGAGCTGCATCAGAAGGAGGCCGCCCTGCTGTTCACCTCGTGCTTCGTGGCCAATGATTCCACGCTCTTTACGCTGGCTAAGCTCTTACCTGGCTGCCAGATTTTCTCGGACGCGGGCAACCATGCCTCGATGATCATGGGAATTCGGAACAGCGGGGTGCCCAAGCACATCTTCCGGCACAACGACGTGGACCACTTGCACCAGCTGCTGAAGCAGACGGACAAGAGTGTGCCGAAGATCGTGGCATTCGAGACGGTACATTCCATGACAGGGGCCATCTGCCCGCTGGAGGAGCTGTTGGACGTGGCCCACGAGTACGGGGCTATCACGTTCATCGACGAGGTGCACGCCGTGGGATTGTACGGCGATCATGGAGCCGGAGTGGGCGAACGGGACGGAGTGCTGCACAAAATGGACATCATATCGGGAACGCTGGGCAAGGCGTTCGGTAACATTGGTGGCTACATAGCTGGGTCCGATAAGCTGGTTGACATGATACGATCGTATGCGGCGGGCTTTATCTTCACCACCTCGCTGCCGCCAACTGTGCTCTGTGGCGCCCTGGAGGCCGTCAACATCCTGGCATCGGAGGAAGGTCGTCAGCTGCGCCACATGCACCAGCGGAACGTCTCCTACTTGAAAAACTTGCTGAAACGAGAAGGTGGGGTGTAATTTTAGACTTTATGTAACACACATTTAAGGTTATTCTCGCACTTTCGATTTATTTCAAGTGGCTATATATAGACAAATGCACTTAACTTTCGGTTTACTAACTGTGTATATTATATATGTATTCTATTTCAGGTTTTCCCGTCGAAGAGACGCCCAGCCACATCATTCCCATCAAAATCGGAGACCCTCTGAAGAGCAGCCAAATCTCAAACGTGTTAATTGAACAATTCGGACACTACCTGCAGTCGATCAATTACCCAACCGTTGCCCGCGGCCAGGAGAAACTCCGACTGGCCCCCACTCCATTCCACACTTTCGAAATGATGAATGCCCTGGTTACCGATCTAAAGAAAGTGTGGGAAATGGTGGACCTCTCGACAAACGTCCCGCTTTCGCCCAACGGATGCATGTTCTGTAACTCGGAGAGCTGCTGGCACCAGGATGCCTCCCCTGACCTGGAATGCGGAATCCCCAACTGCCCTCGCCTGGAAATCTCGGTTGCAGCATAGTTTGATCTTATGAACGACGTCTAACTGAAAGCATTCGAAATATTAGCTATGCCTAAAATTAACATTGCGGTTTTGGACAAATAAATAATGGTTTTGGTGCAATATACATGACGTAACTTTTGATTGGAATGGTTTAAGCTCTTTAATGACGCTTTGAGGGGTGATAAGGCCATTGGTCGAAGTGTCACCTTCGATAAGAAGTTGCGTGTTTCACGGGCGACGTCCATGCAAATGGTATTCTAATTGGGGAATCGCATGGAAGTCCCCTTAACCTGGGGTTCAAAGTCGTAGCAATATGAAACTAGATATATATTAAACTATGAATTGAGTTTGCCGTTTAGGTGTTCAATTTCCACACATTGAGCTTTCATCATCCCTTAAAGGGCTTACCCTGTTGGAAACAAATTAATGAAATTAATACCACATAAATTTTAGCAGACGCGGGGTGAGTCAGCTAAATATATAGCTGATAACCATGACCCTCCCATTAACGGATCAATATTTTTTTGTTTGATAATATAAAGATAATTGTCCATTTATATACACTTTGATAAGAACCGAGTTTTGTAGAATTCTAGTTACATAAATACTTAGGACTAGCTCAACAGCTGGAGGTTGTAAACAATGATTCGACCAAAAAGATCTGTACTGGACTCGAAAATAAACTTTATCTTTGAACAAGCTTTTTCCCGGACTGTATCTTTAAGCTGGAATAGCTGAGGAGAGTTTATGTCTTCTGGGTAAAATGGTTCTTGATGTATTTGGACTCCATCAGCGGAGTACATGATCATTTCCGATTTCAGGCCAGCGAATCCTCCTTGAAACTGAAAGCTAAATCCCGAGATCTTCTGTGGCTCATCCAAACTAACGGTAATCCATTGGGGGGTTCCCTGAAAATACGTAGAGTTATTAAGGGAGGTCTTTACATTTTTTAAATAATTCTCTATACTTCATCGGAAGTCCAAGAGGTGTCTTCTTTCGTATCAAACATTAGCTGCTTCCCATATTGCTTTACTTCTTTGTTTAAAACCGAGCTCACCCTAAAAATATGTATTTTTAATAAATGAGACTACAAAATAAAAATTCAATAATACCTGCAGTTGAAGTTAACTTCAGTTAAAATATTCATATTATCATAAAAATAGTAAATAAACAAAACGAGGACCGCGAGGTTAGATGTTTTAGAGATGGGCAATAATCAGAAATTCCAAAACTTTTAACGGAAATATTAACAAAATATTTAAAAAGTAAGGGCTTCTAAAAATAACCTTAATCCTGTAGAGGTTAACATTTTTATTTTTAAAATTTTTTTTAATAAATAAAACCGCTACTACAAGAAATATCGATATTTTGAAAGATAAAGCAAGTATTGATTTTGCAGCCCTCGTCGAAAAAGCAAAACAGCTGGCAGTTTAAACAACAATTACATTTTTTGTTTCACCTATCAAATAAATTGAAATGATAAAGGCTATACTCGTATTTAATAATCATGGAAAGCCCAGGCTATCGAAATTCTATCAGTACTTTGTAAGTGTTTTGTCGTATTTCCCAGTTCTCAATAATCTAGGAGAACTTTCTTTGTAGGACGAAAGCCTGCAGCAACAAATAATCAAGGAGACTTTTCTGTTGGTATCCAAGCGAGATGATAATGTTTGCAATTTCCTGGAGGGCGGGAGGTGAGTAATAATTGGGTCTTACTTACCCGGAATATGTAAAAACCCCCTATTCTTTCTTCAGCTTGATTGGCGGTTCGGACTACAAGCTCATCTATAGGCACTATGCCACGCTGTACTTTGTCTTCTGCGTGGACTCCTCAGAAAGCGAACTGGGAATCCTGGACTTGATCCAGGTGTTTGTGGAAACCCTCGACAAGTGTTTCGAGAACGTCTGTGAGCTGGACTTGATATTTCACGCCGATGCCGTCCACCACATTCTCTCAGGTTTGGAAAATAACTCATCCGCATCCCACTAGATTGGCATCTTAACGTTTTTTTTCCAGAACTGGTCATGGGTGGAATGGTCCTGCAGACCAACATGAACGACATTATGGCCAGGATCGAAGAGCAGAACAAGATCGTCAAGCAGGAGGCGGGTATTTCGGCTGCACCTGCTCGGGCTGTGAGCGCCGTGAAGAGTATGAACATTCCTCAACAGATTAAAGATATTAAGCTACCTGATCTGCCGCAGGCAATTAAGGACTTCAAGTTCTGACAAATGTACGTCTCGTAAATCTCACATCCTATTTATAATCTGTTGAAACTAGTGCTTTTTCTCAGTCCTTGGAGAATTTCCAACAGCAGTCGGCTGTTTTCGTAATATTAGGTCCCATTGATTTTACACATATATCTCCTCTACCGAATAAATATGCAAATTAACTACCAGTAGCAAGTACAAGTTACCCAGACTTTTGATTGCTTAACAAGGCGAAGTTTTTTACACTTCCGTTTTATTTTCAATGTGCTTAAAATGTACATACAAAGGGCCTTGCGTCCACTGCTCTTTGAATGATCTGTGTGCTGTATCAATTTAACATTTAACTTATACTGCTACTTAATTATACAATCAACTGTTTGTACTGGGAATATTAAGATCGTCTTCTTCACCCACTTCCAGCATAACTTGCATTATTTTCCGCTTCAGCCTCTTGCGAGAAATTTCAGAGTTCAGGTTACGGAATTCACTGGCGATTAGTTCTCCAAAGGCGTCCCATTGATCCCGGCCACTTGGTGGTATATGAACAGGAGTGGAAACAGTGGGTGCTTCTGCTAGTCGACTGGGAACAGATGATTTGCAAGGCGGCGCAGGTTCAGGAGGCATCGGAATGGGTTCGCTGACCCTCGGAACCTCACTGATTTCTGCATCGTTTTCTACAATCATAGATTCCAGGCTTTCCATTGAGGATTGGCTTTGTTTTTCCCCATCCTGTTCGGGAAAGCTAATCTCCAGCTTTGTAATCTGTTTCTATAAAGAAAGATTGCTTAACTTATGAGTTTCAGATTGAGATTGAAGTAGCGCACCTTGCACTGAGGACCCTGCTGATATCCTGGGCGTGGTTCTATAACAGAACGCAGAAACATCAGCGTTTTGAAGTGCTCCCATCGACAGGTCTTCTCGGAATCTCCTCCAGACTCCTCAAGTCGCCTCTCCAGCTTCTTAAGTTCCGAATTGAACTGGTTGCGCAGGTTGTGCACCTTTTTGCCATAGTCGTTTTTGGTTATTCCGAGGGAAGAGCAAATGGAATCGATGGCCTTAGCCCTGCAGTCCTTGTTTTTATACAGCTCGGAATAGTGGTTCCATAAACAATCCGATGAGCGGTACAGCTCAATCAGCTTGGCAATCTTCTCGCGCGTCCAGATTGTCTGCTTTCTTCTCTGTCGTTTGCCCAGTTGGATATCGCCCGCATCCTCTGACTTATTTGGCATTTTCGAAAATAGTTAAATTGTTAATGTGCATTTCCAGGAATTTGTTATAGTGCAGATTGGGGATGGGCAGACCCAAGCTATCGAATATCTTGCAGCTATCGATAACATGCCCCAAACCAAAATACCAATGAGCAGCATATTTGCAGTATTTTTATTAAATACGTTGCAATTGCCAATGAAAAGTTTTAAAAATGTTTAGTGGAAATTATAAGTTAAGCAACTAAAATAAAAAATAATGATAAATAAAATTCCGACGAACAATATTTTTAAAATATGAACATAAAAACAAAAATAAGATAAATGAATAAAATTCAAACTGCTAGTCAAGCAGCCGATAGTTGCGCTCCGCTCACGCACGCACTCAGTCGCATCTTTTGCAGTTATCGACTAGTCGATATATCTCATCGCAATTAAATAGATGTACTTCAGTATATAAATAAAATAGAATAAAATAAGTAAATGCGCTGGAATATGCATTCGCGCTAGCCGAAAACAACTGGAAAATGTGCGCGGGGCACCCAAGTCGAATGTAGACCGTTATCCGTGCTGGCCAGGGTGACGAGGGACCACAAAACTGATAAATCCGAGGCCGACGCCCACTGAACGCAGTTTCCTGTACAGGAGTGTAGTGCTTTGGATAAACGCAATTTGGGTAATTAAAGAGCGGTAGTCGCGCACACACCTGCCACTACAGCACCTCTCCACTTTCGATTCCAGATAGCATATAGATATAGGCCGCCAGGCGAACCCCCGAAACGTAAGCGCAATGTCACAAGTAATACCCAACACGCCCACACCCCAAATGCTGACGACATCAACGCCCATAGAACCCATGAAACCACCACCAGCGTTTCCCACGCTAGGCGGTGCAAACATTCACGAGCAGGCGTCCGATATGATTATGAGGGCCTCCACGATTTTCGGGGACATGAAGCACGACGACGGGAATCTGGAGAACGTGCCCCACCACCACGGCGTTGGAGTTGAGACTGAGCCGGACGAGGATTCTCCGTACGGCGACAACGGCAGCAGCTCCAAGATCCGGATAATGCCCAGTGTCAAGCTAATGGCCACGCCGCACGCCTCCGATCCCAAGCGCAAGTTCGTCTGCCCGTACGACAATTGTACAAAGAGCTACGGCAAGAGCTCCCACCTGCGGTCCCACCTCACCTGGCACACGGGCATCAAGCCGTTCGTCTGCAGCGAGCCCAAGTGCGGCAAGGGATTCACGCGCTCCGACGAGCTCAATCGGCACCTGCGGACGCACACCGGCGAGAAGCCCTTCGAGTGCATCCAGTGCAGCAAGAAGTTCTCGCGCAGCGACCACCTCACCAAGCACCTGGCCACCCACGACCGCCAGCTGAAGGGCAGCACGCCGAAGAGATCGGTGCCGAGCGGCGGCGGCGGTGGGCGGCTCAAGCCCTCGAAGAAGCACTCCCCAACGGAGTCGGACTCGGGCTTCCACTTCATTGCCGCGATGGTTGGATGTGGGGAGCCCAGTATGGAGCACCACCACCAGCAGCAGCAGAATCTACACCAGCAGCCCGCGGAGATCGATGACTGTCATCACAAGCCGCTGAAGATCAAGCTGGAGAGGCCGGAGCACAGCGACAAGTACCAGATTGTGTCGCCGGAGCACCAGCATGCGCATCCGCATGCGAATCCGGGCCAGAACCAGAGCCAGCTGCCATCTTTCCTAAACCAGGCCAAGCCCGAGGTGAAATATGAGCCGGCCGACGAAATTGTAAATACCCTCTCTCAGTTACCACCTGCCGACGGGCCCGGCACCTACGGAATGCCGCAGTTCGTCCAGGATCGGCCCTTCCGCTGCCGGCAGTGCGAGAAGCGGTTCAAGCGGCAGGACGACCTCAACCGGCACATACGAACGCACACCGGCGAGAAGCCCTACGCCTGCCCGCAGTGCTGTCGCCGCTTCGTGAGGAGCGACCACTTGAAAAAGCACCAGCAGACGCATTTGAAGATACGATAGTTTCTTAGTTATACTCCTTAAGTCGCTAGCCATTGGCATCCGCATCAGCATCAGCACCCAATATATATTGGGCTAACAAACACGGCGTGTGTCGTCGGGTGACGCGCACAGTACAATAAAATTAAATAAATTCGCAATCTAACATTATTCCTATGCAAGATCTACGCTGGCTCTTAAATCTCAATCTGTATGTATGTAAATAAGTCGTATGCAATTTTAATTTTAACTCTAATTGTTTTGTGTTTGCCAGAACATGAAGATATATTTTTAAACCTCGTACTGTTTTTTACTTTTTGGCTACTGTGCATCCCCGTAACCATTAATATAATTTATTGCAGTAAAACCGTTGTGCCTGTTTATGGGATGGCTTAATGAAATGTTGGCTCATCAGGGGACTTGTATGGGTTCGGTCCTTGTAGGGAAAAATTATAAATTCCATTATTAAAATAAAAAAGAAAAATATAATTCCAACTTTCAGATATATAGTATCTGAAGAATAGAGAAACCATCGTCTATCGATACGATACGGATTATAGAACCCGCTTTATCGATAAAAACACTGTCATCACCATTCGCATTTTGATTCCGCAATTTGAGAAATGTTTTCTGTCCTGCCAAAAACAAACAAATAGGAACAATGTGCGACTTCGATGCCTTGTGGGCAGACGTATTGAAGATTTTTCCGGTCTTGGGTGGAGCGGTAGGTTTACTGGTTCGATTTACTGATGTCAATTGGATCTAACACCCGAAATGCCTCCTTTTAGAACGCGGTTTCCACGGCTCCGGTGGAGGAGGCGGTATTTGAAAATGTCCGCCGGCATCTGAAGATGTTGGGCAGCATAGACACCTTTGCGGCCCTGGTTGACCTGGAAATCCAGTCGACTATTCGAAATGTGCTGGTGCCAAAGTTCTGGAAAAACTTTCATGCCGGCTTGGTGCCTTCGGAATTGCAAAGCGGGATTAATGATCAGGCTCTGGCAATAGAAGCTTTGCCCGAAAAGAACCGACTGTTCACCCAGTTCATAGATGCCATCAATGAGCTGCACGATGGCTTCCAGAGCCTGATGCAGGTTAGGCCCAGGCTGATCAAGCTCATCGGAACCGAAGGAAAACCCGTTCCGAATTCCGTAAAGTTAATGCAGGAGGATGGGATTAAGAACAGCTTGAGGGATTCCCTACTGGCTCAGCTGCCCCCCACTTTTAGTGTGGTCGTGGGAGCCTTCTATTGGGTGCACTTTAAGCTCTTCACCAAAGCCTCACATCTCGCCCTGACCACAGTGGGTAGGGATCAGATAAACCATCTATTACATAGAATATTGACATAGTTTCCTTTTCAGACTCCGATGTGTTCGATGAACTCCTGTGCGTCGGCTGCAACTTCGATGTGGAGCAGTGCTGCTGCCAGAGATTGACGGAAATGGTCAACAAGACGAACATGAAGCTATTCGAGATGAATCTCATTGATCGTCTAACTGGGAGTGCGTTAACAGCGCTCATCAAGCTCAAAATCAAGGAGCATATCAACGACACTTGCATGGGCATTTTCGATAGAAGTCACCTCAAACAGCTGGAAACCGTGAGAACTTGAAACTTTTTATATTTACAATCTGAAACTCATTAATTTGAAACCTTTGCAGTGGCTGTCGGATGTTATAATGTCTTGGCTAACAAACATATTCACAGAATGGAAGTCAAAGGATAGTGTTACCGATATGGAAGTTCCAGAGTCTGTAAAATCCTTCAAAGTCAAGCTAACTTACTTTATGTACGAAACATTTGCTCAGAGCGTTATTGGTCAATTCTTCAGCATTATTATTGGTATGGATCTAGAAATTATTCAATAATTCTTAAACTAATTGTGTTAAAAACTATTAAACAGACTACCCAGATTCCATTCCGGCCATAGATGACTTGAAGATTTGCATGGAGAAAATTGATATGCGAGTCTACCTCACTGAATCACTGAGAAGCTCGCTAGAAGCGAGGATTCTGCATCCTGGAGTCAACACAATGGACATATTAACCGGCTATGTAGCAGCGATAAAAGCTATTCGTCATCTGGACAATACTGGAGTGATTTTGGAGATGGTAACGGCTCCCATCAAGGATTACCTACGGAAACGCAATGACACAGTGCGACGTGTGGTAACTGGGCTGACTGAAGAAGGACCCACGGATTTATCCGAGGAACTCGCCAAGGGAGAATCCATCAAAGAGGGCAAGGACTCTGCCACGGATGAGTTTAGCAACTGGGAGAATTGGGAACCGGATCCGTTTGGAATAGATGCCAGTATCATGCAATACAACAGCTCAAGAAAAATGAGATCGGCTGACATTATATCAATGGTCGTCGATATATACGGCAGTAAGGAGTTGTTCATGACGGAGTATCGCAATCTTATGGCAGATAGACTGCTGGCTCAGCTGGATTTTAATTCCGAAAAGGAAATTCGAAATCTGGAACTGCTGAAGATAAGATTTGGGGAATCCCTGTTACACAGCTGTGAGGTGATGTTGAAAGACGTTACCGATTCGAAGCGAATCAACGCGCACATTCACAGCGATAGCAATCGTACTGAAAGTGGGTTACTTTTAATTGTTAAAAATTGTATATTGTAATAATACAACATCTTTTATTCTAGATCAGTTATTCGACATCTCCTCGCTGATTGTTTCTGCACAATTTTGGCCCTCCTTTAATAAGGAAAGTCTGCAGCTGCCCGAGGAGCTGGAAAATGAGTTTAAGAAGTACACGAAGGCCTACGAAGCTTACAAAGGAAACCGTACGCTCAACTGGCGTACGGTAACTGGTCGTGTGAATATTGAAATCGAGATCGGGGACCGAACAATGGAAATGGTTGTGAGCCCCACTTTGGCGGTCATTATATATCATTTTCAAAACAAAAGTACGAAAATAGTATTGCACAATCAGATCCTTTAGTTATACAACATCAAAAATAATAATTTTCAGATGAATGGACTATCGAGGACCTGAGCTCCATTACAAAAGTACCACCGTCTGCCCTGCGGCGTCGACTAAGTTTTTGGCAAAATCACGGCCTGATTTCGGAAACTACGCCGGGAGTATTTACTCTGCTGGAAAAGGAGTCGGAGAAATCTCAATTCGAAGACATGAGTCTCGCAGAAGCCGACGAAGAGGATTTGGAATCCGCAATGGCTTCAGCCAGTGATCAAAGGGAAGAAGAACTCCAAGTAAGTGTACTTTATCATGTTTGAAATATATACATACTATAATTCTTTGGCTTAGGTTTTCTGGTCCTACATTGTTGGCATGCTCACGAATCTGGACTCCATGCCAATAGACCGCATCCATCAGATGCTCAAGTTGTTTGCCTCGCACAGCGGAGGAGTCGAGTTTACTCAGGACGAACTGAAGCACTTTCTGCAGCGCAAAGTCAGAGAGCACAAGCTCATATTTTCGGGTGGAGTCTATCAATTGGCCAAATAAATTTGGGAGATTACCAAAATTAAGTTGCAAACGACTGAAGAAATCATGAAATAAATAAATGAGCGAACGTGATAACGTTACAAAATTTACTGTTCCACGGTGAACGTTACGTTTTTCAAATTGTCGCCTTATCTATTTCTATTCGGGGCTTATCTTTCTCCCGCATACACTGCAAAGCCTTTGCATAAACCTATTTTGTCTGTGAATGACTTGAGAATTCTGTACAGGAAGCATGCAATCGAGGGAAAAAAGGAATACACCATAAGATACGTCTAATGCTTAATTTATTTAAAGTTATATTAATATATATGCTATCCCGTTATCAACAAATTCAAACTTCTTAGGGCGCTAAAACTAAAGGCGAAGAAAGTTAGTTTTGATATTCTTTACAGGGTTAAACAGTTTTTGGTTTCATAAAATAAATCACGAACGCAGTGACTAAATCGTTCACTTTATACACGCAAACAACTTGTGCTTAATTTTAATGCTGTAATCGTTCTAAACTGTAATCTGTACATCAAAAGTTACATCAGGTATATGAAGACAGGCTAGTCCTCGTGCAAGAATCGAGCTTGGTAGACGTTTTCCCGATGGAGTGGGGTCAGGACGGCGTTTAGAATATGTGAAATTCGCCTGATCCTTTGCTGAAAGCGTTCGCGATCCCGCGCCATCACCTGCCACTCGCTCTTCCTGGCAGCCCGATAGGCGTAGTCCCAGGCGTGCATCACATGAACTTCGGGTTTCATGTTGAATCGAACCTGTATTTAAAGTTAGTTGATTAGTTATGCTATTTGTCGGTTGGATTTGGTTGGACGCACCTTTCTGACGGACGTCGAGTTGTCGTTGCTGCACTCGCAGGCCTTGAGCTCCTCGGTGTCCTCATCTTCCCCGCAAGCCGCGAACTGCACGCTGCTGTCGTCGTCATCATCATCCTCGTCCTCTTCGTCTTCTTCCTCATTGTCCTCCTCATCCTCCTCCTCTGCGTCGTCCTCTGCGAAGCAAATGAAGCTGTCCTCGCTGCATTCGGAGATACTCCGCTGTCGCTGCAAGGAGGAGCTTTTGGCAGCCGATCCTCCCGAGCTTCCTGCATTGTTATTCCTGTCACTGGGCACTTGACTAGCGGTGCACTCCTCTGCGGTGTCCTTGAAGCCATGGTGCGGATGCAGGTCAATGAAGAAATAGCAGGAGGACGGCACGCAGCGGCGCAGGGCGTCCAGCTCGAGTCCCGCCATCTTGGCGCCCGGTGGACTCTGGGCATTGACGCACTTGTGCAGGGCGGTCTGCATCTGGCTAACCACGTCCATGGCCATCAGCTTGAAGGACATCATGGTGGCCAGCGGATCTAGGGGGTCTGGAACGGGCAGTTGCGGGATCCGCAGATGATCCTCGGGGACCTCCAGCGGCTTTGCTTTGACCTCGGGCGCCTCCTGGTGCACCTTGTTGGGCTTCCACAGGGAGCCGCGGGAACCAGCGGAAAGGGGACGCGACGGCCCGCACCGATATTGCTCGTAGATGGGGGAACTCATGTTCGCAATCAGGCGGAGAACAAAGAGGAAGGGGTCAAACAGCGCGCCCATAAGGGTGTGAAATTTCGACATCTGAACTTGAAGACACAGGTTTGCGTTGGCTGTGTGGGGAATCCCTTGCGATTGGCCATTTTCTTGAACTTGGCTTTGGGTGGCATCGTGGCCAGCTTAATTTGAGGCAGACTTATCCATGATTACTGCGATTAACTAATGTAATATGGAGTGAAATAACGCACATATATGGTGAAATGTTACGTATATCGTGCATCCGAATCCTAGCACTTGAGGGTTTTTCAGTTGTAGGCTAGTTCTGCTTTCGTTTCGAGCGTATATAGCGAGATATAATGTCCAGGCACAATAATATTCAGAGTTTTACACGTTTTATACCAGAATAGTTCCATACTTTTTTTCACGAGCTGAAAATTTATCGATAACAGACGTTGAATCACCTTGGGCGTATTGTTGTTGTTGTGGACATTCACCCGCGCACCCCACAAATTTTTCGAATTCAAGATGGGCCTTTGTTTATGGAAATAAATCAGATACTTACTACACGAAATTTAAATCATTCAAAATATATGTATACATATAATATTAATATAGTTCTGGTTTCCCATTTAGGCGAAAAAATATAAAGCAGAATGTTGGGTTTTAGTATTTATAAATTAAAGTCTTTCAAAAATCGGATATTATTTTCATAAAATTCCAAACATTCATGTATACAGATTTATTTTTTCGGCGATGGACTTAGACGTCTTTTTCTTGGGTTACATGGCTTCGGATTGGAGGACAGGGGCTCCGGCTTGGAGCACAGTGGCTTCGTTTTGGAGCAAATCTTGGGTTTGGGACAAGCTGCCTGGGGTAAGCCGTACTTCTGCTTCGGCGTGGCGCATCGTTTCCTGGGTAAGACACATTTTGAATCCCTCTTTTTCGGATCACTTTTATTTGTGGTTTTCGGTTCGGCTTTCATTTTCTTCTCTTCGTGCGCAGATATAGGAAATCTGCGTTTTAACTCTCTCCGTTTAACTGGGTCCTGTGGGAAGAAACATTTGGCATTATTTGTAATCCGCGAATTTTTCTGCATTTGGGTGGAATTAATTTCTGTAGAATACATAGAATAGCTTACCAGATATTGAAATCTATGTAGAAAAGACATTTTGTTCCATCGATTTGAAGCTGCCTCAGTTATTTGGTGATCAGAGAATAAACCAGCATAGCGCTTTCTGTATTCCCTCAGAAAATTTGTATAGCAAACAGTATTCCACTCGCTTTCCCATGCAGCCTCCAAATCGCCACTGTTCAGCAAACTGGAATTCCTAAACTTTTTTGCAGGAGGTTCACCCATGTTCGGTCTATTATGGCTTACTTAAACCAAAAAGGATAATTTTGTTATAGCCGAATCTTGAACTTTTTACACAAATTTATGAATAAAGCGCAAAATATTTTAAAAGTAATAATATACAATTTTATCAGTTTGTTTATATAAATAGGTGTGTCTCGTACAAAAGTACTATAGAAACTGAAACTATGAATGTTGGTCTCAGCACAAGCTGAAATTTTAACCTGAATGAAGGGTCCCCAGTTACTGTGATTGATTTGTTTTTATAATATCGTTCTAATTATTATTTGTGTTTTAGGAGTGCGGAATAATTAAAAATTTCCAACCCTTCAGCTAGGCTGTAGGTCATCGCACACTCACCTGGTGCGCTTCGTCACTACGTGGACTTTCGTCCACAGTGATGGAACATAAAAGAGATTGTTGGGGACTTTAACTTATGGAAAATTAATAATTCGTGGAAATTTCAATAACTTGGAATTTAAGTTCCTGTTTTATTTAATTTAAGATCGATGAAAAGGTTGATGAATCATCAATTATTTATGGATGATTATGTTGCTCGTGATCGTCTAGAAAATCCGTGTCATATTAAAATCAAGTATGCATGTATCGATGTTGATGTATGGCATTAAAATAAAGATGGAGTTAGGTCCATAGTTATTTTAATAAAAATATAAAGCTTTTTTTCAGAATTAAATAATATTAAAAACATTATTTTATTAATTTACAACTAAAAACTTAAGATGAAAAATTGCGGTCGCAAAGATCTACACGATTACTTCCGTGTGTCAGAGCACAATTAAATCATCATACTCAGTATGGTACATATGTACATGTAAATACATACATACATTGTTCTTTAACCGATATTTATACCTGGCACTGTAGAAAATGCAAGTGCATGTTCCGCTGCGTCATTCCGTAGATAAATACTATATACATGTACATATATTCTCATACATAATATGTATAGCGAACTGCATCTGTAAAATCATATAGTTATCTGTATATTATTCCTGCGTATTTTTTAAGTGTTCAACTTTAACTGCATGCCATTTGTGCATATTATATCAGAGATCTTGTATATGGCAGCATAGTGAGTATATGTGTGGGAATACGTATAATATCCATGTATTATTCAGATTTTCCGTACTCGAAAGCGTTCAGAATTGTATGAAATAAACAGAAGCCAGATTGATATTCATGCGCACATACAGACATATTATATGTATATATTCTCGGCAGTACATGCTCACGACACAATCACACGTACAGATTAATCAAACAGCCATATGATTAATACACATTGGAACAGCTGATTCATACGCGTCGCAGCGAATATATATGTATAAATGTGTATATATTCGTGCTCAGTTACTCACACACCAGCTGGCAGCGCTACTGCAACTGTTGATATCAACAATCCCAGGGGCGGAGTGCAGGTGGCGCCAGAGCGAGGGGCGCAAAAAAGATTTAACTAGGAAAAGCGGAGTAACTTAAAACTGATATTTAATGTGGAGACTTAGTGACTATTAAAGGAAAAGTAACCACAAAGGTGTTAAACTAACACCTGTCACACAGCCCTGACTGAAAATCCGCACCTGACTTGTCGCACACACACTTTCTCACGAAACCTGCGCTCTCTCGCTCTCGGGCGAATGTATCTGAGCGTGGTATGGGTGCATGTATCTGTATCTACGTGCTGCGGACTCAAATCGTAAACTTTGCAGTCAGTTCACTTGAACAGCTGTGAGCGATCGACGTTGGTCGGGAACCAAACACACACACACATCTATATAGAAACCCCAACAGACACTCATATATACACAGATATATATGCATAATTACATACATCGCAGTACATGGGGGCTGCATAAGAAAAACGTACAACAAAATCACATTTATATATGTATACAAAAATACAACAAAATAAAAACGTAAAATCTTTTGCGTAGTTTATTCGCTCGCGTCGTTCGTTTCGTTTCTTCACTTTACTCCAGTCGTAGTCCCAGTCCATTTCATTTCAATCCAATCCAAAACCAACTCGTATCTCATCGCTTCGTTTTTCGTTGCGCTGCGCTGCTTTGCGTTGCGCCGAGAGTTTCGTTGCTTCTTCAGTTCAGTTCGGTTGAGTTTCAGTTCGATTCGCGGCGATGTTTAGTTTAGATTGACCAGGACAACAGAAGAAATGCCCTGGTCTCGCGCGGCTCCCAGTAATCCAGAACGCAACACCCACTAACTAAATAAATCTAGTAACACCGTGTGCATAAATCGAGTTGTGATTTCGAGTCAATAACAGATAACCAACTAAACTACACCCAAACCGATCTTATTGTCAAGTGATAACATTAACAGTAGCGTTGGCCAGAAACATTCGGAACCAGCTGGACCTCAAACATTATCAAAATATTTGCTGTTTCAAAATCAACACGTAAAACAAACAAACACCACGAAGAGTGCGAGTAAGGCAGTATTAGTGATTAGTGACCACCACACAAACATACTTAGCCACATAAGTACACCGTACATATATCGTTACATACGTGTGTAAACTCTCTGCACATAAATGCGAGCCAATCTATTTAATTCAGTTTCAGTGCATTTATAAATTAATAAAATTTAACCAGTGCGAGTGTGAGAGTGAGAGACACGCATACAAGCAGACAAGCTCATTACACGGACGCAGCGAACGTGAGTCTTGGAATATTGCAAACACAAAACAAAAAAAAAAACAGAAAAAAAATAAATAAATAACGAGGAACCAGTTTCACCTTGAGGAGCAATACCTAGTGCACACTCACACACGTGCAAGGCGAATGTGCATCAGTGTGTGTGCCAAATGAAACAGCCCGATCAGACTGCGACTATAGTGCATACTATATAGTACACATATAGTACATAACACATAAATATATATAATAATTCGTGATAAAGCCCTGGAGAAACCGAACTCTCCGCCTTATCGGTAACCCCACTGCCACTGTTTCAGCGACTATGTTTAAGCGGGGATCGGAATCAGAATCAGAAGAACTGCCCTGGGACACAGATACTAATACCAATACCGATACCGAGATCAAGATCGAGGTGCATATGCAAACGCATTAAAAGATGATAGCTAAGCCCAATCAGTCCGCCACCGAACCACCATTGAGTTTTCGCCCCGGAACAGTGCCAACGATTGCAGCAACCACCCCAGCGAATCCAGCGAGTATCCAGCCAAGGAATCCAGCCCCAAAACCGGAGACCCCCCGCACTCCGCCCTCGCCATCGCCAACCCCCAAAACGCAAATAACACAAAGCCAGCCAGCTATTACTCATCCAGCTGTGGCTCTGGCTTCGCCTTCCGCGCCTGTTGCTGCAGCTGCACCGAAGACCCCGAACACCCCACGCCTTGTAACCCCCACCACCACCCCCACAGCCGAACCCCAAGCTCCAGTCCAATACCAAGCCAATATGGACATGGACGGCGAAAGATCTCCGAGCCACAGCGGCCATGAAATGACACTGAGCATGAACGGCATCGATTCCAGCCTGGTGTTCGGATCTGCACGGGTTCCTGTCAACTCCAGCACCCCGTATTCGGATGCAACTCGAGTGAGTAACCCTGCTTTGTCGACACTGAGGGAAATTTGGATTGGGTTCTAGGGTAAAGACTTACGATTTTGTGCTTGACGTAGACTGAAAGTATCAGGTAGGACACTTGAATCATCAAATTGCACTAAAAGAAAACAAATATACTTATTCTGGGGATCCTACACAGAGAAAATTAAGCAAGAAGACTGACGTTCTCAAATTAAGTATTTGTATTCTCAATTTGAGGAAATACTGATTTTGTGGACGAATTTTGAAAAAAGAAGCCTATTTCTTTCACCATGTTGTTTCTCTCTTATTTGTCCCCGTTTTTTGAGAAAAAAATCTCTAAAAAGACTCAATTCCAAGGTATTTTATTTAAAAAATTGGTACTGAAAGTAAGTACTTTGTACTTAAAGTGAGTACTTGGTTTTATTTTGAGTAGAAAATTCTCAATTTAAGTGCACCGTTCATGAAAAATTCTCTCTGTGTATATATTATTTATCGATATACGATTATCAGAGATTTTTGAAAACCAAAAGCTAGACATATTTTCTCCCTGTGTAGACAGGGATGCATTTCGTAGGACACGTCACTCTGCTCCCAAATCCCCTATCCGGTGGCCTGATCTCCTCCCGATAGGAAGATCCCTCTTATCACGTCTGTGTGCCCACTCAGCCGAAACGAAATTCACGCCAGCGATGCACTTCTTATCAGCTCTAATGGGCACTACTTAGATAAACACCCGACCCACAGCTGTCTCGCCAAGGCGAAACGTACTTGATATTCGGCAGAGAGACCTACATATAGAGTACACACACACAAATACTTTTCCCCAGACCGGACAGGTCAACAAAAAGTTTGACTGATAAGATTTCCTCCAGATTAGATTCAAGTTTTTTTGCGATTATTTTCTTTGTTTACAAATACAAGAGCACGGCAAAACAATTAATGTAGATTAGCAATCGAATGGACGTTTGTATTTACTTGCGCTTGATCATAAAAGCTCAACTCCAGTTCTGACTTATTATGATGAAATACCCAGTTATGTGCAATATCGGACAGATTGATGGATGGTTATTTTGGGCATATTACCAGGGTCCCGGGTCCCGGGATCACTGGCACTGGATGAGTTTCCGACCATAGATACATTCGGGGAGCGCGTGGAAGTGCACTTTTTGTACCCGTGCATTTACGGGGCGGTTGTACTCGCGTTTCGCTTCCCTGATGACTCACATTATTTGTCGAGCTTGCATATAAGTATAATGTAGATATGTATCTGGTGCCAGTCCAGTGTGCGGATGGATATGTTGTTCGGGCGGATAGAACGTCTATAATTTGCGCTGCTTAACTGTGACCGATACACATTCGCTGATGTTTCTATATGCTGATATGTTTTTGTCAAAACACGAGTTCCTTATGGCGATCTATCCATTTGTCATCTTGTTTACCAGACATTTTGGTCTAGAACCCCCGAAAATATTTAGATATGGCCAGGAGTGCACTCCTATCGACTCCTATCTAACACTTGACAGTAGTATGTATATAAACGCGCGCACATAGCACATTTGGTGCATTGACCTTGCTTAGCAGTTTGTTTTTTACGGTTATTAGTGCGGACGGATGGTTGGAGGAGGCAAAGCCATTGCCTTTCGCCTTTGGCGTCACGAACAGAAAACAGAAAACTCAATTGCGTATTACTCGCACATATAGAACTGAGTACATATGTACTAAGTCGTTGACTTCTGCGGCTACATGTTTATCTTTACTGCAAAAAAATGTATTTCATATAGTATTCGAGCTGATGACCTTAGGATCTAAGCGTGCGGCAAGAACGGTTAAAATCGAAAGCCCCAGACCCATTTCATCACTTTTACTTGTTCCCCAAAGTACGAGTATCTGAATGTATGTATGTGTGTATCTGTTCTTGTATCCCACGGATGCGGGTGTCTGCAACTTTGGGCCCTGGCCTGGTGTGGTATGAGTGTGTTGTGTCTACAAGAGTCGGGCTGCTTATTAGACTTGAACTGAACTGTCTGACTGAACCGACGACGACGGAGAAGGCGACATTGAGAGTGAGTTTCGGAGCAGAGTTGCGAGGGCAAAGGCAATGGCAATGGCAAAGGCAAAGGCAAAACTCAGAGGCAATGGCCGATGGAGCATCGCATCCCGTCGGCCCCAATACCATCGCCATTTCAGCTGAAAGTCTGCTCCACTCAGCCCGCTCAGCTTTTCGCTTATTCGACTCGACTCGACTCAGTTCAGTTCAGCTCGGTACTGCCAAGGGTATCGCCTCTACTTCGGATGTGGCTGTGACTGTGGATGTGGATGAACTCGCGAGGTACACGAACTGCTGCAAGGTCGAAGTTAACGCTATTAATAGGTAGTTTCTGCCGTCTCTCGCGGCGAGAATAAAACGGTTATTCACATTGGCCAAACGAGGCGACGCGTCACCGCTGCTATGACCTATACCTATTCCAAATGATGATGGGTTCCTGAGATTTTTCTTTGGACTTCCCAGATTCTATATCGAAGGGCTTGGAATTATTAAAGATCGGAAAAGCAGGAAGCAGATGCGATTTCGTATCGCTACCGAGCCACTTGTCCGTGTATCTTAACAACCGAAACAGAAACACATTTAAATACATACAGACACAAACCATATTTCGTTTTAGGAGCGTTTTATTAACCTTGGCGAGGGACATTGAACTTCAAACGCTGCGAATACGTATTTTCGTACAGATACAAATGCAATACATACCGACATAGACAAGGCGGTATACAAAATGCATATATGTCGGGCGCAAAAAAAAAAAAAACACACAAACATTCAGATGTACGTACTATATACGTATTGTACACCTCTGGTGTGAATTTTATTTCCTAACTCTTTATCTGTGATACGTTAATATGCAATGAACATTTATATACGCAAAAGTATAATAGGTAAATGTGTTTTTCGCATGAACGAATTAACGGAGCGTATCTACCTACATATTTGCGGTTTTTAAAAAGTAAAGGAAATTTCGTTGTTCCATAATTTGTGAAAACAAGGGAGTGTAATAATTTATTTGCTCGGGATTGCCGGAAGTAATTTTAAATATATGCATCGGTTACATATTGCTCAGTTTTTTTGGGCTGGAAAAATTGTAGAGAACCTTATGCCTTACCTAGGGTAATAATTGAAACAATGACTTTTCGCATAGCTATATGTTTAAATGAGTCGTTAGTACTTATATCTATTATTATTTTTTTATTTTTTTTTTATTTTGGTTTTAATTTGTATGATTGGCTCCGGACTTTTACATACAATTTTAAATTGAATTTCAATTAAAACATTTTTTTCCACCTTCTTTCCAGACCAAGAAACATTCTCCCGGCCATATTAAGCGACCTATGAACGCCTTCATGGTGTGGAGCCAGATGGAACGGCGGAAGATCTGCGAGCGGACGCCGGACCTGCACAACGCCGAGATCTCCAAGGAGCTGGGCCGGCGATGGCAGGTCCTCAGCAAGGACGACAAGCAGCCGTACATCATCGAGGCCGAGAAGCTCAGGAAGATGCACATGATCGAGTATCCCAACTACAAGTACAGGCCCCAGAAGAAGCAGACGCGATCCCCGGGATCCGTGAAGCAGAATCAGGACGCAGACAACAGCTGCGAAGCTAAAAATGACACGCCCAACAACAACACACTGTCCACTCTTGCAATTAATGGAACCACCACCACTGCCGGTCGGAAAAGCAAAAGATCTACCTCTACATGTCAAGCGGGTTCCGCATCGAAACGATTAAGGAACGACTCGGGTGATACCGCCTCCAGGCCCAAATTCGAGGTCAAGGGGGAGTCTGCAGAGCAGCACAACACCGTGGATATTATACTACCCTCAGCCGATAATCTATTAAGGTACCAATCATCTGAATACTTACCTCTAAGCACGAATAGCAATGCCGATTGCGACGAAAAGCTACACTCAGACCTCAGCTCGGGTCCCCTGGAGTCGCGGGAGAATCTGTCGGATGTGGTCCACCGATTCCTGCCCCTCTTCTTCACCAGCAACGAGGACTCGCAGCTGGAGGTGAACTCCTCGTCGCACAGCCACCACAACCAGTCGGCGGATCCCACCGCAGGCTTGATAGACAACATCTCCGACATCAGCCCCATCAACGATCGCGAGGACATGTCCGAGGAGGTGATGCGCTATCTGCCCTACCTGGAGGTGACTCCCTCGAGCGATGGGGTCGGGGTCCTCAAGGTGGAGTCCAGCCTGCTGGACAGCGCCCTCAACGAGCCCGTCTTCGACTCCGAGGACAACATTGTGAACGATGCCAACTTGCACTCGGCCAGCCATCAAATACCTCCATATGTGCCTGACAGCCACGACTGCTTTGCGGACGACTGCGGCGGCGATAGCTCCTCGCACCAGGTGGAGTTCGAGGTGGTGCGGCCCCAGACGGTGACCATGACGATGACCTGCACCCTGCCCTACGGCGGACCGGACGGTGGGCACACATTCCAGAACGACGACTTCAACCCGATACCGTCGGCCGCCGAGGACAGCGACTGCAGCATACTGACCACCTCCAACTCGCCGCAGATCGGCTTCAACGGGAGCAGCTTCGTGGAGGCGGACGCCATCGGGAGCACTTGTACATACGCGCAACAAGACTACACCGGAAATGTAATTGAAACACACAATGATCTCAACTACGCCGCACAGGATAACAACGGAGCTCTGCTGGCCTACACATTTGAGGACCTGCCTCCTCAGCCAACCGGTAGTCATTTAGAATTTAACACTAACAAGTACGAGTTTGCAAGTTATTATAAAATGTGAGAGATATTGTAAGTTTTGTGTAATTTATAACTAATCTAATTGTACGTTTATAATTTTACACCAAATTATATATATATATATGTATACAGATAAATACTATATATTCCATAAATTCTATATATACAAAACAACAAAAAAAAGCGAGAATAAAATGCTTTGCATTGAAAACATTTACGATAGAAGACTTTCATTTAACTGCGTAGCGGAATTGTTGATTCCTAATGTATAATATATACTGGGGAATGGGAATGGGGAGATTAACCTTGCCGGCGATCAGCTAATTGTTTCCCAATTCAATTAATAGGATTTCCACTCGGCTCTCGCGAATTATCTACATATGTTTATTTACACGCACAAATATTTTACATAAATCATTGGTGGCCAACAGAATAGGATACAGAATGACGCTAAACCATCATCGATTGTTGTACACGATAAAATAATCCAGACAATAAAGTAGTATACATTCGTTTCACATTCCGCAGCTGATTTCAGACTCTCGACAGCCAGCTTACAAAGTGCTCGCCTCGATATCTGGGATGTTGTGTAGGCCAGAGTCGGGATTGGACCAGTAGTAGTAGGGAGCGCCCTGGCTAAAGCAGAATTTCATATTCAGAGTTTCCCCATGATCCACGTAGTACATGAGGTAGAAATTGCACATTTCGTCTTCGTTCGTGGGACTGTTTTAAAAGGAAATAGGAATTTCGTTATTAAGGGGATTTTCTCAAGTTTATTTTGGTACTTACCCGACTTTGGTTATTCGATGGCGGGTACTCTCCAGCGTACACCTCACTGCAATCTTATCTCCTTCGAAAATGGGATCCCGGTTGCTGATATTATAGAACATCTGCGGCGTGAGGGGATCTCTCTTGCCCAGCTGCAGCCACTCCTGTTCGCCCTCGTTATTTGTCCTGACCCTGTAGCCAGATACCACCTTTCCCAGGCCGTGAGTGTGCACTCGATAGGCGAAAGGATGCAGCACCTTTTTTTCATTCACTTCGCAAGCGGTTTCCAGGTGCTCCGTTTTCATTGCCGGAATCTGTCCATCTGTGCCCAGCAACAGAGTGCCAGCCAACTTTTTACGACTATAATAAAAGAGTTTTATAACTGCTGGGTTAGGAAATTAAACTTCAGAACTTACGGCTCTTCTGAGTAATCCAAGAACACGCCTGAATCATCGGTGGATCCATCTGAAGAAAAGTCCATTAATCATCACTTTCTCTAGATTGCATTCGAGTACTTACCTTTGAATTTATCTATGTGGGCATAGTGAACTTGCAGTACCAAGTATTTGGTGGGCGAATTCTTGCCCACCTTGAAACCCACTCCTTCAGGCAAATTAAGCTTTTGGGCGTCTCTAGCCCAAGCATATATGATCTGTGTAAAAATATTAATATTTGTTATTACAATTAACTTATTTATTAGCTCCTTTGCACAAATGTTTGTTAATGGGAGGGTTTATAAAACCGGTTTAAATATTTTTAGGGTAAACGTCAAGGAGATATTTAGGATAACTTTGGATTACTTCATTTTACTATTTAAATATTGTTAGGACAGGCGGACGAAACGCCTGTTAAATTTAAAGTAGGGTTAAAACTCCAAATTCCCATACGATTTCAAGGTTTTAACCCTACTATAAATTTAACAAACGGACGAGAAAATGGCCCTTAAATTGTTTTTCTAACAAAACATATATATATAACATATATATCATACAACCATCTGTAAGCAACACAGTTTTATTTTAAATATCTACATAATTAAACGGAATATATACCGTGAAGTGATAAGTTATAGTTTAAGCCAGCCTCAAGTTTAGAGGTTTGAAATGATAGGAGTGGAGGTTTCTGCCAGAATATTTCGAAACTAACTAGACTTTTCCTTTAAAATTTTTAATTTTCCGGCCAGAAAGCCTGTCTTCAAGTATGTCTCCTTCTATTTGCTGCAGATGCAACGAAGAGATTTGGCCGAGGGCAATTAGCAGTTTGGGCAAGGCGTACCATCCGCACCACTTCACCTGCAGAGATTGCGGCCTGGTGGTGGATCCTACGCTCTTCTACGCGGTGGACGGGAACGAGCTGGTCTGCAGTGAGTGCTATCTGGGCCATCATGCCGCTCGGTGCTCCGCCTGCCGAACTCCCATTCTGGAGCGCGGCGTTGTCGCCTTGGGGCGCAAGTGGCACGAAAAGTGTTTCCGGTGCGTGAGCTGCAGCAGATCGCTGGTCTCGTCGACCTTTTTCGAAATCAACGGATACCTCTTCTGCAAGTCACACTTCCGGGAACTTTTTTCGTCTCGTTGTGCCGGCTGTGCGAAGCCCATCGATCGAAAAGCAGTGGTTGCGCTGAGCACCAAATGGCATGAGGAGTGCTTCAAGTGCCACAACTGCCGAAGAAGGATAAGCGCCAGTGAATTTGGGATCCAGCAAGGACGACCCATCTGCCTTGATTGCCAAAAACCCTCTTGAGTTCCCAAAATTTGTGTGCCTTATAAATGTGTAGTCTCTAACTCTCTGATTAATTGGGTTATTCCGTACCTGAGAATGGGAATGGGGTCCGCAGGGACTGGCCGACTCTTCTTGGGAAGCTCTGTTCATCTCGCCACAGTTCCTGTTGGGAAAAACATTTATATTTCCAAAGGTCCACTATGGTATCCTCTTAAAAACTCACCAAGTGGTCTTCGTGGTTCCGGGCTCTCCGCATCCGTAGAGCAGCATATGGTGGGCCGTATTCATGGTGGCATTGGGATTGAAGCCAACTAAGTTAAATATAACAACAAGTTTTCATTAAACTATAAACAAGGAAGGTTGTGTTTTAAGGACATACCAATATAGTAGGTGGTAGTTGGATCGACTTTGATGGGCGTGCACAAGTACAGATCGGGCTATATTCGTTTTGTTAGTTTTGTTAAAGAGAACGAGCATATTGGATTAGTCAACAAGTATTATTCAAATATGTGCTTTGGGAAACCAAGGCTGTATGCCCTTTTTCGCCACCCCCAACCCCACGTAAATATAATTTGGTATCTACGGCGCAGGTTCGAGAAGTGCAATCTACAGGTTTCGGTTTCAAGGCACTACATGTGGGTGTCAAATCGTGTGTATTCGAGGCGTTTGACTAACATATGGAAAAAATTGCACGGCTAACGAGGGGTTTTTCCTTAAACAGAATAGATGCAAATATGCACGCTCCATTTAGATTAACCCACATTTCGTAATATTTGTTCGTTTCGTTTCGTTGATTAAAAAATGTATGCGCACAGCTGCGATAATATAATAATCCATATGGATCGAATAGATTGGATATATAGTATATACTTAGACTTACCGTTTGGGGGGAAACCTTGGGCATCAGGAATGGAAAGGAAGCCGTTGCGCCTGTTGCGGAATTGGTCTCCAGATTCTGTTGATACACTGAGTTCTGGTAATTCCCCTCTTTTACAAGGCCGTCTACACTTATCATCAGGTTGATAAGCAGGAAGACTCCCACGGGAATGGAGATTTCGGATATTCGTAGCATTTTCTTCGTATTCCTTGTTATTCGAATGTGCACTGCACTTTATACTTTTTAAGAAAACGAAAAAAAAACCTTCCTGTGGGGAAGAACAATACGTTTTGTATTGCTCTCTGATATTTTTCCACACGTAGCTAGGCCCAGTTTATATATATGTATTCTGAGCTGTTATCGATACTCAAAGCCATTATATCGATGGTTGGGGCAGGGCTGCATTCTTATTGTTAGCGGTACATTTAAAAAGTTTTTGAAAATAACTGAAGTTTGCTCTGAATATATCAGGAAATGGTTGTTTTTTGGCCCGAGGGGTAATTTTTTATAAAAAAAACACCTGTTAATAGGGGAAATATTGAAAAAATTAAATGGGCCTGCCTTCATTTCGACCCACTGGGGAAATCAGCTTCTCGCATGCGCAAATAAATTGATTTTTTATAAAGAGAGCTCCAATGTTTATAGTGAGCTCCTTTCAATATAACACCAGGCCTCAAGTTGGAACTGCTGGAATTTGGAAAATATCCGACTTTTAAATGGAGGACCAGGGCGATGTCATGGACCAAGCCGCTGGTAAGCTGAGTAGTTCAAAAGCCCAGGGCTCCAGAAACCGATGTGCTAACGGTAACTTGGCTGGTTAAATAAAAACACGGGCAGTGCTAAATTATTTACAATCTCATATAATCATTAGATGACCCCATTATGGGCCCTCAGACTCAGAGTCGCCAGAACTCGTCGAGCATGCTGAACTTAATGGATGCCAGTTCCTTCAGTATGCCGCCACCCAATCTCCACTCCTCGAAGGTGATCAATCCGAACAAGGCGATATTCACCATAGACGCGAATACGGGACAGATCTTCATAGTGAACAACAAGGCCTGCCAATTACTGGGCTACACGTCCCAGGAGCTAAGGAACAAGGGATTCTTCGATCTACTGAATGGCAAGACGGAGAGTCACATCTCATCGCTGGCGGAGATGCAGATCGAGGGCGACGAGGGCCGGGTGATCCTGCTGAGCGGAAAGGTGATCGAAATGAAGACCAAGACGGGCAACAAGATCCTGGTCTCGCTCTGGATTCGCCAGATTAGCAATGATGGCCGGCACATTGCCGTGGCCGAACCTGTTGAGAGGCACATCTGCCACATTAGCACCGATCGATTCGGGGTTATTACATCCGCTGACTCCACCACGGCCACTATATTCTTTTACGAATCCACCGAGAGCGTTGTGGGCGTCAATATCACCGCACTGATCCCGTTTATAAAGATGCCCGATCCGGATAGCAGAGAAATCTCAAAGAGTCTGCGAAAGCAGAGAGCCACGGGACGGACTACGGATAATGTAAAGTTTCCCCTGTGCCTACTGATAGCTTTGGATGAGAATTCGGGAACAGGAGGATACTCGGTGTTCAACATCACCGTCTGGGTGTTCCAAAATCTCAGCGGTTTGATTGTGGTGGATGATATTGGCAACATACTGATGTGCAATCAGCCCTTCTCCCTGCTGATGTTCGGTTATGGTCAGGACAAGATCTTGAACATGCATATATCGGCCATACTACCGAATTTCGGAAAGGACTCGCGGGAGGACAAGAGTCCCAATGTGTCAAACACCTCGATAACCAGCAACGACTGGGAGCCCGACACGGATCCCTTTGTCCTGGACAACGACTCCTCGCTGCAGTCGTGTAAAAAGAAGGTACCACCACCCACTAACGAACCCTCCTCGATGAGTGAGGCCCATCTGGAGACCAGCGGTGGGTTGTTCTGCGATCTCCGGCAACCGGATGATTGCACCATAGATGACATCCTAACACCCGTCAATGCCTCGAACAGTTTTCCCGCCGATGAGTTCGAGGGAGGATCGCAATCGCATATAAACGAGATGTCGCTCGACAAGGCAAAGTCCACGTCCTCGGAGACATGTGATGCCTCGGGAAGTAATCCTGCCACTAGGCTACTGAGCTCCATCAACGGTAGCTTTGTGGGCGAGGCCATCCATGCCGATGGCTCGGTCATCGAGGTGGTCTACTCCGTTCTCCTCCAGATCCTGCCCTGCTCCAATCGGGTGTACTGCATCTGGGTGTGCCGAAATCCCAGCACCCGATTGGATGGTGAAAAGTACAACTATGCGAACCTAACGTCCACTTTTAATAGCATGGCCAGCACCATTGAGCAGTCACTGGGTCAGGTCATAAAGACCACGGCGGCCCAGAACTCGAGTAGACCCAATTCCCTGTCACTCGCGTCCAAGTACGAGGATGAGCTCTATCTGGGAGACTATAGCAAGCACTATACATCCATTCGGCAGATCGGAAGGGGAGCCTACGGGTATGTGAACATGGCCTTTAGGAACTCAGATCGCCTGCTGGTCATCACCAAGTTCATTCTCAAGGAGAAGCTCTGCTCTCAGTTTATGGTCAAGAACCGCGACTGCAAGGAAGTTCCTATCGAGATCCATCTGCTGCAGACCCTGAACCACAAGAACATTGTGTCTGTACTGGATGTGTTCGAAAATGACCTGTTCTATCAGCTGGTAATGGAGAAACACGGCTCCGGAATGGACCTGTGGACATTCATAGAAAGACGTCCATTGATGGATGAAAAACTGGGCAGCTATATTTTCCGGCAGGTGGCCGATGCCGTCAACTATTTGCACGAACAGAAGATACTGCATCGCGATATAAAGGACGAGAATATTATAATAGATCACAACTTCAATATAAAGCTGATCGATTTCGGATCGGCTACTTTTATGGAGGAGGGCAAGTTCTTCTCAACGTTTTACGGCACTACGGAGTACTGCAGTCCGGAGGTCCTAGCCGGAAATAGATACGTGGGTCCCGAACTGGAAATTTGGGCCCTGGGCGTAACCCTGTACGTTCTGATGTTCTTCGAGAACCCCTTCATCGATGTGGAGGAAACACTGAAGGCCGAAATCCAGATACCTAAAGCGGTTTCCGAGCAATTGAGTCGTCTACTGAGTTCCATGTTGAACAAGGATCCAAAATACCGCTGCACCATGCACCAGTTGATAACCGATCCCTGGCTCACCCAGGAGGTAAATCCTTCGCTGTTTAGTTTCTCCTGGATTGTTCCCTGCAAGGCCCACGAGGCGAATCCGGATCTGTACTTCTCTGGTTACCTATACTCCAGCACTTCGGTGCTGTCCACTATTTCGCCACAGGAGAGCTTCTCGCACATCGAAGAGTCCTCGATTGGGGGCAGTGATGAGGCGAGATTGGCCTCTCACAGGACCGGAGGACACAAGCTGTGTGTCAATGAAGGTATAGTAGTTTTTCTAACTTCATTTATAATATAATATATAACAATATAACCTTTTCCCCTCCTTTTTTAGCCAAACACAACAAGATGGACACACTCTATGCGAAACAGTTCCAGTTAAACACCTCAGTAAGTAATCACGAACTGAGGGTCTCGTTACCTGAATCCAGCCACCCAGAAATCGGAGGTTCTATATGCTCTTCGAAGTCCGAAAACGACATTTTTAAGAACAAACTCGAACCCTGCGTCTCTGCTTATAACGTAGTTAGCTTGCACGACGTGAGCTCGAAACCTAAAACTCTTGATCTAAAGTAAAGTTCTATATCTGTTGTACATGTGTAAATCGAATATATGCATACTGTCATATGTAAATAGCACCATCTGTGAGAGGACAATTAAGGCTTTGGGGCGGATAAATATGTAGAAGAAAATAAATCAATTTTATTGTTATTTGATGTGGTTTTAATTAATAGACGATCTTACCTTAATTCGTTCAAAATCAAAAGAAAATTCCATAATTTAATTTTTTATGCATTATAGCGCAACAAATAACTGAATAACATTTTAATTGCTCCGTATGGAATCGTCACGAATTAACAACTATTTATACACATACATAAAAACTACCGAAGGTAAGCGTTCAACTAAATATTTTCATGGATGCTTGTGCGACTTGATTGACTAGGGGTCAATAGCCCAACCAGATTGTACAATCACATGATCGTAATATATTCACGTGGTTATATTCAACGGAGGGAAATGAATAGTTATGTTTGCCAATCATTAGTACGATGTATACAGTTAATAACGATTCCTAAGTTTAAACAACTCGCAAACTTTTTACAAATATATATATACTGTAAGCGTAAGCACTCTACAAAATGTATCTAAAATATCGTATCGGTGTTTTCGTATTTGCGGTCCCAATAGCCTCCGCTATATAGCCAATCGTCGGTTTTGGTATTGGGGTTAGTTGTGTACTTAAACCACCTGAAATTGGGAGCACTTAATGAGCAATCAATTCGACAAGTTTATAGGTATTCTTTACCTCGGAGTCCAGTCATCGCTATTGGTGGTTTTTCTTTGTTTCCGTGTATGCCTTTGTTTCTCCTCGAGGCGGGTCTTCTCCTTGGACGCTCCATCCAGATTTCCTTCCTCTAAGTATAATATATCAGGTCGCAGTCGCGAATCGGTAGGGCAAAGTGTTAGCGGTGGTTTCATATTACTATTCATGGCGTTAAGCTGCAGCGCAAAATGCGTAAACTGGTAATACTGGAAAATAAGAGGGGAATATGTTAACAGAGTTTCAAGGGTTTTTTTTTTAAATCTCCTACCTCGTTACAGTTGGAAGGTCTGGGTTTACAACTCCACAAAGTCGACGAGTCGGGTATATCAATCGAATAAGCAGAATCACTCTTTGGTATGTCACCTTCTTGCTCGAAAGGTGGGCAACTATCGTTCTGAAATGTAACAATTTTTGAGATACTTTTGGAAAGGTAACTCAAGAAACTCTTACACTTACATCTTGAATGGACAGACTCCTAAATGAGTTCAACTTGAAACTATTCAATTTCGAGAACATTTTCTTGGGGGTTCCATTCGGCGAGCCATCAAAGTCGTCATTCTTTCTGGTTCCCTGCTTCAGATACTGAATGTACGATTCGGCAGAACAGCATTTAATAAACTCGGTCCATTTGCCATACAGAAAGTATAGATTTGCTTCACTGAAGAACATAGTATTTTCTGATTAGTTCCAAGTTCAAGAAATGCTTTGAATGGTTGACTTACCTGGCATCCTTGACAAATCCCTCAACTCGATGCAAGTTTTTAGCTCCAGATCCCGCGGACTTGAAGGTGAGGCTTGCAACATGACCAGTGGAATGATTGATGATCTCCATATTTCCATATTGCTCTATCCAAAGTCTGCCCACAATTATATTATGGACGCAACAATTGACATTAGTCCAGCTGTAGCTTTCGTTCCATCTGGAAAATAAGTGGTATTAGTATATTTCTATGATAAAGGTATACCCAAAACCTACTTTGGAAACTCAATGGTGACGGTTCCCTTCGGATTCACCTCAACGCTCTTACCCCAAAACTTGATTTTCGGGTTTATTGTACCGTGAAACTTAAAGTCTTTGGATTCTGCATGAAATGCAGATACTGGAGGATGATGGGAGACTTGTTCGCAGACAATTCGATAATCTCCTTTCTGGAGCTCGTATGTTTCACCAAGAAGTGGATTAAAAGGTTTTCCAAGGCGTTCCCAGTTTGAGGCTAATGCCGATACGGCAAAGGCTGAAAAATAAATTAATGAGGCATTTATTATCTGGGGGATTTTAAGTCTGTTTGGTTATTGAACCCTGTATATAACCCTATAAAACAAATTCTATAGAGTAGAACAAAGGAAATTTTCAAAAAATGAAATCTTTTCGGTTGATTAATTTCAATAAAGTTTCAATGGAAGAGATTCAAAATGCTAATAAAACCTAACCATAGACAATTTGTCGACCCTAAGAACTTTCCGGAAAATAAGGTTTGTCAATTATGGGTGAGGAACAGCATATAATAAGATAAGACTTACCCGCCACGTATTTCATCCGGTCGGCCGGAGATTCCTGGTGAGCTGCCTCGGTCAGCAGTTGTGCGTACTCCATGTACTCGCAGAGTCTCTGGAGGAAGCTCAGTGGTTCGTTCAGCATGACCGGCATGGTGATTTTGCTTAGGTCCTTGCCGATACAGTTCTTGAGAATGGCCCAGATACTGACCTCCTTGCGGGAAATCATCGGAGCCGGAAGCTCAGTTCTGCAGGCGATAAGATATAAGTAGATCAGATTGGATCCGATGAGTAACTCGGGGGCACTACTCACCTTTCCAAATGCTCTGAATTATCGCCCTCTGCCATTTTTCGGAATGGAATCTAGTGCAGCTGAACCCGGAATCTAATTGCTATCGTGTGTTATTGGAGGCTTAATTGATTGCCAGTTGACCCTCTGCTGCGGAGACGAATAAGTTTACACTTGGAAAGACATGTGGAGAGTGAGGCGATTCCAAAATCTAGAAGGGTTTAGTTAAGACTCTATAAATGAGATTAGTCAATCACTCAGATTAAACGAATACTTGACTTCGGGTGTACACTACATACATATGTACCTACGATCTCTAATGGACTGACTGTATACCTTTTGTTCGTAGTCGCGATTTCGATGGATTGCAATCTTGTGACCGAGGTTTGTCACTCATTGATTTTTCTACTGCTAATGAACGCTGGGCATGTAGGTGTTGTATGTGTGTTGAGATCTGCTTTAATTCGCTTCACATTGTGACTAAACAATAATTTCTATTGTACTAATTGAGGTGTTTGCGTGCTGTGTTGTACCTAGCACTTACTTTAAAATATAAGCTTTAGACGAAAATTTAATCAATAGTGATAAGAAAGCTTGTGGCGAAAGCTGCAAGCTTTTCGCAGAGGTGATTTTCGATTTGTGATTACGGGTGTTTTTTGGGGGTGTTTTGTTTACCTTTCGATTAATACAGTGCGCCCTTTAATAAGTGAAATCGTGCACCTTTTTTTAAAAACCATTAAATCATTAAAAGTAACCTAATAAAAATCACAGCTGAATTTTCACTTCGTGAGGTTTAAATTTTCACTATTTGTAAAAGCCTTTATTTTTGAAAAGACATCCTCTATTGGAATTTACGGGCTCTTCCATATGTAAATATATTAAACAAACCTTTTCGTTTTAATTAACCAGATAATATATTTATATATATAGAATTTAGATGTTGTATAATTATTCATATTCCATATATACAAGAAATAAAAACAACATTCTCTTAACACTACTTCGGAACTAATTGACTAAAATGTTGTGAGCAATTCCTCCTGGATGCTATTCGATCGAAGTAGTTGAGTAGGTGTGGGTCCGCCGGCGACCGTGTTCAGAACCTTGGATGACGTAGCCGTGGCGTTCTTTAGGTCATGGTATTCATCGCAGAACGTCTGGTGGGCGAACGGAAATAGCATTAGTGGTTTTTCTATTAACACGAAATGTTGAAATTTATTACCTTTAGACGGCTGCCCAAAAAGATGGCACGTTCACGCTTCCTAACCATGTAGTCGGATGACATGAGCCACCTGTGCTCCAAGCAATCTTCGGTATATGGTCGTTTTCTGAATGAAATGATGAAGAAAATGTTGTCAGTTGTCAAATTAAGTGTTATATCAATCATGAATGACCCTGTTCCTAATTTTTGGGTGGACTGGGGATGCAATAAACAGCCTTGATCTTTCAAATCTATTTCCAAAGATTTATAAACATATGTAGTTTTATATCACTTTGGAATAATATTTAAAAAGTGTTTTGAAAATATTTTAATTAATTGTAAATATAAGTTGAGATTATAGAAGTAATATCTCAAATCTTAAAATGTTTTGAAGTAATAAGTTTGAAGATTTCAGTTCACTTACGTGGGATGACGCTTGAAGAGGAGCATAATGAATCGCGTGGCCTCGGGAGTGACCTCCTTGAAGAGATTCTCGAACCTGTAACGCACGAAGGAGATGTTCTGCTTGGTCTCGTACTCGTCGGCGCCGCGGAATGGACTGCATCCGGACAGCAGCAAGTAGGTCAGCGCTCCCAGGGACCAGATGTCGCTCTGCGGGAATATGGGCTCATCGTTGATCATCTCGGGCGGTTGGAAGTCCAGCGATCCGCAGGGCGTCACCTTCATGCCCAGCTTGTTGACCTTCTTGGCGGCGCCGAAGTCGACCAGTTTCACTTGGATAGAGCGAACGGAGGCCATGACCACATTATCGGGCTGGATGTTCAAATGGCAGTAGCCACGCCAGTGCAGATACTGCAGGGCGTCCAGCAGTTGGGTCACCACAGTGGCCACCATCTGCTCGGAGTACTCGTGCCGGCTGCTGAAGTAGGTCAGCACATCGGCGCCCTGGAGCTTCTCCATCACGAAGATGGCAATGGGCACATTCAATGGCTTATAGGCACTGAATAGGGCCGGGATTCGTTCGTGGCGGAGCGTCTTAAAGTTGTCAAACTCGGCGACCACATTGTCCTCGTTCTCGTCGGTCACCTCGAGGATCTTGGCCACCACCACCGTGTCGGTGGACTTCTGGATGCCCTTGACAATGGTGCTAAACTCGCCCCGGGCAATCTCCGAGATGAAGCTGTACTTGTCGCTAACGGAGGAATCGGTCACCCAGTTGGGCGGCTCCCGCTCGCAATGGTAGTCGGTGTGGACGCGCTCCTCCTCGGGAATCACCTGATGCCCGTTCTCGGTGAGCTGCTGTAAATGCTTCATGGCCTTGGTGATGTGGATCTTGGGGGCATCTCCGCCCACCGTCGACGCGGCCACCGGTATGCCCATCTCGCTCCAGCCGATGCGGTTCTTCGAGGCCAAGCGGAACTGATAGTTGGTATTGGGCTGCAGATCGTGCAGCAGATAGAACTCGTGGTCAATGTTATCCGCCACCGTGGTCCAGGCATCGCAGTTGCTCAGCTTGTACTGCAGACTGTAGCAGAGGACCGTGGAGTGGCCATCGTCGCGTGGCTGCTTCCAGCGGAGCAGGATCTCGGTGCCGCTGTTGGCGGAAATCTCCGGCGAGTCGGGGGCATCGGGCAGAGTGGCCACCACGATGCGGCATCGGGCCACGGTTTGACCCACCTTGTTCCTGGCCACCACCTTGTAGACGCCCACATCGAAGTGCAGGGCCGGCTCGAAGCGCAGGATGGAGCGACCGTCCTCGTCCACCGATATCTTTATCCTCTTGCTCTCGGACAGAACCATGTCGTTCTTGAACCACTGCACACACGGCTTGGGATCTCCCACGGCGAAGCAGTGGATGTGACTTGGCTGGTTCTCCGTTATGGCGATAGTCTGGGGCTTCTCGCGGAAGAAGGGCGGGTAGCCCTCCCGCTGGGTCTCGATCATGGCATCCGCTTCGGTGTACTCATCCAAACGGGGTCCCAATTCGGTGCGCAATCTCCTGATGGAGTAGGATTCATTGGCCGCGTACATGCTGATGCGACTGCGGGTGCGCTCGTCATCGATCTCCTCGTCCATGATGTCGGTGAAGCGACGTCTCTCGCGGATCACGGGCAGCTGGAAAAGAACACATTAATTATCCATTTTCTAATAAATTTATCCTTCGTTTACTTACCGACCAATCCACTGAATCGTTCAAGGCAAAGGAAGGCGAACGGCGATGGGCCACCTTCATGTATTCTCGCAATCTCACAGGGAAGTTGACATCACGCAATTGCAGAAGATAAGTGTCGGGTCCATATTGGTAGCTAAAGGGTTATAGGTTATATTAGTAACAAACTTGAGACCTAGTTGTTATACCCGTTAATCGTAGAGTAAAAGGGTATTATGCCTATCGAAATGTAGAAGACATTTTTAAAATCAGACCATTCATTAAAAAGTTATACGCAATCAAAAAAATTTATATATCCATCTCCCTCGCACTCCCTTTAGCCGAGTGACGGGTAGTAGATAGCCGGGACACCAACCCGACTATAGCGTTCTTTCTTGTTTTATATAGTGTTACCCATTTCTTTTGGGTACTTGATTATGAGAAATTGATATTGTACTTACTGACTCTCGGATTGAATGAGGCCCAGTTCGTAGTCGGGATGCAAGTACTTGGAGACCACCTCCTCGCGCTTGGCCCGGATCCTCGGCTCCGGCAGGGGCTCCGGGGTGTTCTCCGGCGTGTAGACGTGTCCCGGGGGATAGACCATCTTGGACGGGTGCTGGAAGCAGCCGCTCAAGCGGCGCCTGCGGAAGTAGTTCTTGCACGAGGCATTGGCATACCAGTCCCTGAAGTGGTCGTAGTAGTTGCGCAGCCGATCGGTTCCGATCTGATAGTCATGGTCGTAGACCTGGCGATCGAGCATGAAGAACCAGGGATGCTTCAGAGCGGTCTTCACATCCATACGTTCCTCGGGACTGTAGAGCAGCAATCGACTGATGAAGTCACGGCCATCGTCCGAGATATGGGTCCAAATCTCGTCCTTGAAGTCCCAACGACCCTCGCGAATCTTGGTCAGGGTTTCCCTATCGTCAATGCCCAGGAATGGATTGTGACCGCCGAGCAGCACGTAGGTGATCAGGCCGACGGTCCACATGTCGTGGGAGAAGTTGACTCCCTCCTTGTTCACCACTTCGGGCGAAACAAACTCGGGCATTCCATAGTCCAGGGTCGACAGATTGTGCCTGTTGATTTTCCTCGACAGTCCAAAATCAGACACCTTGATGAGATCACCGCCGACCACGGAGATCAGGAGGTCCTTGATCTGTAATTTCAGAAGGGTGAGTTAAGGTTACTAATCTCTCACAATCTCTTACCGTAAGACCCATGTGACCCACGCCCATTTCGTGCATGTGCTCCAGGCCCCACAGTGTCTGCCTGATGTAGTGGGCAATATCTCGTTCCGTGTAATAGTCGCGTCTGAGGAGATTATCCCTGACCAACTCTCCACCGGCAGCCAGTTCCATGATCAGCGTTACACTTCGATCGGTGTCATAGGCGTCATAGGGACGGATGAGGTTCTTGTGATTGAACGTGTTCATCATCTCCAGTTCGTTCAGCATGAACGGACGCAACTCGGGTCGTCCGTACATGATCTTAGCAGCATAATTGTCACCGGAAGAACGCTCCACAGCGTGGTATGTGATTCCCTGAGTTCCACGACCCAGTTCATCTCCAATGTCGTACTTGTCCTGGTAGCGCAACTGCTTGGAACGCACATACGGATGTCTGCCGTAGGTCTTGTAGATATACTGATCCTCGTTCTCCTCGATGTGCACCGTAACCGAAGTGCTAATGGAGCCGGCAATGTTTCTGGCACTAATGGAGTACAAGCCACCGTCCTTGATGATCGAGTCGTGGATCGAGAGCACGTAGATGTCAGGGTCATAGGAGCTAATCTGTATAGGTTATATAGTCGATTTGGTTAGTTTCTTGAAAATGATATCTAATCCTTCACATTACCTTAATCCTGGATGACTCGGCAATCGGTTTCCAGTCCTTGAACCAATGCACTTCTGGCAGCGGAATGCCCACCAACTTGGCCTCGATTCTTCCGTTTTTGCGGGACATAATGAAGGTCTCATCGGGACGCTTCAGGAACCTCGGATGCTCCGCAATCTCCAGTCTCACCCGCTGCCTGGCCTCTCCATGTTCGTTGGTGGCCACAGCCTCATACCAGCCAACATCCCGATCCAACATTCTAAAGGGGATTACAGTAGATTATCATCATTATATTACACCTCATTAAACCCACTTGTTAATGAAGAGCGTGGCCTGTCCGTTGCGAGTGTAGCTCTGATCAAATCTGCCACCCGACTCAATGATCATGTCATCAAAGTAGTAAGTCATCTTGGGCTTGGGATAGCCGTAGACAAACCACATCAGCTCCGTGTTGTGATCCTTGACTCCATAACTGATGTCCTGCTCGCGCAGCAGGAATCTATTAAGACAGTACTTATAAGTAGTATCTTTCTTCAAACCATATGTATACTTTGTACTTACTGAGGTGCCTGTGCCAAACCATCATGCGGAGGTCTCTCGATATCAAAGTCCTTGGGGAAGTAGGGCGAAGTTTCTGGCCTGAAGTCAGTGCCTGGTGGCAGGTAGGTATAAGTTTTCGGTGGATCTGGTACCAGTTTTTGCCTGAAAATTACAATTAATTATAGTAAATACTTAACATCAGGTTCAGGACTTCCTCACCTGTAAGTTTGGGTATAGGGACTGGGATCGCTCACACCAAACTTGTTCTCCACTCGCACTCGGAATCGATAATCTCGGAAAGGTTCCAAGTTACGGATATCACAGGCACAGCTGCGAACTCCCGTCCTCAGGGTGCGCCAATCTCCTTCTGGCAAATCCATCATTTCGATCTAAGATTTGGCAATTAAATGATTCCCATTTCCTTTGAGAGGTTACATCTTTGAATAGCTTACCTGGTAAGTGATAGGATAGCGGGGAGTTAAGGGCACCGAAGGATTCCATGACAAGAGCAATCCGCGATCGGTCATGCGAGATATAATGGGACCCTCCGACAATGGCGGAGGAGCACCGGACTTCTTGTACTTCTTGAAATCGGTATACTGGTCTTCCAAGGGCTTCTGCTGGCTATCCAGAGCTGTGAATTTATAATTACGTTACTAAATATAGTTAATAGGTGATCCAAAAGAACTTACAATCGTAGAACAGCTCAGCATGGCAAATATCATCTCCGTATGGGTTGAAAATGCGGCAGGAATAGCGGCCCACATCGTACTCGGTAACATTTTTAATGGTCAGCCTGAGAAGGCCATTCGGCTCGATATCAATCAAGAACCGGTCCGAGGGGAAGAGCTTCTGGTCGTTCTTGAACCACTCGACTTCCGGCTCTGGATATCCCGTGGCACAGGCCGTGAACTTGGCAACCATGCCCTCGTAGATATCACAATCGCCAATCTTCTTGAGGAACACTGGTGGCTCCGATCGCGAATGCTTCTTACTGTAGAGTAAATATAGATCGTTAGTTAGAAGGGTAAACGAGTGCCACCGAAATCACTTGAAAATCTATTAAGTAATGCCAAAATCTTTGTGTTTTCTGTGGCAGCCTCGATTATAGAACACTCACATCTCATTGACGATATCGAGACGTCCTTGGGTGATATCCTTGCCCTCCCTGTTGCTGGCGATGCACTTGTAGACACCCTGGTCACCCTTCTCGCAATTGTTCACGATCAGCATGTGATGATCTCCATCGTTCTTGATGCTGTACTTGTCCGACTTGGGAATGGGCTTGTCCTGGAAGTACCACTCGAGATCCGGATAGGGAACACCGGAAACGGTAACGGGGATCTTGGCATTGTTGCCGAACACCTGCTGCTGATCGGATATCTTTTGGGTGAACACCGGTGGCTTGTAGACCTTCCTGACATTCGCGTTGCAGGCGGAGGAGTCCTCGCCCAGCGGATTGGCCAGCAGGCAAGTGTAGTTTCCAGAGTCGGCGGCTTCAGCCGGCTTGATGGTCAGTCCAATGTGCTTGCCATCGCAGGTCATCAGCAGGCGTTCGTTGGGAGTCAGAGTGACGCCATCCTTTGACCAAATCACCTCGGGCATTGGGTTCGAAATGAATGGAGCAGAGAGCACCAGCTCCTGACCCTCATCGGCATTAACATCCCGCAGAGCGGACACAAATTGTGGAGCCTCCTCGGTGGCGGTTTCATCGGCCTTGGGAGCCACATAAAGCTTGGCCTTGGAGGCAGTCGATCCCTCGGGATTCTGGGCAATCACCTCATACAAACCCGAGTCACCGGGAACCGTTTTCTCGATGATCAGGCTGGTGCTCTTGTCCGGATTCTCCACAATGGCAATGTGGCTTGGATCGGGCTGGATTTCGTGACCATTATGGAACCACTGGAGCTTCGGCTTGGGGTTTCCAATCACCTTGATGTCCATCTTCACGGGGAAGCCCTCAATGCTGGAGGAATCCTGGAGTTCGGCCACGAAGACAGGCTTCGATTCCTTGGGCACGATCTCCACCTTGGACACGCCCTCGATTTCGCCGCCCTTGTTGGCGATCAGACACTTGTAGACTCCAGCATCCAGAGGCTGGGCAGAATCGATGCTGGTTGAGGGAAATCGGGAGGTTAAATACCATTTCTATTTTATATGCATATACCCCACTCACATTAGTCCAATTTGACCATTGGGGCTGTTGATGAAGTTAATCTCTGGACTTGGGCGCAGCAGCATGCCATCCTTGTACCACTTGACCTCTGGCGCCGGGAATCCAGTGACCTGGGCCTCCAATTTCAGGGGTTCACCCACCACGACCGTCTGGCCGGTAATAGGTTTCAGGAACTTTGGCTGCATCTCCTCAGCTAAAGGTTACGGTTATTAAATTACATCTATTAATAGTAAGTAGAGCTGCATTTCTTACGTTTAACAGCCACCGCACACAAAGCCACCTTCTCGCCATGAGGATTGGATATGATCAGCTTGTAGGCTCCCGAATCGTTGGGTTGGCAGCTGTTGATCTCCAGCCTAACCAGGCCATCCGGATTGGTGGAAATCTTAACACTAAGTAAGAGAGATAGAAAGTGTCGTCCGATAAGACATATTATTTAAGTAACTACCTCTCGCTGGGCTTGACTTCATCACCATCCTTGAGCCACTGAACGGTGGGCAGGGGACTTCCGTCCACGCAGCACTCGAGGACCAGAGGTTCACCCTGCAGCACATCCAGAGCATTGTCCAGCTTCTTCACAAAGCTGGGTGCGAGGGCCAACAAAGCCAACTTGAAGGGGGCCTTGGTCACTCCGATTTCATTGGTGGCCACACAAGTATACTGATAAAAAAAAAAAAAAAAAGAAAAATAAGAATATTTTTTTCTAGAAATCTATTAAGATCTTACCGCTCCCACATCGTTTTCCCTGAATGTTTTGATGTCGAAAACACTTTCGATTTGGTCGGTACCCTTCTTGGTGTCCTCCTTGCCGTACAGCTTGTCCTTGCTGGGCTTGTTAATAGCCTCATAGTTGATGGGCTTGTCGTCCTTGAACCATTCAATTGTGGGCAGTGGAACACCGTGCACCAGAACCTTGGTGGAGACGGGTCTAAAGTCGTGGATGCTCTGGCTCTCGGGTTGCACAATAAAGGTGGGTTTCTCCACTGCATCAGAAAGATAGATGATAAAGGATATATAGAATCGTTTTGAGATTGTAATCCCTACCCAGCACCGCCAAATTAAAGTCCACCGTGGCCCTTCCCTCGCTGTTCGTGGCTGTGATGGTGTATTTACCATCTTCACTGGGGGAAACGGACTGGAAGACCAGTCGATACTTATCGGCATCAACGTCTGCGATGACCTCGCAGTTCTCGTTGTTGCACAGGTTCTCATTGCCACGAGTCCAGGAAACCTTCGGTTTCGGATTGGCCTGGACCAGAGCCTCAAAGCAAATGGTGTCGCCCGGCAGACATTTGGTATCATTCAGGCCAGAAATCTCCGGCTTGGCCAGCACATCGATCCATCCACTAGTGGCCAGCTCACCGTACTTGTTCTTCACCTTCAGTTCATAGCGTCCGGAATCCTTAATCTCAGCTGCAATAAATACATTTACACTCTATTATATAGAGAAAATGCATTATAAAGGGCACTCCATACCTTCCAAGATGTTCAGAGTGCAAGTGTACTGAACCAATCCATTCTCCGCGTCCTTCTTTTCCACCTTCAGCTTGAGATTATTGCTCTCCTTGACGGGCTGGCCATCCTTGAGTAAGACGATTTCAGGAGCAGGATCTGCGGTGAACACAACTGGTTCGTTGACCTTGTCGCCCTTGTTGACCTTAATGTCCTTCAGTCCAGGTCCTTGGGTCAGGATAGGCTTGCGATATTCAGCGATGCCTGTGGTATAGTGAAATGTATTAAATTTTAAATCGATTACTTCATTAAGAGCTTCTTACCCGACAGGGAAAGATCCCCCTGATGCGATTTCTCGCCGCACTTATTTTGAACAACCACCCTATATTCTCCCGCATCGACTAAATCAAGCGACTGCACCTCCAGCTTATAATGATCCTAAGGGATAATAAAAGTAGTAATAAAAGTCCGGAAAATAAATATTCAATGAAAACAAACCCCATCGACAGTAATAGCAGTGTGCTTATCGGCCGTAATTGGCTTTCCATCGTGATACCAAATTGCTTCTGGTTTGGGAATACCTGTGGCAATGACTTCATACTTGAGGGGCACACTTTCGTAGCTGTGCTGCTGGAAGACATCGACATGTACGATTTCAGGAACAGCTACAAAAAATAAGCTTGTCAGTATATATATTTTAAAAAGATTTCCTTATAGTTTACTTATAGATTTCTGTACAGAGTGCATATATCATTCGTAGGATTAGTTTCGGCAGTGCAGCACTTACAACATCTTCAATATTGAATATCTTACAGTATTTATAAATAATGTATAGGGGTCCTAAAAAAATACCTTCATGACAGAAAAGTTGCCAAGTGCGTAAACTTAAAGTCCATTTATAAATTTTCGACTTGGCAATTTTAATTTCCCAATGATCGTGCAATCATTAAATGCAGTCCTCTTAAACAATCATCTCCTTCACGATGCTTAAAGATATTCGCGTTTCTTACACGTTGTTATTAATTGTCGTTTAATTAAGATTGTCTGTACAATTTTTGGGTTAAATATTTTATGAGCAATGCGATATGAAATGTATTTGATATGTACAATGGGCGTGCATTTGAAATATATTGAAAAATGTTCGTGGTTATCTGTGGTATTCAAGGTTAATTTGTTTATATTTAGAATTATTTCATTTCGTTCTCATTCATTGCATTTCCCAAGTATTTTTAGTTTTGTTTATTTTATCGTTTAATTGATGCATATGCATTGAAAATGGTTTTGGTTTACCCCCTTCTTCAGGTTCTTCAGTCGTCGCAATCATAGTTTTTGTTACGGTCTGTCCCAGAGACAAAGAGTCGCTAGCTGCATTAAAATTTCATATTGGAAATATGGGAGATTAGGTTTAATGAGACTTTTGAGGGATTAGGAGTACAAATGGGTTTTTTCTTTTTTGATAAGATAGAATCTCTTTGCTGATATCCCGTAATCGCTTTCACTTTGTTTAACAACCTCGTCATATTACTGATATACTTACTTAAAACGGCAACCTTGCAGGTTGAGGTGGTCTCGCCAATAAAGTTGGTGGCCTTCATCTCATAGGTGCCCGCATCTTCAGTTCTGGCCAGATTCAAAGTGAGATAGTAGTTCTCAATGCGCTGGGTGTCCCGGGAGATTTTAATGCGGGCGTCCTCATAAATTTCATGACCATCCTTGAACCTGAATAAATAATCCCCAGTTATATAATAAACCAGAAGGAACTTCTGCTTGTCTTACCATTTGATTTTGGCCTCTGGTTCGCTGTATACTTCAACCTCAAGAGTGAAGGACTTGCCCTCCTGGACTTCAATGTTCTTGAGTCCACGCTTGACCTTGGGTTTGCCTGGTTATAAAGTATAGATTAGCCATACATAGAAGATTGATACCTTCCAGTTACTCACAATTTACTGTCACCACGCAGTTGTCCTCCAGTTTTCCATAGTCGTTCATGATCTTGCAGGTGTAGTTGCCCTGCATATTGGTGGCCACCTGGTTCATGATCAGCTTGAAGTTATTGCCCTCCTCCACGTGACGGAAATCGTTCCTCTTCTCATCGATTTCAATGCCATCAATGTACCATTTAACATGGGGACGAGGATATGCGTCCACACCCACCACCAACTCCACATTGGAGTCGCCCTCGGCGACGGTGATGTTCTTCAGTTTCTGGGTGAACTCGGGAGTGCACTTGATCAGCAGCTGAGTGGAACTGGTGGCCGATCCGTGCTCATTGGTGGCCTTCACGGTGTACTTGCCGGCATCCACACGAGTGGCTCCGGTGATCTTCAGCGTGTAGGCATTGCCATCGCTGCTAACCGTGTATTTCGCATCCGTTATCTTGATCTCCGTCTCGTCATGGTACCAAATCAATTTGGCCTCCGGATAGGCATCGATCCGCACCGTCATCTGGACGTGCTCCTTCTCCCCGTGGATGTACTCGCTCTCGAAGTGCTTCACAATCACCGGCTTCGACTTCACCGTACAGCTCCAGTACTCCGACGTCTGGCTGAGATCGTTGGTGGCCTTGATGGAGTAGTTGCCCGCCTGCGAGAGCTTGATCTCCTTCACCTCGACGACGACCTTCTCCAGACTCTTGCCAATGGAACTCGAGGAGATCTTAACGTTGCTCTCGGCCGTCACATCCTTGCCATTGTTGGTCACCTGGACAGTGGGTTGCGGGAAGCCCTCCACTTCGATCTCCATCTTGATGGTCTCGCCGGCGGAACAGGTAATATCCGTGACTTTCTTGATTTTGGGAGGAGCTTTAAGGAGATTGAAAATTAGTCGATGGCATATAAAAGATTTAGGAATGAAATATATTAAGTCTAAGTAAGACCAGCAGTTCCAGTAGAAATCTACTTTCTTTCCTTACTGTTCAGCTTTAAAAAGAATTTAAAATAAGTTGAATATATTGAATTAAACGATGTCGAACATCCTTCACTCAAACTATTGCAGATAAATCAAAATTATTTAATAACTTTATAATATAATTACCTTTAACCACCAAGTTAATGGTCGACTCATCCTGGCCGAGTTCATTGATGGCTTCAATGGTGTACTCTCCGGCGTCTGTAGTGTCCACGTTCTTGATCACCAGCGACATGCTCTCCTCATCCTCGTACATGAACTTGTGCCTGTCGTCCACCTGGATGACCTCACCGTCGTGCTTCCACTGCACCGCCGGCTTGGGGAAGCCCTTGCATTGGAGCTCCAGAATGGCCGAGCCGCCGATGCTGGCGTTCGCCTCGCGGTGCTCGATCACCAGGGTGGGCTTCTCGGGCTCCCGGTTGAGGGTCTGAATGGCACCCTGAACCGAGAGCTCGGCACTGCACGAGATGTTGCCGGTTGAGGTCTGAGCCACGCAGGTGTAGATGCCCGCATCCTCGGGCTTCACGTGCTGGAAGACCAGAGCCAAGGAGTCCTCATCCTCGCCGAAGAGCACCTTGAAGCGTTCCTCGGGATCGAACTCCTCACCATTTCGCTTCCATTGGAAAACTGGCTTCTCGCCAGCTGGCAGAATTTGTCCGCTCAGGGCTCCAAATGGATTTCTATCCTCTACAAAAGATACAAAATGTTAGGAAATAAATCTTTAAATATTCTATCTTTTATTACTTACCCACTGTGGTGGCTACAGCTTCGCAAGTAGCTTCACCGAACTTGTTCGTGGCCTTGCACGAGTAGGTTCCACTGTCGGTCTTCTGGACATCGGCAATTACCAGCTCATAGAAACCCAGATAGTCCTTGTCTCGAATAATTTGGATCCTATCATTGGTCTCCAGTATTTCCTTTTCGTCCTTGTAGCTGTGGAAGTGTAATACATTTTATTTATTTTGTAGTTTAATTATTTTTAGTTTTAAACTTACAATTTCACCCTGGGCTTGGGATCCCCTTTGATCTTGATCATGAAACGGAAGAGAGTGTTCTCGATCATCTCGGCATCTTTCAGGCTAACCAGGAAAGCTGGCTCGGTATTGGTCTTCGTCTCATCATGTCCAGGAGCTGTAGGGTTAAACCTTTTGTAATCTTATGGTTCTAAACCCTTTGTTAATGGCTTACCTTGGCCAACAGCGAGCTGAGCCGAAACAGTTGTCGTTTCTGATGCAGACTGGGCCCGAATGGTATAGGTTCCTGCATCAGTCTCACTAGAAACACAGAGAGAAAACATGTTAATAGAACTTATTAAATTAGAATACAACATTACCAACCTGCAGTTCTTGATGTCCAATCGGTAAGAATTCATTGGAGCAGCGGTTTGGGTGATTCTGTCAGCCAAGCGATCTTCCAGAGGCTTGTTGTCCTTCAGCCAGGTAACCAATCCAGGTTGATCCTTGAATTGGATCTCGAAATGCGCGGTCTCTCCAGCTGTTTTTGGAGGGGAACAATTGAAATTTAAATGATGTTGCTTTTGGTATTATATCAAAGCTACGTACGGTCCACTTGAACGCTCTTCAGCATCTTGACCACCACGGGCTTGTCGACGGAGCGAAGGGGTCGATCCTCTTGAAGACGAGATGATGACCGGATTCCGGCACGCGATTCTGCAACCGAATAGGAGGCACGACTTTCGGCACGGCTTTCGGCACGACTTGCAGCACGACTTTCTGTACGTCCAGTGGCCAAAAGAGAAGATCTGGCTTCGACCTTGTCAACGGAACTCCGATCCCGCCTGGAACTTATGCCATACTGCGATCGCTCTACGGTGCTATCGTAGGAGGTCCCCCGGTCGTAGTCCCGAGATTTGGCTTTACGGAAGGTAATGTTTATTAGAAATATGTCTAAAATGGTGTTGGTTACGAATTTTTATACTTGGGGTGTTCCCGAAATCTCCAGATATAAGCTAATCTCTAAAGATTTCAAGAGACCCTCTACAAAACCAATTGTCATTCTGAACAATGAACTAGCAAGGATTGGAGAAAGATAGGATTGAATATAGGAAAACAGGTAGACACATATAAAGTGTTAATTATCAAGAAAATATTGTATGTAAACATGGAAATGTATATATTGTAAAACACAGTTATTTACGATTAACTCAACAGACTTATGTGTAGATGAAAGACGTGTGAAATACATGAAGTTGAAGACAAGGACTTCGCTTACAAGGAGTCTTTGGAAGTTACACTGAAAGTTCAAGAAGGTATTCCAGTTCTATGATAGTTACGACATCCCAGACATTGACTTTAACTGACATTCAACACGGGCATCCGACGATGGATTTCGAAAACCGGTCAATACATAACTATATCGGACCTAATTGGTCGATGGACAACTTACATTCATAGCGACGTGTTGAAGCCCTTGAGTAGCCAGCAGAATAATAATCATCCATACCACCGACGCTTTGGCCCCTGGCTTCAAAATCGGCACTTGGCTCTCTGAAATCGTCAGCAATAGACTCAGTATATTCGCCTTCAAGCTCAAAGATATTAACGGGCTCCTCAACGATCTCGTAAATGGGTCGTTTCTTAACGGGCGGGGTGAAAATGTGCAAGAAATCGCGGGCCTTGGCCTTCTGTACAGTGTCTTGGGCATAATTGGTCGAGTCCTTTGACTTCAGGACCGTGTTCTTGATGCTGCGAATCTTCTGCTTGGCATTGCGAAGCGATGTATCCGACGAGGCGGCATCGTAGATGCCCTCGAAGAAGTTCTGGGTCTTCTGCTCTAGACTCTCAGTATGGACTAGAACCCGCTTGATAGTGGGCGGCGGCGGGGGCGGCGGTGAGGGGGGCGTGCCTTGACAATTAGTATCTCAATGGTGGTCTCGTAAGCGATTAGTGGAAGCGGTTGGAAGAAGCCGGGCATGCGCGTAAAGTTCGGAGGAATGGGCGGCGGCGGAGGACCAGATTGCTGCAGATACTGGTTAGCCCCACTGCGATCGCCGGCGATGTTAGCTAGCCGGTTATTCCAGATGGTTAGTGAAGCGTGATCGGTTATATTGGCGGTGTAGCCCTGCTGGCGACCCTGCGATCCCCCTCCGGAAGGAACAGTATCGCCGTCCCGGAGAGACTCGCTATAGCCAACAATGTCTTTCAGCTCGATGGGCTTGTGCTTGGTTACCACAACTTGGTTATCGCTTTCTACGGGTCGGTAAACTTGGATCATTGGAATCGAATATGGTGACGGTTCTCGCTGGGGTTCTTCGGCTTGCTTACCAGCTAAGGAGATCTCTTCAGTGACTAATATCTCCTCCTGAATCTGACTAGATTGGCTTGATTCGACTACAGCGGTTGACCTGGTTTCGGTTACAGTTTCTTGGAGCTTAACTGGCGCGACTGGAGCTTCGACTTCCTTGGAATGTGAAGCTGGCTCTACTTTTTGGACTTCCTTGAGAGGAGGTTGCGGAGGAGTAGCGTCCTTTGCAGGAGGAGCAACCACTTGAGGCTGTGGTGGAGGAGTAGCTACCTTCACAGGAGTTTTCTCTTTTGGTGGAGGGGAAGCTACCTTCACAGGAGTGATCTCTTTTGGAGGAGGTGTAACTACCTTCACGGGAGTAATCTCTTTTGGTGGAGGAGTAGCTACCTTCACAGGAGTTATCTCTTTTGGCGGAGGTGGAGGTGTAACTACCTTCACTGGAGTTACTTCCTTTACTGTAGACTGTGGTGGAGGAGGTGGAGGAGATACCACCTTACGAACTTCCGAGCTAGTTTTAACCTGGGAGCTAGTTGTGATCTGGACCGATTCGGTCTTTGTGGATGACGACTTGGAAGACTGCTGTTTCTTGTACAGCTCTATGGCCTCCTGCTCCAGCTTCAGCAGCTCCTGCTGTTCGTGCTGGAGACGCTCCTTGGTCTCCTTGCTCAGGAAGAAGTTCTCGGCCACGTCAGAGGGTCGGACACTGAGATTCGGATCGTGGGCCTCGGCCCGTTGCGGAAGATGGAGGATTAGCTCACTCTCGGAGGCGATTTGGGATGAATCGACCTTCAGGTCATCGGCATTGTGCTCCTGCAAAGTGACGTCCTGGTTGATGTGGCTGGAGATCTCGTTGAACCAGGTCAAGTGAGACGACTCTTGGCCATGGGGCCTAATGATTATGGGCAAGAATGAGTTGGCCTCTGGTGTTTTCAGACTCAACTGGATTTGTTTCTCGTCGGCTTTGTGCTCAATGTTGCAGAGTGGAAGCTTGACGATGTTTTGCAATATAAATACGGATCTGTTCTCGGATATCTTTCGGACCTTGGTCACCAAAATGCGCGACTTGAACAGGAAGCAGTAGCGATCGTGCGACTTGCCCTCCTTATCGAGCACGTTGCACCAGTCGTGGAGGAGCAGGCGCCCCAACTTGTAGATGTTACCCCGACAGCCCTCGATGCTGGAAAGAAACCTATTGTCGTACGCTCTACTGGGCACACTAAGCATTAACTCTAAGGCCCTGTCCAAGTCTTTAACGTTCTCTTTCAAGCTTAGCGAGTACTTAATAAAGTCCTGCGAAAACAAACATTAATTGAGTACTTTAGCAAGCCGCATGGAGCATGGGAATTAGCTTAATTTAAATGATTAAAGATCAAAGCAGATTAACACTAAACACGGGTATACGGATATGTCGGCAAACCTTGAACAAAAGTTGATAGTCGTTTATTCTCTGGATGGGGAGTTTAAGATGTTCTGAAAGAGATTTGTCGTCTCCAAGCTGTTTTGAAAGTTCCTGCAAATCAAAAATCAACAGGTGTCTTAGTTCAGATATATATGTACATCCCGATCCATTGCAAGGTCACTGGATCTCCAAAGTTCGAATGTATTGGGAAATAAAATAATAATATTTATCGTTAGTCGCTGATTTGGTGGTTTTCTGCATCCGCTTGAATTTTTGCGCCCGTCGTACTAACATATACATTCGAAACACGATTTCTCGAGATCTCTCTCTCTTTTTTGGGGTTATTTTTGGAACGATGTTTAAAAATTTATCACTTGTTGCAAAAACGGATACGTGTGCGTGCGTCGGTGAATGATTTTCTATATGCATGTACTTTGCTTTGGAAAGCTATACACATATGTGAATACCAAATACATATTCGAATATTAGTATTCAAATGTTTGTTCAGATATATGTATAGTTTTATTCACTCTATGCTCTGTGTTCATATTCACCAACTACGAATATTCACTGCTGAACCAATTTCGAAATGAACAAGTATAAATGAACTCATTAAAGTCAATGTTACAATATTTTTGCCACTATATATATTTAAACACTTTTAGATGTGAGGTCGAAATATGTGGGCTGAAGAAAAAATTGTTCACATATATATATTTATAAATGTATACGTATTAGCGTATCTTTTAATAAATATATTCTCGCACAGTAAAATTTCGGAAATGTTGCATAACGGGCGAAACGTCACAGATATTCACGGATTGATTTGAAAAATGATTTTTGTCCAGCAAATAAAATTGTTTTTTATGGAGTCATTCCATGTCAAATAGATGGCGATGAATGGAAAGTGTTTTCTTTGATTTCGCCGACTTGAGAGAGTAGTTAGCCGTAGTTATTAAGGGTCAAAGTGGGTCAATACAGTTGGTTGAACCAATTATTGACTAGATAACTTCAAGTACCTAAAGCGAAACGGTTACGTATATGAATAATTAGCACGACACGACCGCGAACACTACTCGGAAGCAACTGAAAACTGCAAAAGCTTTAGAATTGAAAAGCGTCTGCCTTTAAAAATAAACTGATATTCTCGCACATAGCGTACGCATAATATTTGAAGACGATTCCAACGTTTTGCTCAGCTTCAAAATTTGATTTCTACCCACAATTGCAATAAATAAGGGAAAGCATTTAATTTGGCATCATGCCCTGTATATTTTTTAGAGAACTTTTCGGATACTTACTTGGAAGTACTTCTTGGCATCGGGACTTGAGGTCAAGTAATCCTGCGCCAAAGGTTCATTCTGGCAATAGACCACATGCTTGTCAAAGTCCCTTTCCAAGCGCAGAAAGGTTTTGGCCACCATATTCGGTTGGTTACTATAGCATTTTAGGCCTTCCTTCAATACGCTAAAATTCCAAGTGTTTAAAATGTTTTCTTCTTGATAACTTTGAAACCTTACTTATTGTGAAACTCGGCGATTTGTAGGAAATTGCAGAATATTATATCCTTATTATCCCGAACAGATCTTGGCACCACCGGCTTGTCGATACCCTTTATATATTTCTCAACCACATGAAGCAGATCCCTGGAGAATTCCTCCTCAGTTTCCACCAGCTCCCTGAGAATAGTCCTATAATTTTCATTAATATTATGACTCCCACTATTTACAAAATGCAAATCTCTTACATTTTTCTAAATTCCGCATCTCCACTTTCTTTGCCATTTGACGAGCTACTCATAGTGGGATTAAATTCTAAAATTTCAATGGGCACCCAGCCTTCTTTGGGGGAATCACCACTATCAAACATTCTAACAAAGCATCTGAAAAATGTTATTGATTGCTTGAAAACTCTCTCATTTTAAACCACCTAAATTTGTTGGGCTCCAAACCACATACCTTGATTTTTCGGAAGCTTTTGAACTTATCAGTTCGACCAGATCCCCGCGAGAAACGCTGATTTCGTCGGTGGCCATTGCTTGAGCCTGATAATCCCGGCTCACGAATACAATATCCGCAACCTGTTGAGTAAAACCGATTTTCTTTTTTATATCTTTATTTCTTAAAAGTTTTTATGTTTAGCCACAAACACACATTTCTTTCACCCATTTTTCGTAGAAAGAACACTTTTTTTTAAAGACCGGAAGGTTTATGCAACTTATAGAATACGGACGATATTTCCCAATGATCACCGAGATTTATCGATTGGTTCTCATAACACATTCAGTTTCGGCGTACACAAACAAAAAGTGGCTGTGCAATATTTAGCTCGTTAGCTGAAAGTCTATTTTGCGTTGACATAGACACGCGGGCTCGGCTATTTATTTCGATGTCCAATTTTACTGAGTGCAAAGCTTGTGCAGCCGAAACAGCTGACTTTCTCCCGCGAACAGGGTTCTTCACTTCGGGCCAATGATCCGAAACCACAGTAAAACCATCCATGTAGGACATTAAACATTTGTTAAGTTTAAAATGTTTTTTTTCAAGCTAACTATTTTGCATTGCTTTAGAACTGTATTTTATTATTAAAAAATTCAATTTAATATAATCAGTATTCAATTTACTGATATTTTTCTGTGCATAAAAGTCTATATTATCTCACAGGTGGATTCCTTTTTGTGATCACTAGTATTAGTTTTATATTTTAAAAAATTTAAATAATTTGTACATTTTATAAATCACGCAGGATATAATTTTGCGTTATGTTTTAAAGGAAATAAATATGTCTCTTTTTCTATCACTTTATTACTCGTTCAGCACAATTCATATTTGATTAAGGATTAGATCCATTGATTTGGGATTAATATTTTAAAATGAAATAGATTTTAAAACTTTTTATTCCATATTTTCACTGATAAATAATTTTCCACAAGATTTCCATATTTCATAATTAACGGATATTTCATAATTAACTTCATATCACTTTGTTTAGCAGGGACTGGTACTGTAGATTTTTTCGCATATGTATGTACATATCTTGTGGGTACTTTCGTATGTACATTTTGTTGCACAAATGTATTAATAAGTAAATTTGGCACATGTTCATACACCGATTTATGTGTGTATTTTTTGGACACGCATAACTTACGGCATCCATTTCGGCTGACTAGATTGATTCGGTATCACTTCATTAACTTCACACACTTCATTAATTAACGCACTTTGGGTACGTTTTCGAAAATGTATTGCATAACTTATTACTGAGAGCAATTTTGAATTTTATTTCTATTTATTTGCACAGGATTTTTAGCACGGTTGGGTACAAATATCGATCGTTGTAACACTACATTTTCAGGCACTCGAATTCGTTTGTCATAATTCAATCGTCGAAGAATTTTCCGAGGGGGCCAGGCCAATCCAATTCAAAAGTGGAATAGGTTTAAATTTAAACTTCCGTCGCGTGAAAAATAATGGCTACTGCGTGCGGATACCAATGATTTTAACTGCATCCCGACAACTGTACGACTGATCGATATTCGCTGATCACAACAAAAGCTCCCCTCGAAAAAATCGTTTCACAATTTAAAAATAATGCACATGCACCTCGGCATCTGCATTTGAATCTGAATCTGCATGTGCATAGCCATGTGTCTACTGAAATACAAGCAAACAGTCTAAAAGTTTATAGCTGTCACAGGAGTGCATATATATTTCAGCACCCAAGAGTAGTGCGCCTGCATACATATTTAATTAAGTATTATAAAATATATAGACACGAAGTTTATTTATACGTACTTATACGTTATGTTTGTGTTCTGAAATAATGACTTTTGTAATTAATTTGCAAGTGCATTTCCTCCTGTCACCTGAAATGAAATCATAAATGATGCCAAACGCCGACAGGCGAATAAATTATGGGTAAATTGGCCTTACAAAGTACCGATTCAGAGGGTTCTTAGTCATTGTTGAGGACTGTGATTTTAGGGGAACAGATAGTAAATAAATTTCCCTTTACGAAAATAAATATTTATGCTAATGCAAAACTAGAGCTTTCCGCTTCAAAGCTTTGTTACTTGTTCGAAAACACTAAATGAAACATCTTAATTTAGTTCTCACCACCAGCAAACAATAGAATTCTAGAATAGATTACTAATAGACGAACACAATAGACGAAGCCTAAAACTAGGCAAACTTATTAGAAACACCCGAAAATATCACAAACTCTTCTAAGGATTAATATGTTTAATAATAATAATTTATGGTAATAATAATTTTATGGTAGTCAATGATAACCAACATTTTCTCTGGGCAGGAAAGCGCAGGCTATGGAAGCCAGTAAGCCCACGAATGCGTAGGTGGTCATTGCTTGAACTTTGGATGAATCCATCAAAACTTGCGCCACAAAAGGGGTCAACATGGCGCCAAGTCTAGCCAACACGGAACATCCTGAAACTCCCACCGATCTCAAGGCAGCGGGATATATTTCCGGAGTGTACACATAAATGGCTTGGAAGATTCCAGATATCGTACCTCGCGCAATAAAAAGAGTTAAGGATGTTGAAAAGCGACTAAGAAATGAAACATTTATTATTTAAAGTAATTGATTAAATATAACATCCCTTACCTGGTTACCGACATCAACACCAAAGTGCACAGGACAAGCACTAAATACTGCAGGACAATAGTTTTTTTCTTGCCAAATAGTTTAATCACTTTAATGGTGATCAAAATTCCCGGAAATTCAGATAAGGTAATCCACAGCAGATCCATGAAATCGGAGGTCATGAAGGTCACACATTCGTTTGGATTATTCTCCTTGTTTCTGGCCACCAGTAGCTCAGTTGTGACCAGGACTAAGCCGTAATAACAAAAAGCCGAAGCCAGCCAAATAAACCATAGTAAAATAGTGGTACGATACAGGTTCGAACTAAGGAGGGATCTGAAACTTTCCGTGGAACTAGGTTCTTCATCGGCCATCAAGCGACCCATCAGCATATGACGCTTGTTGTTATGAGCTATCTAAAATCGAGGGTTCTAAAATCTATGATCTATTTTATTTCAAAATAGTATTATTCACCTGTTCCAGAACTTTAATTGCCTTGTCATTATGCCCGTTATAGGAATAATATCGAGCCGATTCACTGAGCCACTGTATGTGGTTAATCATATTAAATATAAAACACATAAATTGATAAGAATATGCTCACCGGTGATAATATAGTAAAAATCAACAATGGCGTAGCTGACAAAGCCAAAAGTCCTCGCCATCCATAATAAGGATAGACAACTAGGGCCAAAACAACTTCAAAGCAAGCTCCCAACGCCCAGAAACACTGAAAATTCCATAAATTAGTAAGATCATAAATATATATGAGTAAGTACTCACATCCATTAGTACTACGCACTTTCCCTTGTGTTTGGTGGGCAGGAACTCCGCATATAAGGTGACACTTTTGGGTAAAAGAAAGTTTATTTTGTGAAGTACTTCTTAAGCAATGGAATTACTCACGATTGTGGAACGCAGCCAATTGCAAAACCCACCAGCCCTCGTAGGGTTAAAAGCCACGCATAACTGGGAGCCACTGAACTTAGTATACTATATAAGACTAATAATACTCCAAACAAAGTGAGGGCCTGAAATTCAAATATTTAAATTAGATTTAATATATAGTAGATATAATCGCCTAAACCTTACCGACTTTCGGCCATATCTGTTGCTTAGTTGCGTCCAAAAACTAGAGCTCAACATCATGCCTAAAAATACTATAGTTGTGACCGAAGCCTGCTGGAATTTTGTGACATTCCACTCGCAGAATAAAGCTGGACCAAGTATACTTAGGATGGCCATTTCCATGGAGTCGGACATCCAGCAAAGCCCCACCAAAAGCGACAACTTAACGTGAAACCATCCGAAACCAAAGGCGTTGATCGCCTGCTGAACAGTGTAGGTATCTGTAAAAGAGGTTTGTGTTACTCAAAAATGTGTGACTTGACTTAGCTATGTACTCACCATCTGGATTTATAGATACAGTCTTTAGCTCTAATGTTGATGAGTGTGTTTCCCTTTGGGGAAAATTTCCCACTGAAGGAAGAGCAACAGTCTCGTTATTTAGATAATACATTTTGTGATTTAAAAACACTTATGACTGTTATTTGGTGCCGCAAAGATCTTTTAATTACCCCTCCCAAATTTAAAATAACAATGTATATCTGAAACTACACAAATATAAAATTAGGATTGCTATTTAAAATAATACCATTTCATATAACCGTTTTATAAATATATGTTTTACCTGTTCGAAGCTTAGTAAAGAAAGTTATTTCCAAATTTAAGACAGTGATTTATGTCTTCGAATGTAGATACACAGAATTTGCGCCATTTGATTCAATCATAACCGAATAAACGATCTTATATTTAATGTTGAACAGTAAAAGTAAATACTTTATGTGGTTTAATAACAAATAAAAACTTTCTTAAGCACTTTCTTTTTGCAACTAACAAACTGAGAATCAGATGTAATGTAAACAACACGCATACAGGCAAAACCAGTTCTCACAAGTGTGTTAAAAGGTAACGACTGAAGACTGTCTTCAAAACTAGTCGATCGATAACGATAGAAAGAAAGCGCTTGGGTGAACAGAAATTCAAAATTCCGCTTTTGTTATATTTATTAATATTTTAAAACTTTAAAAATAGGATTTAGCAATTTAAAAAACCAAATAGGCTGCTTTCTAGCTTGACAAATTTTTCAAACATTACGCTTACAATTATTACGTTCTATCAAGCTAAGCAACACAATTTTTTAACGTTACCAGTCAGAGTTCCACTATCATATTACGATGGACAAGGATTCTTGCCAAAATTTCTCATTAGACTCTACGTCCAGTTCGCAATTCGCTCTTCCGCCAGTTTGCAATCCCAAAAGAAAGAAACCGGAGAAGCCCGAAGTTGAAGAGAGTTCTCCACAGTGCTCCAATGTTATCACATCGTCATCCTCGTCCTCGACATCCACCATATCAGTTGGCGCCTTTGATTCGGAATGTAGGCTCCATGATGCACCGGTTCCCGAAGCCCCGAATATCGGCTATGAATTGAACGTGGCCAAGTCAATATTACAGAAGTATAGTACTCTCAGTGGGGATAACTTGTAAGTACACCTTATCATATCTTAATATCCTAATCTAAAATAGTTGATGCTCTGATAAAAATATTTTTGTATTTTACTCAATCGGAACAGATTTGATCACCTAAGCGATATTATAAAAAGGGTGATTGACGAGCGTCCACCCAATGTGATAGACTTCTTCGAAGAATTCAGCAGAAACGTCCGCGAACAAAAGTTCCATTTACCAGAACGTTTTCCTCCAAGTGGGGTTTTCGATGAAGTTCGTCATTTCCGGGTGGCCAAGAAAATTCTCCAATCCATGAAGGTAATATTAAGTAATACCAAATATAGATTTCTTACACCATTCAACCTCTTCTAAAGCTGCCCTACAATATTGAAGGCGAGGACTTGATGGGTGAAGATTTATCCGGTGAGGATATAAGGACAAATGAAGAACTGCATATTGTTATTGACGATTCCATGCGATATTTCGTTACTTTCAACGAACGAGTCCAACAACTGCAGTTCTACTGGACACAATGCGGATTCAGCATCTGCAACGATGACATCTTTCAGTTGGCCAGTGCCATGAACCGACTGCAGACGCATCCCTCGATAATGCAGTGCAGATTTTGGGGATGCATCAATGGACTGAAGGCCTCCTACTATATAGTTGAGGCCTCACTGACCCGTGAGGAGATAGCCTCTCGCCTGATCATGATGGAGGAAGAGATGCGGGAGAAGCAAGTTCCCCTGCAGATGCGTAAGGACAGGGAGGATAAGCCTTTGCCACCGCACATTGGTCCGGAACTCACGCCGGGAATATATGGATGGGAAGAGTTTCCGCCAGAAGAGCTGGAGAAAATGAGACCCAAGGCTGCCGCCGTTCCTTTGGTTGAGGAAATCGAGTTCTACGATATTCCACCAGAATTGATTGGTCAGGGATCCAATAGGTACTCCTACTTCGTTGTGAACTCGCTCTTTGACGATTGGATTGAGTTGCCCATCGTGACGCCACGGCAGATTGCAGTGTCCAGGCAGATCAAAAAGTTCCTTACCGGCGACCTGGAAGCGGACGTAATATCTTACCCATGCTTTCCCGGAAAGGAGAAGCATTACCTAAGGACCTTGATAGGTCGTATCACTGCTGGTACCTATATTGCACCGGTGGGTTACTACAGGCGGATGACCAAAAAGGAGAAGCGGCTGTTCGATGGCGAGGAAGACGATGAAGGCGAGGAGGAGGAGGAAGAAGAAGAGGAGGAGGAGATCAATGAGGGTGAAGAGGAGGAAATAGAAGGTTTGTATTGTATCATAATTAAAACAAGAAAGAACGCTATAGTCGGGTGCCCCGACTATCAGATACCCGTTACTCAGCTAAAGGGAGTGCGAAGGAGATAAAAACTTTGATCCGCCGTAACTTTTTAACGAATGGTCCGATTTAAAAAATTTCTTCTATATTTCGAAAGGTATTCACAAACACAATAAGACTGCATTTTTACTTTTCCGAAATATTGATATTTTTAAAATCGTATATAAGCTATTGTGGGCGTTAGAGGGGGCGTGGCACCCTTTTGAAACAAACTTGCGCTGCGTAGGAACTCCTAGAATCTGTATGCAAGATGTTAATCTTCTAGCTTTTATAGTTTCCGAGATCCGAGCGTTCATACGGACAGACAGACAGACGGACAGACGGACATGGCTATATCGACTCGGCTAGTGACCCTGATCAAGAATATATAGGGTCGGAAATGCTTCCTTCTAGCTGTTACATTTACTTTACTTACTTTTGCACGAATATAATATACCCTTTTACTATACGAGTAACGGGTATAATTACAACATACCCCTTTTAATTTTTAGATAACGACGTAATACTCTTGAAGAACGAGAAATACGAGGCAGAACCACTAGGATCTCTGGCCACTCCCGTAGCCTGGGTTCATGTACGTTCGAATATCCTTAACCAGCAGGGCCGAGTCGTTTGGTACGACGAGGAGAAGGCCCGCAAGGAAAGAGAGAAGGCCCTCGCTCTCTACTTGAAAATGCAAATGATGGGCGAGATGGAAGAGGAGCTGGAGGAAGAGGAGGAGGAGGAGGAAGGCGAGGAAGAGGGCGAGGAGGAGGGTATGATCGAGGGCTTCAATCAACCCGAAATAGGTCCCAGTATCCTGTCCTCGTGTGCCAATGATATGAACCCTGAGGTACCGGTTCCTTGGCTAGTCCGCTTGACCAGCAAGTATACAAATCAAAAGGAGCGAATGCTTCTGATGCAATCGAACATCTGGCCGGGTGCCTATACCTTTATCTTTGAGAAGACCTGCGAATCGATATACTTGGGCTGGGGCCACAAGTACTACGCCCGCAACATCCCCTTCAAGCATTTGCCAATGGTGCAGGAGGAGTATCCACACGATGCCGAGGACTTTATAGAGGCCAGTGATCCAACCGTTGAGGAGGAGGAGGCCTACAAGGCTTGGCTTCTGAGGAAACAACAGAAGGCGGCCTATGTGGCAGAAGATATCGAAGATTACGATGATGACGAGTTTGACGATCAGTATGACGGTGACTAGTAATCCCGTTTTAAATTTTATGTTTATTTTTTCCTTACCAGTTATGCAATAAAATGCACTATGAGAATCACTAATTACTTTGTGAGCTTTAGTTTGATTTTATTATTATGTGGAAATAAAATACATATCGTGTATCTAAAGTGAATAATATTGGACTTACATCTTACTTCACTCCCCTTTATGTACAGTTACTTTTTCTAAAACGGACTTTAAAAGTAAACTTAACTGAAATCACACGTGCACATCTTCATCATCCATTATTTCGTCATTAAGTTAAATAGCTCTTTGAACCATATGTACATTGCAGCTTTCGTGTGTTTAATGTAATTTAGTTATCGTTGGCTGTGACTTTGACACATGGAACCCATGAAGTCTTAATGGCTAAATACGGAATCGAACAAATTTGGTAATACAACGGGCATCTCTACAAAAATGCTTAGAACAGCTTACAGCTTCATAGATTCCTGTAGCTTCACTGTGGCATTTGCAGACGGCTTTATAATTTCCTGCTTGGCGGCATTCGCTTCAGGCTGTAATGGCTGTAAAAATGGTAAGTTAATAAGAGATACAAATCCTTTGTACTAGTTAAAAATATACCTTGGGGACTACTGAGCTTTCTTCACTGATGGGAGACTTTTTATTACCCATGCTCTGAATGCAAAAGTTCTTCAGCTGATCCATAGAAGCAGCGAGCAAGCTATTCTTACTGTTTGTTAGCGTTATCTGGGGTTAATAAATATTGGTTAATCTTGAGGTTTCCTGTTCCGATATCGACTTACCTCTTTTTCAATTTTATCTATAGACTCATCGAAGCTGGTTACTTTCTGCTTATATTCCGGCCAACTGTTACTTATTGTGGCCACATGGGACGTAATGTTTTCCGATCGATCCAGCAAGTCGTCTATTTTCGTCTGCAATAAATTATATTTATTAGCACTGATAACACACACTTTTGCATGAGTTTACCTTATGCAGAGATACTTCCTCGCCGAGCATTTTCGTTGTTTGACTTAGGGTATTATTCACATCCTTTAGATCGTTGGCCAATAGTTTAAAGGAATCAAGAGTAGTTTTGTTCAGGGCAGCAATATCTTCCGATAAATTGGCGGGCAAAGCGTTGGCTTGAAGCGTTGGTAATTGCGAGAGGTTGACCTGAAAAGTTATAATAATCGTTATTCAAGATGATGTTCGAAAAAATGGAGAGTCAAGCTTACCTTTAAAGCTTCTGTGTCGGCCTGTAAGGTTTTCTGAACCTCGTTGTACTTATTATAGTGTTCTTTGATGGCCTCAATATCGGTAGCCACGGCTTCTATCTTGGCCCCAAAGTCGGCCACCAACTTCTCATCCTTTCCGTGGTTTCTTTGGGCTGCCACAGCTGTCTCCAGATTGCTAAAATTGTTCCTTAGACTCTCCATAGTCTTTTGCAGTTCGTTTATTTCCGAAATGACGGCCGTCTGATTTTTTAGGAGGTAAGACGAAGTCTCGTGCCACCTTTGCAGGGTGTCTGGAAAGTTTTTGCTCATAGCAGAGACTACAAGCTTATGTAATTAATAAATTGTATGTAAAACACTTGCTTGTTACGTACCCTCTTCGATCTTCTGACGATAATCGGTGAGTTGCTGACGCAGATCGAAATAGAGCCAGTACAAAATACCCACAATTAATAGGCCAATAATTCCCAATAAAAGGGGGCCGCACATGCGGAAATAGGCAATTTTCCGATGACTACGGCGACTGGATCCAGCGACATTCGTCTGGAAAGAACGCAATATTATTGAGTTGCTACATTTTTCGTTCTTTGTTTGCCGGGGTACAAGAAATATTATTAATTATATACATTATTCCTAACGAATATGTATCTTGAAACACGCATAAGTTGGGGAGAGTTAAATCGGGCAGGCTCAGATACATAGATACAAATACAGCTAACCTTGAGTGGGCGATGTAAATATAGTAAATTGCTTACCCATGCGTAATCCTCAGGGTCATCGGTCGAGACCGAGAGCAGTTTGTCCTGGGAATTGGTGGCTCCGGGGACTCTCCGGTTGGCTCTCTTGGACGAGGACGACTGGGAGGCTATCAGGGCGTCCAGTTCACGTCTTTTCTTCATTTTCTTTCCGGCCCGCAAGGGCACCTCAATGCGATGGTGGCAGTCCATTGTTTTGCCTTTCCAAAAATGCTCGTCTCCAGTGGAATTCTTGAAGGTCCGTTGAAGGCTCTAACTTTTACATTTTTTCTCAGCGTAGGTCCAGTGGCTTTGTAACTCTGGAACAACCATAACATGTACTTATACTGATAAAAAATGTACTTCTGCGCATGATTTAGATTTATAGTGATTAAGATTATGTGCCTATCGGTAGTAATCGATAAAAAACATTTAAATTATTTTGGAAATTAATAGTAGTTTAAATATTTTCCTTAGCTTTGGAAACACCCGTTTTTGGTTTTAAAATTATTTCTGTTATCTAAAATTACTCATATATTTTTACCAAAAAATTGGGGCCTTTCGATAGGTTCAGTAATTTTCGTACTTATAATAACGGTCTCACTGCCCCCAAACGACTTTTTGCATTGCATTGATTTTTACGCCGTGCTTTTGCTTTATCGATCTAGTTTAATTAAGTTCAAAAATGTTCTGTGCGCTTCTACTAGTCTGCTCAGAGTTTCCGTTTAGTGTTTTCTAACGTTGGGATGCGTACTTGATATATGATATGTTCGTTACAATATTGTTACAATAGGTGCGCCTTCACTGATTTCGATTTCGATTTCGAAATGGCCAAGAACAGCTTTAAGACTTTAATCAGCCAGAAACATAAGACGTTTCCGGCGGACATAAATATGTACGGAATGAAGTGTAAATCGCAACTGTTGGAGGATCAGGAGAATGTGACCCTGATCATCAATCGGCGGAACTCGATCCGCCAGAAGCCGAAGGGCTGGACATGGACCCTGCTGCGTTGCAGGTGGCAAAAGAAGCTAGTTCTCTTGTTAATATTTATTTGTATGTGCGTTCTAATTGTTTTCGCCAATACGCATCTCTTGGTTCGCGGCAATATCCTTTCGGCCTTCCTTTCGAGTCGTCTGAATAAGCTCTCGAGTGCGGAGAAACAGGAGGCGGGCAGATATCCGGATATCCAGGCCACGACCCCGGCAGTTCCTCCGGTCCTGAGGCCAACGCACTATCTGCTTAACTACTCCTCCGCCCAGCTGGAGTTGGGCTCGCACCTGAATGGCTTCGCCTCGGACTACAACATATTTGTTATCTATACCCGGGAGAACTACCATCTGAACCTGAAGTTCGATCTGTTCGCTCACAGCCTGCTGAAGCACACCAGTGCCCAGTTGCACTTGCATGTGATTACGGACAGCGAGAGTCAAACTTCGGTGCTGGAGATCCTGCAGCGGCAGATACGGAGATTCCGGCGAACGGTCATTTACACCATATACGATGTGAAGGTCTGCTCTAGCATCATACAGGATATAGCCGCTAAGCTGTCTCCCTACTTCAGCTCAGCCCCAAACTCGTACTACAGCGACTCGCTGTTTTTCCTATCCCTCGGCCTGCATAGAATCGCCGATAGGAGCCTGAACAGAGCCATTCTGCTAGATTGTGATATAGTCTTCCGATCCGACGTCCGACTGCTGTTCCAGGAGTTCGACAACTTTCTGCCGCACCAGCTTTACGGACTCGCTCCGGAACTGACGCCCGTTTATCGCCATATCCTGTACCGCTATCGCGTGAGATATCCGAAGACCAGTTTCGGCAATCCCTACTATCCGATGACGAACAACGAAATGGGCAACCAACATAGTCATATTCATCACGGTTATCCTGGCCTGAATTCCGGGGTGGTTCTGCTGCTCCTGAACCGCATCAGGAACTCGAAATCCTATCTGGAGAAACTGACTCATTCAGAGGTGCACACCCTGGTCGCCAAGTACTCGTTCAAGGGACATCTCGGGGACCAGGACTTCTTCACGCTCCTGGGCTACGAGTACCCAAATTTGATCTATAGACTGGACTGCATTTGGAACCGACAAGTATGTAAAACACACCACTTACTTGGACTATTTTAAAGGAAATTAATTTTTAATTCACAGCTCTGCACTTGGTGGAAGGATCACGGCTACAGCGACATTTTCGATGCATATTTCCGGTGCGAGGGCAATATTAAAATGTATCATGGAAACTGTAATACGCGAATTCCAGAATAAATAAAATTGTTATAGTAATATTAAAAATTAATGGAACGAATAATGAGATGTTGGAATATTTCAGAAATGGGAAAGGAACAATAGTGTGTTGCAATGGAATCGGAGATTGAATTTTCAGTAATTAGTAAAAATAAAAATACATTTCTTAAATGTAAGCTATCACCTGTTTAGAAGGATAGTTTTTAAAAATCATAAATATTTATTTTTATATTATTTTTGATGGGATGTGAAAATGTTATCGATAGGTTGATGCGGCGGAGTGGGAACACGCCGATTCCGTGGTCTCTATTGAACAGGGTGCTTCGTGTGAGTGGTTTCTCCTCTTGTTTCTTATCTTTAACCTTCATTTCTGGCTCCGTTTAGCTATGAATTAGGACCGGACCGAAGAATCAGTCGAGCATATATAGTTAACCATGGCGCCGAATGCAGCTGTACCAGTGGAGCGATATGAGCCCCAAAACATTGGAATCAACGCGATTCTCCTGGGGCCGCCGGGATCCGGCAAGGGAACGCAGGTGGGTCCAAAGTTACATAATGATGTGTGTTTTTAGTGACATGGACGCTACATGGTCTATAAATAAATACAACGTGTACAAATGCGCGGGATTATTGTTTGCAAATATCGGGATAAACCCAGTTAACAAAAGGATGACTTATATAACAGTAGATATGTAGCCACAAAGTTATGTATCCCAATATGAATAAAATATACATAGATACACATGTGCGAAGAAGTCATTTGACCCTGAATCAAGTGAAAAGATTGGCGAGATGAAACGAATTAAATGAGGGCACCTTAGAGCAATCAAGTGGGTATTATGCAGGCCCAGGCTATTAAAAACCCACCAGAACTTTCTTGGCCGCCAAGAATGCATCTTATCTAGCGATTCACGCTAATTGCCGACCTTTGTGATATGAGTGGTGCCGAATTGATTAGCTTTAACTGAAACTTATCAATGTTTTTAATTATTCCCTCTTTGTAGGCTCCCCTCCTGAAGGAGAAGTTCTGCGTTTGCCACCTGTCCACTGGCGACATGCTGCGGGCGGAGATTTCGTCCGGTTCCAAGCTGGGAGCTGAGTTGAAGAAGGTCATGGATGCCGGCAAGCTGGTCTCTGATGACCTGGTGGTGGACATGATCGACTCCAACCTGGATAAGCCCGAGTGCAAGAACGGATTCCTCCTGGACGGATTCCCCAGGACTGTCGTTCAGGCCGAGAAGGTAGTTAGACTTTAAGTACTCTGTGTATTCCGGTTACTTAAGCCATTTAATCTGGTCTTTTCAGCTCGACACATTGCTGGACAAGAGGAAAACTAATTTGGATGCTGTCATTGAGTTTGCCATCGACGACAGTCTGTTGGTGCGGCGAATCACTGGCCGTTTGATCCATCTGGCCAGCGGGCGGTCCTATCACGATGAGTTTGCCCCTCCCAAGAAGCCAATGACGGATGATGTTAGTATCTCTGTGGAATATTCGTAAAATTTACTAGATTACTGAGCCTTTTAACAATCCACAGGTAACCGGAGAACCTCTAATCCGTCGCAGCGATGACAACGCCGAGGCTCTGAAGAAGCGATTGGAAGCATATCATAAGCAGACGAGGCCCTTGGTCGACTACTACGGCCTGAGGGGTCTGCATTTCAAGGTCGACGCCGCCAAGAAGTCCAGCGACGTCTTCTCCACCATCGAAACTATATTCCAACGCAAGCGTCCCGCCCAGGCTCAATTATGATTTGTTCCTGCGCACTGATCCAGTACTGATAACTGCCTCCTGACAATTTATTTTGAAACACACAACAACAGACACACAAGGTTTAAGCCTAAAGTTCAAGTTGCATCTAGGAATCCTAAATAGACGAAATTACCATTACTCGAGAGGTCTACAGGTCGACGACTACTTTCCTTGTACAGATTTCTAAAATGTATAAGTGTTTGTTACTTTTTACATTTCACTATTTGTAACTACAATACAACTTAATAAAAAAAAAGTATATTTTATGCTTAACGTTTGGTTTGCATTTTTTGTTTTGGATAATTTACGGCCAACAATTCCGGGTTTAAACTTTAAACCTCCCAGTAGTCTGAATTTATTTCCGCTTAGCTTCTGGAACATGACAAGTCTGACTCAGTTTTGAATCGAGAAATAATGGAAAGATTCTAATTGTTCCGAGAACTATTAAATCTTTAAGTACGACATCTGAAGGGTCACTTTGCACACCCCTTAAGTGTAATAAATGAGAAATTGCTAATGGAAATCGTTAATAGGTTCGTTAAATTCGATAAACAAATACATTTTTATTATGTTTGCCCGTAAATAGTAGTTGCGAATCCCTCACAGCCCGACTTTCGATCGCCGTTTAGTACACAGACGTCACCTGCCTAATGGTAATGTCAAATTAAGTATGTATAACTATCGCATATATATTATATAAATTTATAACGACGATTGACTAATCACTGGGTTGACTTTTCAGCAATAGCGATTTGCGCTTCAAAGTCTAAAGTGTGTGCAATCCCATATGGATACGAACTCAGCCCGAATACAGGCTTACAATGCGACGCGTGTATTACACTTGAAGTTCAATCCCAGGCAAAAAAGTTGGCCCAGGTATAAAAGCGCACTCCATAGAAACATTTCTCAGTTAGTTCCAGCAGCTGAATTGCTTCACATCTATCTACTTCGATTCGTAGTCGCTAAAAGTCGAACTCCCATTGTAAGACCACCGTTCATATAGTTCGAATCATATCCCACGGACAACCAGTTTTCTCGCGTGTAAACAGTGACATCTTTTTTGTCAATAAATGTGTTTCAGATACGCATACAAAGTGGCGTTTGCTATGCATTCATTTGCATACATATCTGATAGAAACACATTTTGCGAATGCAGTAGCTACTAAAAAGATTTCCAGCGTCTATTAAAATCCCCCGAATAAAAAACTGGTTAACCGACAGACCCACTAACGAGTCCAACAAAATGTGCTGATTAATGATGAATGTTTACCCCAATTTTTTCCATAGAAACCATCAACATGAAGATGATTATTGCGCTTCTCGTCCTCGGAGTGGTTCTGGTCGCCGCCGATGATAAGTACACCACCAAGTACGACAACATCGATGTGGACGAAATCCTGAAGTCGGACCGACTCTTCGGCAACTACTTCAAGTGCCTGATTGACACCGGAAAGTGCACACCGGAGGGTCGGGAGCTCAAGAAGTCCCTGCCCGACGCCCTGAAGACCGAGTGCAGCAAGTGCAGCGAGAAGCAGCGCCAGAATACCGACAAGGTCATCCGCTATATTATCGACAACAAGCCCGAGGAGTGGAAGCAGCTGCAGGCCAAGTTCGATCCCGAGGAAATCTACATCAAGCGTTACCGCGCAACCGCCGCTGAGTCCGGAATCAAGGTGTAACTCCCGATGATCCCGATCCCGGAAACATATTGTTATATGCACTGTTAATTAGGTCTATCTGTTAATCAAAATTCTGTTTACGATCGTGCGTCGAATAAAGAGATTTGTTTTGTACTCTACGCATTTAGAATACTTAGTTATCGAGAGGGGGATCTACAAGTATCAGAAGTCATATCAATTAATTCAGTTAAATGCCGCAATTTAGTCTAGTCTCATGGTAATTTAATGATGACTAATCTAAAGACAATTAAAGTCTTAAAAAAACCAGTCACTAGATTACGTCTAGACCTTAATATACAGTTTATATATGGCAAGCCGATTTGCATTAACATTGCAAATAAAGGCAGCTACGGCTAGTTGGCAAAAACATCGCGTGTCCGTCTTGCTTCTGAGTTTATTACTTATATTATTCTTAAAAGGGGCAATGAAACGAAACCAATGGCCGGCAAGTAACTCAACCATGAAATACCGTCCTTCAAAGAACGAACAATGTAGTAAGAATTATTAATGTCACGGCAAATTCACATCGTAAATCGAAAGAAAATTAAATATTATATCAGTATTTTTTAATTATCTTATAAATGTACAAAGCTTAGTGTAAAATTGTGGGGCAGCATTTACGTTAGGGTTTCCCCTTGGGCGACACAGGCCTCCAAATAGTCTATGCGTCGCTCAAGGATCGTTAGTTTTTCATTTAGAACCGCCAGACGGGAGCGACAGGACATATCTAAAAGGAGATACAATGCAAGCGTTGTGTTATCAAAGTGAAATATTTTAGGAATATTCAAATATTGTCATTTTTTGTAATTTTGAAATTTTAATTATGAAAAAAACAAATATTAGGTATATATATATACAACTTAAATATTAAAAGTCTTGCAGAGTGTAAGAAACATACTGACAGGATGAAAAATGGTTTTCCCTATAAACAATATATATTTTTGATCTCTATCACCGTCACTCAGTTCATGTACTCTAATTAAGGTCTTATATACGAACATATGTAACAAATCTTCATGACTTGCCGAAGTCAATTTTCTCTCGTTTATTTATCATTTATCACAGCATTATGTGAACCAAATTTAAACCGATAATATGTACTGAACTTCAGTGAGTAATCCAGAGAAGATAAACACCGACTTCCCTTAGGAGAATTAAACTTCGTATACAGAAACACAAGTACATAAATCTATTTATCAATTTTTCGCACAATGCAACGGCTTTATTTGCTTTTTATTGACATAAAATCCGAGTAAATAAAGCCAATGGCAATGATAGAGATTTGTTAGTAATACTGTTTATACGGTCATTAATTCAAGTCCGAGCAAATACACCCATACATATGCGAGAAAATGTGGGTGCTTCATGTTTTCTTACCGAAAGAGTTCAGAAAGTCGGTAATTCGCTTTATGCTGGCCGTTATCACTTCGATGTATTCCCTGTTCGCCCAGTCCTGGTGGATCTGCTTTTGAATCGCCTCTCTGTGAGCTCCACTCATATTTATTTATATATTTATTCCGTTTCGTTAAATTATATGTTTACTAGGAGAGCCGAATTGGGCTGGAACAAATATCGATTACTATTCGATGCTATCGGTGACTTCAGACTATCGATTATTCTCACTGCTAAAAATTAATTTGGGCGTTACAAATGTAAATGTAATTTAAAAGTATTTAAGTACTAATTTAACTCCCTTGTTGCTATCCCTTGGCAATCCCTATGAAAGATTACAATAATGCAATAAAAATAACAATATATAAGTAAATTAAAAAAGCACAAAACTAAAAACAAAAGAACTGAACAGCGTTCTGTTTACTTTAAAAATTGTATTCTAAATTCTGTTATTATTTTTTTTATATTAAACCAATTTAAAAAATACCAAAATTGTGCCGTTAACCACGTCCCAAGCTATTTTTTGTTCCAGTTCCGAATGTTTCATTCGGGGAACGGAACGATAGTTATTGATGCCACACACACAAGCCCACACGCACACAAGCATACCCTAGGTGGCCCGTTAACTACAGTGTTTTTCATTTAGTAAACAAAAATGGACTTTATAGACGATTTCATAGAGGAATACAAATGCAATCCATGCCTTTGGAAGGCAGACTCGGCCGACTTCAGGAACCGCAGTCGCCGCCAGGAGGCCTATGCGAAGCTGATAGATGTGGCCACCAAGCACGGGGAAATGTACAATGTGGAGCGAACAAAGCAAAAGATAAACAATCTGCGCTGTGCATTTCGTCATCAGTTAAGGAAGTACAACGAGGTCAAGAAAAAGGGCGAGAAGTACGAGCCCTACTGTCCCAAGCGGCGCTACTTCGAGTCCCTGATGTTCCTGAAGGACGAGGAGATTCCCGGCGACAAGAAGTGCAAGCGCGATCAGTCGGGCTGCCTGGATGGCGGCTCCGTGCAGTTGGTGCAGCCGGAGAACTGCGACGAGTTCTCCGACGCGGAGAGTCTTCCCAAGCCCCCGAAAGTCCAGTCGGCGGATGCGAGCAAGCTGTCGCCGAACAACAGCGCCAACGAATTCTGTGCCAACATCTTCGAGGAGGCCGCCGCCGCCGCCGTTGCCGCTGACCCCGTTATCAGTATTAAGACAGTGAATGCAAACAACCATGCTGGTGGCGCCACCATCAAGGAGGTCGAGATCGTGGTGCCTGCGAACAACCGGCTACTGTCCGCCCGTAGAAAATCCGTTCCCGACACCATGGCCATTAAGTCCCCGCCCCCCGGTGGCGACTCCGAATCGCCGCCTTGCAAACGCATTGCCGCCCAGAGCCAGCTGAAACTGAATAACAACCAGAGCCAGAAACCCAATCACATGATAACCCGGAAAAGGTCTTCCTCGGTCTCCTCGCAAATTTCGGAGGACAACGAACCGCCGGCCGGGAAATTCCGGGCCGACATCTCCACCATCGACTTCGAACGACTCTTCTCGCTGGCTCTAAAAAGCGCCGACAGTCAGCTGGACGATCACTTTTCGAACTTTGGAAAAATCATCGCCCACAAGCTGCGCTCGATGGACGGAACCCAGGCTATTTACGCGGAGAAGATCATCGCCGATGTGCTCTATCAGGGCCAGATGAAGATGCTGTCCACCCTGAGTATACACCAGTTCTTGGGCGTGGACAATGCAACGGTCTATCTGGAGAGCCACAGTAAATGATGATGGCCGGGCCCCTTTAAAGACGTACTTTTAGAGTTTATGTAATAATAAGATGTAACAATACAGTCATGTGTATAAAGCAATGTTTCATTTGAAGGAGAGGGTTTCCTTTCAGTTGTCTAACTCCAAAGAAAATCCCATTAATGGAGAAATCAAGGATGATGTCGGGACTAATTTATTATATTCGATGCATGAGAAGAACATTTAATTGCCATATTTAGGCACTATCGTACTTTCTTAGAAGCATGGCCCAAACGTCCGGGTATCTGGTCTGTAAGAATGTGGTCAGCTTTTGCGCCTTTTGAGCCTGTTGTGGGGAGCAGTTCCTGCATTTTCGGGTTATGACTTCTGGCAGGGCAGCTGAAATATCAGTAATGATGTATTATAACTTGGAAAACGCAAAGTTATTTCGTAAATGACAGTCTTCCTTTTTGAAATAATAATAAAAATCGAGAGTTTGCCTATTTTTATTACCTTTTAGCTGCAAACCCAGCGAATCGCAATCGCTTTTTCCGAGTATGCACATAATTTGACGACTGACTACCACCTGGTTGTTCAGCAGTTTGTTAATGTTTCTCTCATCTGCTTGGACACTTGACGAAATTAAAATAATTATGAAAATAAAATTAAGGAGCAAAGAAAGCACTCGGTTTTTATTTAGAAATAGCATCCTTCTTGAACCCGCGACTGTGTAGTATAACTGAATGTGGAGCAGAAACTGTGTATCTGTGTATCCCATAGATATACGTGCATGCGCAAAGGGAGCTGGGCTTGATAAAATCATGGGTTGGGTATGGAATCGGTAAATAATGCGATTATAATTTCAGATATCTCAAGAGATGTCGTTATATTCCATATAAGCACAGACTTTGTAATTACTTAATTTCGAATTTCTATTAAGTAACATGTTTCAAATGATCTAAGATTTAATCCCATTAAACAAGACAGCACCTGCTGTTCCATACGATAGCATGTAAATAAAGAGCTTTCAATGTTTTTGCGTTGTGCTTAAAAGTTATGTTTTACTAAAACAACACATTAAGTACTTTTGCAAGGCAGTCAAGACAAGAACAGAAGTAATCTACGGTTTAATTATATAATAGAATAGTGTGTAGAATAGACGACTTAAAGTACAATTATATAGATTTAATATGTATGTATGTCTTATATACATTTCCTAAAACTTGAAAGCTTTATTTAAATATTTTTACATGCAAGTATGAAAATACATTTGACAATATAGCGAAATATTATGTTTTATTAATTTCTATTGCGATACAATGGGGCTCTTTTTGTCTATGTCAGATATATTCGCGTTGTTCTGCGGGGCAGCCCCGTTCCCAGGGCTGGCCGGGATGGCTCCCGCCCGGTCGATGCTCCACGGATTCGAGCCAGAGATGGGCGAGTCGGCGTGCCCGAAGCCGGTGTGATTATCATGCTCCACGGCATTGGTTCCGTCGTATTGCGTGTTCTCCAGCCGGGTGATCAGCCGTTCGTCCTCTTCGCCAAACTCGCCGCCCATCAGCGTCGGTTCGCCGACCACCATCACGTCCTGCGAGGAGAGGGAGAAGCTGGGGCCGGAGGGGGAGCGCTTTTGGTTCGTCACGGGCGGCGTGTTCGAATTGTTGCCGCCACCCGAGTTTGAGCCCTTCCGCTTGCGCCTTTTGTTAGGTGGTCGCTGTGGATCCTTCTTGCCCGGCGGAGCCACCATTCGCTGCCACTTCTGGAACAGCGTGGTCTTTAGGCAATCGCGCGGACTCAGGGCGTACGCCTTGTGCCGCGACATCAGCTCCTGCATCGGCTCGAGGATGACGCACAGGCGCAGATAGTTGAGGGTGGAGTTCGTGATGCCGGCCCGCGTGATGTTCTTGGTGATTTGATCTAGCAGCATCGGATCGGGCGGCAAACTGGTGCCGATCACGGACCTTGGAATGAGCTCGCGGTGTCCCTTGATGGTCATGTGCCACGACTTGATGCGCATGTAGTCATCGTACATGAACTCCAGGATCAGTCTTGCGTCGGCGCAGACCTTTGTGAAGAAGGGCTTGCCGTGCTGCGTGATCACCGTGCACTGGTCGCAGTCCAACGTGATGGACGTGTTGTGGAACGACTCCTTGGCGTGCTTCAGCTGAAAGTACAGATCCGAGACGCCGCCCTCGTATATGCTGCGGAAGAAGCGCGGGATGAGCGTCCGACCGATGGTGTACCGCTTGGGGCCGTCCTCCAGGCAAAACAATATGGTCAGCCGGGCGTCGTCCTCGAAGAATTCCGTGGTGAACGAGTCCCACCAGCAGTTGTCGCTCTCCTCGTTGCGCTGCTGCAGCCGCTTGTTCAGCTCGAACACCCGGTGCTCCGTGTGACTGAAGTAGGAATTGTGCCGCCTGAAGCCCTGATCGATGCGCTCCATCTGCTGCGGTCCGCCCATCATGGGGTGATTGCCTCCGTGGCCAAATGGCGATGCCGGCGGCATCGGATTGAATTGCCCGCCAACGCCAAAGACCGTCGGCGATGAGAAGTGCCCGGCCTGGCCGCTATTGAACGGAGTTCCCGAACTGGCCGGCCGCGAGAACTGGCCCAGTCCCGAGGAGGGCGATCCGAAGGGTCCGCCCACGGGACCATTAAAGTTGCCCGCCGTCGCCGATTGCGGATAGTTGCCGGGAATGTTCTGCGCACCAACAGGTCCGGGTGTCGATGAGCCCGAGGGAGCAGGTGAGGAGGTATACTGAGGTGTGTTCGAGCCAGGCTGGTTGGAGTTCTGGAACACGATGGACTGGTTGCCGGCTGGCGAGGATTGGCCGGCGGGCGGATACGGATTGCCGCCGGAGTTGTACGGCAGGCCGCCCTGGGGGAAGCCGCCGCTCTGGTTGCTCCCGTCCGGATTGAGGGAGGCCGCATTGGACGCGGGCAGCATGGAGCCGCCCTCGTTGACCGCCTTCCAGCTGCCGTCGTCAATGTTCGCTTGAGAAGTCATCGTATTGCCAGCGTTTAAACCCCTACGATTCATGCCTGTGGTCGGTTCTATCGGGCATTCGCGTCGGCCTGCAAAATGGGATAGTTAAGGTCCATTAGTCTCCACACATCACACTATTTTCGGCGATTCAGTAAGGAAATATATTTTTAAGGTGCTTATGCTTATGCGTATGTGTATGCACTTGTCTGTATGTCCCACTGCATTTACAAAATATGTGTGTACACACACACACTTTTCACGGCCCATTCGCACGGGCAAACGGAAAACGCTCTCGACCTGCCGGACTACCGGATTTTGATGCGGTAGCAGCCCATTTCGTATACGCACCTTGCAAAAGGCATACAATATTTAATTCTTAAAGCACAAACACATATAAATGTATCTACAATTTAAGAAAACTGATTGGCCTCCACCGATAGTTTTGCCATCGCTTTCCAAATAGCAGTTTTCGATAGGAGTGAAGGCAAGCTAAGAGATTGTCTCCCTTGTGGAACGAGTGGAAGGGAACGCAGGGGTTGGTTGGGCTTGGATGGGTCATAAATTATTTTGTTTGTTTTTATATTTAAATAAGAAGGCGTACAGATTTAAAAAATATCAATAATTTCTATTATTTCTTAACTCTAATAAATTTATTAATTATAAAATAGCCTATCGATAACCGATGTCGTGAGCCAAAAAGGATCCGTCACTTTTTTGATCTATTCCCAGTCCGTTTCGCCTTGTCTCGCGCCGCACCCTTGACTTAATAATTTAGTATGTGCCGAATAAATTTGTAATCAAAATATTTGTAAGACTGTTGCTTTGAAATCGGTAGTTTATTTTATATTTATGTAATTACTGCCTTGTGGCACTCCAAACACACGGTGTGATGCGCTCACTTGTTGGACATTTTTATATCAGTGTACTTGTGTAGGTATGCTATCTATATAAACGGCGTTTATTTCGCACATTTTCCGTGTTTGTTGTATTATAAACAGATTTTCGGTAACCCAATAGGCTCACTTAAAGGCTTAATGGTATAGAAATCGCCCTGCCTGTTTTCGAGAGCATGCGAAAATGTGCTTTGCCGTGCAGTTATATATGCACATTCCTGTGTATGCATATGTATGGTGCAATGTGCGTTTCCTACACTCTAAACAATTTGGTGTCTCTTTCAGATCGTGCAAAAATGTCAACTGAGAGCCTAAACAGTTTGAGCGACAAGGAGCTGCACAGAAAGCTGATCCAGAGCGGTTTTCCCAACACCCCGGTGACGGAGACAACGCGAGCGGTTCTCATTGAGAAGCTGAGGAAGCACACGCGCGCGGACAAGCTGAAAAAGCGTAGCAACAAGTACGTGCTGTACTCCAAGGAGCAGCCGGAATCGCCGGCGTATCCCCAGTATCCCCAGCCGCCTATCTACGCCAATGGCCTGGACAACAACAACGACCTGGAGCTCCTCGGTCGCAGCTCGTCGGTTTTTAATCGCAGCTTCGACGAGAACGACTCCGTGAGTCCGTTGCAGTTGTCCGCATCCAAGATGTACGCCCCACCGCCTGTGGTGGCCTCCAATTACGACGCGGACTGCTCGCCACATGGTTTGGCTGGCCTAAATGGCAAGTACCGGCAGCAATGCTCCATGCCATACGCCATCGACACGTCGAATAACTACGGGAAGCCTAGCAGCAGCAGCAGCAGCGGAAAGGTCAAGATATCCGATGGAGGTGTGGTGAACAGACTGCTCAGCTTTCGGGACACCACAATCCAAAGGAAATTCAACTACCCAGCAGGCCCGGTGTCGCGAGGCCCGCCCAGGAATGAAAGACTCAATCGATTCGCTTTGTCGGACCTCAAATCGTTTTTCAAAAACCCCGACATCCGACCCTACGTAATACCACAAGTGCTCATTTCGCTGTTCTTAATTTTCCTGACAATAATCACTGTTTTGTACGTGGGCAAGCGGTTCGAGCAGAGTCCCATCGACAAGACCGCACTGAAGTATACATTATGTAACCCCAACGAATTGCAAATGGTCGGCGAAAGAGTGAATTGCATAGCAAAAGATTCGCTGAGGGGCGCACTGGATTTGAGCGAGGAGCTCTTTAGGCATCTGAACGAGCGAGCCCGGCTGCATCACTGCAAAGACGCCAGTTTGTCGCCCATTCTGGAGATTGGCGAGTTTATAAGGGAAATGATCAGCAGCCCAAAAGTTCACAGGGGAAATTTCCACAACAACTTGATGGCCGCGAAATATCTTATTGCCGAGAATCCGCAGTGGAGCATTCAAGTGGTGGATTCCTCGAAGCCCGTTGGACAGAGCTCGTATTTTGAGCTTTCCGAACCCAATCTGCCGCTCAAATGCATTGTGATGAAGAAAATGACCCGCTTTTTTACCGTGATCGGTACACTTCTACTCGTCGTAGCTGGATTCCTTGTCGTCTACTTTGCAGTGGTGATTTACCGAGTCAAACAGAAGGAGGCCATGCTGGCGGTCGACCAGTTCTCAAAGGACATAATCAACGAGCTGATTTACCTAAGCTCCCAGTCCGAGAATCCCGAGGTGATCATCAGCCAACTGCAGGAGAAGTTTTTGCCGGCCAAGAAGCGCTCTAAGCACTTGTCTTCTTGGAATAAGGCGCTCAAGCAGCTGGAGAAGAACGACAGCCGGGTGCTCTTTGGAATGGTCAATCGGGATGGCAAGCCGATGCGCACAATTGCGTGGAACAGGAATCTGGACAAGAAGGATGTGGGTTTGGTGAAGAAATGGCAGAGTCCCGCCTTCGACAACTCCAACAAGATTGCCAACCCACCGACGCCCTGCCTGAAGATCCGGCACATGTTTGACTCCTCGGAAGTGGACCAGGCCAATCTGAAGCAGTCGATCGTCGAGTCCATCATCGAGAAGGTGGGCTCGCGCTGTAAGATTTGCGATGTCCAGCTGGACATCCAGTCCTGCTGCGTTTACATCCGATGCGCCAGCGAGGAGGACGCCGGCATGATTCACAACGAGATCAACGGCTGGTGGTTCGACAAGCGCTTGATTTCGATTAAATTCTTAAGACTTGAACGCTACCTAAGCCGGTTCCCCAAGCCCTCGGCCGAGCCACTTTACTTTCACACCAGCGAGGCAGCCAATAACACTCACTCATAAACAAAACAAAACAAACAACTCTACACTAGTTACTTAAGTTATTAAAATGCGAATTTGTTTTACATGTACAAAGGGAGTTTTCTCTTTTATTTGGCTATTTATGAACTAAGTTATAAACGTAACATTGTTACTTTGTTAGAGAACTGGAAGACAGAGCACTTTCGCCGGTCTCCAAGTGTTTGATGAGGCGGTACAAGGCGGCAGCTTCCTTAATTTTGCTGAAACCCACGCAAAAAGCTTCGATCTCGATGAATAGTTCCTGGAAAAGATAACTAAACATAGTGACTTGCTCGAAGGAAATGTTTATAGCTCTCACCTTAACATTGACGATTTTGTTGCGGATTAAGGACTGAAGAAATACGCAGACCAGACGCACAAGTCGGGATTGCATGTACTTATCCTTGACTGTTTCGCAGGTCGAGATGCAGTTGCTGATGTACAAGTGAATGAATTCCGTGGGCAGAGGTCCCGAAGTGGTTAGTCTGAATAGAGATATTATAGGGAACTTAAAGAATATGTATTGTATTTGTGAGAGGCCCTACCGGTTGACCACTTCCATGGAGTGAAGCGTGATATCCATATTAACCAATATATTAAAGTACTCCGTTATATCGGTGGTCATCATCAGTCTTAGTAAAATCTCAATGGAAATTAGGGGATTGTTTTCAACGAGCAGAGGTAGCTAAAGAAAAAGTTTTGTTATTGAATATTATCATAGATCTCTTTGGGTAACTCACTTTGGCTGGGGTCAGTCCATATTGCCGTGCAATGTCCGTGTTTTGTTTTAGAAGGTCGTCGAACAAAATGTGCTGATCCTGCAGACTGAGTGGCTGAAGGAATGCCTGTTCAATGAGATGCTTCGTGTTGGGAGTAACGTAGTTGGACTGGTCGTAAAGGATCTCCACCTTATCGCTGTTCGACTGGTTTATCCACAGCAGTTCGTCCTCGAAATCCATTAAGGGCGGTGCGATGGACAGAAACATGTTGGCTACCTAGTTTTAATTTGGAGTTAATGCCGCAAGTTTTCATAAGACTTGATTTGTCTTGTCTTGAAAGTAAAATTTATAAACAATATTAGTGTGACCTTAAGAGAAAGCGTTGGAAAAGACTTGTGTTTGAGATATTTTTAAATTATAAGTAAGCATTAAAATTAAAAGTAGGCATTAAAAGCTTTAATACATAATAAAAATATTATAAAAAATATATTTAAATAATTTATTTAGCCATAATTAGGCATGTTTCACCAATTCCATCGTTTCAAATTAAAGAAGCCAGAATGCGTTAGCCACTTATGTCATGTTTGGCCACACTGCGTTTCCGGATTTTGTAAATCTTCCCAAAAAGTATCAGCGGCATTGTTGCTGCGACAGCCTGATCTTGCCGAGCAATGATTTAAATCCCTAAAAACAAATAATAATAACGTTAAAATGGACCGCGGCAAGGGAAGCGGCTCGAATAGATCCCAAAAGAAGGTCCCGCTGGGCGGAGAACTCTTCGCCCTTGGCACCAAGAGCGTTCGCGATGACTCCAAGTCCAAGATCCTGCCCATAAAAGCTATTTCCTCCTCCGATCGCAAGCGCGAAGCCTCCTCCTCGTTGGCCAGCTCCAGCAAGCGGTTCCGCGGGAATCTGAAAGATGCGGGCGCCACGGACATCTCCGCCGGCAGCAGCCAGTGCGAGACGTGGGAGCAGTTCGCCATCGACTGCGATTTGGAGTCCGTAATCGAGACCATCTACGCAGCCCTGGAGCAGAACGACAACGAAACAGTGGGCCGGCTGGTCTGCGGCGTCATAAAACAGACAACGACGACGGCGACGACGGGCTCGGCGCGCTCCAAGGTGGATAACATAGCCCTGCTGGCCCTGATCTACGTGGCCAAGCTGCAGCCGAGTATATTCTGCACGGATATCGTGGCCTGCGCTTTGTTATCCTTTCTGCGGCGCGAGGCTAATGTGAAAATGCGGTACAACACGAATCTGCACATCCTGTTTGCCAATCTGCTGACCCGGGGCTTCATGGAGACCAACCAGTGGCCGGAGATCCTGCTGCGCACCTACATAGACGATGCGGTCAACGAGCGTTACTGGGCGGACAATGAGCTGTGTGCTCCGCTCGTGAAAAACATATGCGCTGCCTTCAAGACCCGCACTCCGCACATAAGTCTGCTGCGGTGGGATGTGAGCACCGCTCTGCCGTCGGGTCAGACGCACAGGGACAGCATGACCGTGGACGACGATTCGGGGGACAACTCCACGCAGAGCCTGGACGCAAGTCCCCTGAATACCGGCGAATCGGAGCCCATTTCCGATGCCATGTGCACCACTAAACCCAGATTTAGCGATGCTGTGGTGCAGAAGCATGTCAGCGATGCTATTCGGGATCAGCTAAACAAACGCCAGCAGCAGGATAACTACACGAGGAACTTTCTCAAGTTCCTCTGCACCACCGCCGGCATAGCAGAGGTGCGGTGCCTGAGCATCTCCCGGCTGGAGCTGTGGATCCACAACGGCAAGCTGGTCAAGTTCGCCCAGCAACTGCTCTCGTACATCTGCTTCAACATCAAGGGTCGCAGCACGCAGGACAACGAAGTGCTCTTGGTCCTGGTGAAGATGCGTCTTAAAACCAAGCCCCTGATCAACCACTATATGTCTTGCCTGAAGGAGATGATCTACCTGCAGCCGGACATCTTAAGTACCGTGATGAAACTGGTCGTGCAAAATGAGCTGTCGAACACCAGGAATCCGAACAATATGGGAATGCTGGGTAAATGAACAAAGGGTTCTCTGAAAGTATCAAATTTATTAACCATATCTAATATTCCCTGTAACAGCCACTATGTTTCAAACGTCTTCTGACCAATCCGCCGCCAATCTGGCTGAAATCTACCAGGAATTCTTGCTCCAGCGAGACGATTGCCTACGCACCCTGCGCGTCTTCTTAAGGGAGCTCGTGCGAATGCTGCGCTTCGATGTGAACCTGGTCAAGTTTTGCAAGACATTTCTGAGCGAGCGAGAGGACCTGACGCCGCAAATCGAAATGTTCGAGTTCAAGGAGCGAATCTTTCAGTCCATGGTGGACATTGTGTGTCTCTGCATGTTTCTTTCGGCCACTCCGCAGGCCAGGGAGGCCAGTTTGTCGCTAAAGACCAATCGGGATACAAAGAACAATCATGCGCTGCTCAAGCTGTACAACCAGATGTCGCAGATTCAACTGGACACCGTGTCCTGGATGTACGAAACAGTGCCCACTGTCTTCAAGATTCCAGCCGCCGAGTATCATCAGGCGCTGCACAAGCTGCTGCTGCTGGACAGTCCGGAGCAGTATTCGCGCTGCGATCAGTGGCCATCGGAGCCGGAGCGAGGAGCCATACTGAGGATAATCTCGGAGACGCCGATTCACGAGGAGACCCTGCTGCGAATCATTTTAATTGGCATCACCAAGGATATTCCCTTCTCCATCGCGAACACCTTCGATGTCCTGCTGCTGGTCATCAAGCGAGTGTCCGGCATGAAGGCCACCAATATACCGGCTGTGCAGGCCAACAAGTTCGACATCATCGACTTTCTGTTCAGCATGTCCGAGTACCATCATCCGGAGAATATCCGATTGCCCTCGGACTACGAGCCACCCAAACTGGCCATCATTGCGTTTTACTGGAAGGCCTGGCTCATTTTGCTCATGATATCCGCCCACAATCCCTCCTCATTCGGAGCCTTTTGCTGGGATCACTATCCCACCATGAAGATGATGATGGAAATATGCATTACCAATCAGTTTAACAACTCGGCAGCCAACAAGGATGAGTTGCAGGTGGGTTTTATTTAAGTTTAAGTACTTTTATGTACTACAATAATTTTATTCCAGATAATCACCGTGGAAAGGGATCACATTCTGCAGTTCGAAACGTACTTGGCTGCCCAGACATCGCCTCATGCTGTTATCACCGAGGAGACTGCCATTCTGATCACCCAACTCATGCTGATGGATCCAATGGGCACGCCACGCAAAGTGCCTTCGATGGTGTTGGATCAGCTCAAGTTTCTTAATCAAACCTACAAGCTGGGCCACCTGTTCTGTCGCTGCCGCAAGCCGGACTTGCTGCTGGACATTATCCAGCGGCAGGGCACCACGCAATCGATGCCCTGGCTTTCTGACCTCGTTCAGAACAGCGAGGGCGACTTCAGCCATCTGCCAGTGCAGTGCCTGTGCGAATTTTTGCTCTTCAATGCGCACATTATCAACGAGGAAAACAGTCGCGATGCCGAACTGGTCAATTTCCTCAGAAACTTGATATTCGATGGCAATCAGAGCCACCAAATCGTTTGCGAGCTGTTGGACTACATATTTAGGCGGCTATCGTCGACGGTAAAACAATCCCGGGTGGCTGCTCTCTCGGGTCTGAAGATCATCTTCCGTCACTCCGGTGACTTCGAAAACGAATGGCTCTTGAAGTCGATCCAGCAGATTCCGCACTTCTTCGAGGTCAAACCCTTTATAATTCCCCAGCTGCGAGCTGCCTGCCAAGTGGAGAATTGTCCCGAGTTGATTATGGCCTACATTCAGTTCATAACTGCCCACACGCTGAACGATCCGGTGAACGAAATGCTGGATCATGTCATCGATATGGCGCAGCTGATTGTGGAGCGCAGCACAATGTTCCAGCACATCATTATATCCCAGGAGGACTATGATTACGTGCCCGACGAGAACCGCATTCAGACACTCAAGTGCCTGTTCGTCATGTTCAATAACTATATCATCAAGCTGCGCGAGTACCATGAACCGTACGAGTGGACTGAATACCCGGACTTGCTGATGGTTCAGTTTGACGATGGAGTGCAACTGCCGCTCCACATAAACATCATTCACGCCTTCATTATCCTGCTCACCTATTCGAACAGCAACATGCCCGAATCGATACCCATATTGGATTACTGGTTCCCGCCAGGACGTCCGGCGCCGGTGGCCTTTCTGCCCAGCATGCCGCAGGAGCAGGTTCAACTGCTGCCCGACTGGCTGAAGCTAAAGATGATCCGGTCCTCGGTGGACAGGCTAATTGAGGCCGCTTTGAACGACCTGACGCCCGACCAGATTGTGCTGTTTGTGCAGAACTTCGGCACGCCTGTGAACTCGATGTCCAAGCTGCTGGCCATGCTGGACACCGCTGTGCTGGAGCAGTTCGACCTGGTGAAGAATGCCATTCTGAACAAGGCCTATCTGGCGCAGCTCATTGAGATTCAGCAGGCGCGGGGTGCCAAGAACGGACACTACACCGTGCAGGCGCTCGATCTGCATTCGCACTCGCAAACGGTGCCGGATCTGCCCAAGATCAGTGTGGTTATCCAGGAAACGGTGGAGATAGGCGACTACGATTCCTTCGATTCGACCAGTGGTCCCAGTGATTTTCAGACCACCAAAGAGGTGGCCCAAACGATACTCACGCAGCCGGATCACTTGACTGTTGCGAGAACGGATTGCAGGAACTTGATTCAGAAACTGCTAGACATGCTGGCCAGCCCGAATAGCAATCGCAACGAAGTGGTCACTGCCATAACCGAGGTGATAGCTGTGGGTTGTGATGTCATCATGAGCCGGCATGCCTGCACTTTTTTGAGGACCTTCTTCAGTTGCATGCTGCACAGCGACAAATACCACATTCTGGAGAACACTCTGCAAAAGAACTTTAGTATTTTTAAGCACAATTTCACCGACTCCAGTCTGCTGCAGAAAACGGAGCTCTACCACGAGAGCTTGGTTTTCATGCTGAGAAACTCGCGAGAGATTTATGTGCAGCAGTATAAGGCGAATACCGCTTCGATGGCAAGAAAGCGGATCGTCAGGGACATCATCAAAAGCTTCGATCAGTCCAAGGACTGCAAGACGGTAGCCAAGAGCAAGAGCGACCAGCTCTTCCACAACGGGCTCTTTATCGACTGGCTGTCCGAAATGGATCCCGAAATTGTTTCAACGCAGCTGCTCAAGGAGCGTTTCCTCTTCTCAAAGTCCTGCAGCGAGTTTAGGTTCTACCTGCTCTCCCTGATCAATCACCAAACCAACTGGGATACCATCGAGCGGATAGCCGAGTACTTGTTCAAGAATTTCCATGAGGACTACGACTACGCCACGGTTCTCAACTATTTCGAGGCACTGACTACGAATCCAAAGTTGTGGAAGGGCCGCGAAAAGTACATGTCAAAGAACGTACGGCCGGATGCCTTTTTCCTGCTCAAGACCTCGGAACTCGAACCGTTTGCGCACTTCATCCTCCACGAGGGACTTGCCGAAGTGAAGGTAGACAGCAGAAACTACGACTTCAAGCTCTGCTCGCGCATGAACCTGCTCTTCAAGCTGACAGAGAAGCGAAGAGACCTCATGGTGCGGGTGATGGAGCACGTGGAGAACAGTGCCCTTTCGGACTACCTAAAGCTGCAGGTTCTGCAGCAGATGTACATCATGTATCCGCGCGTCAAGTTTCTGAAGCCAAGCAAAACCGGGGAGCAGGCCTACAAATTGCAGAGCTTGAAGGGCTGTCAGGCCGACAAGGTATCCAATAATCTAATCACCTGCTTGGGCAGTCTGGTTGGCAAGAAGGACTTTGAAACCCTGTCCACGGACACCGAGTTGCTTCTGCGCAAGCTGGCTGCCTCGCATCCGCTGCTCTTCCTTCGCCAGCTGAGCGTTCTGTCGTCCATTATGCAGGGTCGGGCGCAGCTCAGCATGAAGGCTCTGCGGGAGGAGCACCACTTCCATCGATTCGTGCAGATCCTGCGGACGCTGGAGCTGCTGCAACCGACCATCTTCGAGGACGCGTACAAGAACGAGATCCAGAACACGCTGTCGTGCTACTTTAACTTCTTCAAGCATCACAGCTCGGTGAAGGAGGCCTGTCAGATGCTGAATAAGTTTGTGCAGATGCTGCAGGCCTACATAAACTACAATCCTTCGAGTGCCCTGCTCTTCATCGAGCAGTACGTGGGCATCCTCAAGGAACTGGCCGCCAAGTACACCGCGCTGGGAAAGCTTCAGGTTCTCGTCCAGGCAGTCGCCCTGCTGCAGCACAAGTCCCACTCGGCCACCGAGCTGGACGACGAGGAGGTGAAGTACGAGTACGACCTGGACGAGCACTTCGAGGTGAAGCCATCGGCCAGCAAGCCCGCAGTGACAGAGGAGCCCGTCGAGGGCAATCCGTCTACGCCGATTGATGTGGGCGGCAGCAGGGGCGCCTCTTCGGTTCTCACCCTGGGCTCCTACAGTCGATCGAACTACACGGACATATCGCCGCACTTTCTCGATCTGATCAAGATCATCAAGCAGGCGAACACCGAGGATGTCGTGCTGGGACCCATGCAGGAGCTAGAGTGCCTCACCTCCAAGAGATTTGTGTTCATCAACGAGCTGTTCGAGCGACTGCTCAACCTGATCTTCTCGCCGAGTGCCCAGATCCGATCCATCGCTTTTATTATCCTGATCCGGCATCTCAAGCACAATCCCGGCAACTCGGACATCAATCTGTGCACCCTGAACGCCTACATTCAGTGCCTGCGGGACGAGAACTCCTCGGTGGCGGCGACGGCCATCGATAATCTGCCGGAGATGTCGGTGCTGCTGCAGGAACACGCCATCGACATCCTCTCGGTGGCCTTTTCGCTGGGTTTGAAGTCGTGCCTGAACACTGGCCACCAGATTCGAAAGGTTCTCCAGACCCTAGTGATTCAGCATGGCTATTAAATGGTCGGTTTATAAGTTAGACTTCTCATCGTATGTATATTGTAATCTTAGCTATTAGTAATAAAGTGAATCCAGCGGTACGAGATTTTTACCACACATTTGGAAATGGAATTTGTTGAAATGCCACTTCGGATCAAGTTAAATATTTCATTCTTTATTTCTACTGAAAATACAAATTATGTAGAAAATTCTCATACAAATTGGCGATATCAACAGGATACGTGCTTCCATCGCTGTTTCATGCATGCCTTGTTTGTTAAATGCAATGCACAGTGCTCGTACAGTTTATTGGCGGTCGGTGGCCCGGAGTTTCTCCTCGACGGCTTCCCGGGAGGCTTCGGAAAGATCAGTGGCTTGTATGTACTTTTGCACGCCCACCAGCGACTTCTTGAGAGCATCGAAGGAGCTGGAGTACAACATCTTCTTCTTGACCTGTGTGTGTTTGGGGGGAATTTATTAGTTTCTGGATCTGCTTGACTTAAGGTGATGAACATACCTTGGCAGTATCGGGACACCATGACATGAGGAACAGCTTTTGCTTCTTTGAACTCTCAGAGGTGCCTTGACATTGGTGCATGTACTCGAAATCGAACAATCCATACCTGTAGAAAGTGGTTAAATGTAGAAATTAGATTACGATTGATACGAAAGATAGGTATATCTATATAGTATAGAACCACAACCTACCGGCACTCTCCGGGACCGCATTTCTGGATATCTTCTAGAAACTGATCGTATTCGGCGTTGCGATCTGCCACAGTCTCCACATCAATCTGCTTCTCATCGCGAATGTAGAAAATAACATAGCGATGTTTTTTGTCCTTCTTTATTTCCTCGTATGTAGTCTTGCAGACATCAGACACAGTTACACCAGAAGCCTAGAAAATAAGAGAGAAAAAATGCACTTTAAATATATATTTTGAATATTTAAGGCGCGCGAATCTGTCAACGACAGATGTACATATGCATGAACAGACACAGGGTGCTCTGTACTATATTTTACGTCGAATTGAAATATAAAAGTCTTCATTAAATGGACATTAAATTGATGTTAATATTTTTTAATGAATACCTAATAGGTAAAATGATAAAATCAAAGTTATGCACTTACTAAAAAAAATAATATACATGAAAATAATAGAGTTAAAAACTCCTATTATACTTATACATTTTTTTTAAATATACAATTATTGTGATTCGAGGTTAAAATTCTATAACAAAAAGAAAATTTAAATCAAATAATTTATTGGAAAAGTGATTCACGTCTAAAAATTCGATTGTTTCAGGTTTTGTAGCGACATAGAACACGGGGCACCCTGTTTTTAACTTATGTAGATTTGCATGTGTGTGAGTAACTGCAGACATAACTGCCCACTTTCAGCTGACAGTATAGCCGTCTCTTTTCCGCCTCGCAAATTTTATTTCTTTTGATTGCCGGCAATAACAAACATTAAGGTAAATAATTTATGCTGCTTATTGCCATTGCTACCGCAGAACTTTTACCGCTTAAATAAGTTGGCCGCATGTGGCGCAAATACGACTGGGAGTGGTGGGCGTGGCACCATTTACAGCTCATTCTCCCCTTTTTTTTCATTTGCCGGCGCTCAAAAAGTTCAAGGGTAAGTTCACAAGTGCCGGCAAGTTTAAGGGTGAGAACAAGCCGAGAAAACAGAGAAGAAAAATGAGAAATGGGAGGGGTGGCAGTTCGATTGTTTTCCCCACATTTACCCCCCACAGAAAAGAGAGAAGAAAATGCAAGATTTTCCATAATATTCGGGGAAAATGCGGACAAAATCAAACCTATCATACATACAGACGTCTGCACCACACACACAAGCAGACAAGAGACATACGTACATACACCAGGCGCAAGGAAACGATCACACCTTAAATATGTATGCCTGGATATATATTTTTGTACATATTTCTGTATGGTAATATAGTTTTACATACACACATTTTGCGTCTGCGAGAAAATAAGCATTAAGCATTTGCCCCGCAGATACATACATACGTACGTACATATTTATAGCCATCGGAAATATAAAAAAAGCGGTATACCCACACACACTCAAGTGTGTAAAAATATAATACATATAGACATGAAAATCGAAATGTGTGTGCATTTCTCTTTCCAACTTTTTAATTTTTAATCACTCCATTTTTCCAGCAGCTGCTTTTTTGAGCATTCTTCTGCGATTGCTTTTCGCGAATTTACCATTTATGAGTGTGAGAGTATGAAACACTTCAATAAATGAGTAATATCCGCCTGCTACCAATGACTAATTTGGTATATATGTATACGCACACATTCATGACCATGTATATGCCCGAATATGGCCAACGTACATATCGGCAAAAAAAAGTTGAAATATATGTATGATTGGTATATACACACTTATCTGAATGTATGTATATACAGATTTCAAAGGAGATGCTTATATGATTCATCGAATCGAAGACACTTATTCGCACTCCTACTCGGTCTTCCAGTATTTATCCAAAGCGCCTGATTTTCCCACCGAATCTGATTCAGAGTCACCAGTGTACGTACCATTTTTCCTGTAGTTTTTTACTTTCACAATTTTCAAATTGCCTGCAAAGTATATATTACAAATACTGTTTAACCTTCCGCCTTCTTTCACGAACAACCGGACGAATCAATTTGGTCGCTTATTTCGCATAGGGTAGAGTTGCCAGGCGCGTGCGAAATATCAACATGCGTCGTGACGCGTCATGAACGTTTGTTCTGCGTTTGAAACGGTGGAATGGCACAGTTTTTGCCAAATAATTATTTAATTCGATTAAAAAATAAAGTTGATTTTATATACTTTCCATTTCCAGACAGCGCTTATCAAAATTGTTTTTCCCAATCTCATAACATTCCAAAAGTAGTAGTATTCTTTGTTTTATTTAATTCTTAAGGTAATTAGTACAACGATTGCGATGAAATTTGTATTTAACAATTTATATATTAAAAGCGTCATTATTAACGATAAATATATTTTGACTAACAAGCAGACCGAAAACTGTAATGTATTTAGCAGAGACCTCCTTCGTCCTCGTCGTTATTGGTTTCCTAAAATGTGGGAAAAATAGTTTTTTAATCACTCAGCTGTTTTTACATTTATCGATATTTGGAAAATTTGATTAAAAGTAAACATTTGCTATCGGAAACGGAACTTTCAAAATGAAAAATAAACTACATTTGCAACAAAAAAAAAAAAAATAATAAAAACTATTAGTACTTACAACTCCAGCATTATCGCTGCTTTTCTTCTCCAGCTGAATACCCTGAGGTAATGGAATGTTTTTGGATAGAATTGCATACTCAACGTCCATATGTCGGATAAATGGAGAAGCCAGCATCCTGGCAGCTAATTCAGGGTCCTCATCATCAAAAGCCTGCAAAAGTGTTTGCAACGTGGATACTTCTTCTGGCTCACAGCAATTGCCCCATTCCCTGAAGGTCTTTTCGGCTTCCACAGAATCTCCGCGAGCTAATTGTACCATTACCAAGGCCACGACCAAGCGCCCAATTTGGCCATAGGATTCTGTTTGCTGATTTAAGCTTATCTCTTTCTTGAGCGCATTTGTGGCTTCTTCGTACCTGATAGATTTTAAATTGAGAACATTATTCTCGTTGATGTGATAAATGGAGTACATACCTCCTGAGTTTGACCAGTATTCTGGAAACTTTTGATGCATATTCAGCTGCTTGACGGACGGAATCCTCAATCTGTAGGAAAATGGATCAACATTAACAAAATAAATAATAACATTAAATAATGGTACTCGCCATTATAACTTCTAGAGCGTGTTGGTAGAATCTCAATGCCATGTCAGGATGCTTGGATTCGGTTAATTTGGCTGCCTTATCCAATGCGGATGCAGCAGCTTCTGGAGAACCATGCTGTTGATACAAATTGGCAGACTTGTTGGCGTACTCCTCAACTTCGTGTAATTTATCAGAATCCTTAGACAGCAAAATAATCTAAAAGATACGTAAGTGTTTAAGATTTATACCGATGTATTCAGCTATTAACAACATCTATTGATATAAGATTTAAATCCAACCGAATTGGGGGATTTTCAGGCTCATTATAATATTTTGTACCAACCTGCTCGTATGCCTTTGCCGCATGGAACCAAGACTTGTTGTTCTTATAACAATCAATCGCCTTCAGAAAACAATCCTTGCTCTTATCATAGCTTTTGGCTATTCGATATGCGGTTGCTGGAAATAAAATGGTTTATACAATTTAGTAATTTTACTTGATAGTTATTAAAAACATAAAATTCTTTGACATTCACAAATACATATGTGTATACCCAAACCACGTATACAAATGTGTGTGTATCACCAATATAAGATGGTATAATGGTAATCTTATAGTAAAAATAGGATTTAGATACTTTTTTCACAGATATCTTTTACTGTTATTATTAATGGAAAATATTAGTCACACCAACTTTATAGTACTCACCAGCTTTGGAATACTCATCCGCAGCACTATCGTAATCAGGTACCCATTTCAACATGGACAACTTCAAACTGCAAAGATAAATTGGTTGTATTCGAAGACTCATCCACATCTGTACATTATTATTAAAAGTACCTCTTCTCGGCCTCCTTCACCAAACCCTCCGCTTCGGCAATCTTTTTAGCAGCAACTCCAGACATTTTCAACCACTTTTGTTTTGTAGGAAAAATCAATTATTGTTTACGTTTTGCAAACAGTGTGACCGAAGGCGACAAGTGAAATAACAATTCAGAAATCACGGGGGATTGAAAACTTTAGGCAGGTGTCGCAGTACGCATGTCCAAAAAAATTAAAAAAAAACAAGAATAGAATAAAAAAAATGTTTTTGTCTATTTAGTTAAATAATTCTTCTTCTATGGGTGTTTTAAAACACATAGTTATTGAAACAATTTTTTTATATTTCCAGAATTTAAAATGTACCACTAACGTCAAGCATGGGAAAAAAATTTGGATTATTTTATAAAAAAAAACTTTCACTTAAATTTACGAATTAATAACAATTAGCATATTTATAAATAAAAACAAAGGATTGCCTTTGCGAAAAATGTTTTTATTAATTTGTGCTATTTAAAAAGCCGCTGCGAAGATTCCAAATTGAAGAGCATTAATGATTCTTAACCTAAACACATAGATTTAAGTTTTTTAACAAAATAAGAGATTATTTCCAAAATGTTAAGTAATGATGCGCCAAAGAAGAGTCCGATCACACTTCCAATGCCAACTGGAAAGTTAAAATGAGTACAAAGATTAATGATGAAAGACGTAATGGAACTTACCTATAAGATCTAGTTTGGTCTGGGTAACTGTTCTGTAATATCTTGCGGTAGGTGGAGAAGTTATTTGTATTTCGACCACATTCTCCGAATTTTCGTAGGTTCTACTTCTATCTTCTCGAGACCTATAAGTGTGTAGAAATTGAGAATAAATATATATTACAAATAATTACAAATCAATCGCTTACCCGACCAGGCTAAGCTGTTGTTCCATGCAGGACGGCAAACAAGACATATTAGACCCAACAAAGGCCTTAACTTTTTCGGCCAGTTTTGCTGAAATTATATGATTAAAGCATTTACATTACCACTCCTAGCAATTTATGTTACCTTCGTCTAAGCAGGCAATATTGGTCACTCCGCAATAGTTTTTTGAACCTAAAAAAACGATAATATGATAAAGTGTTTGATTTCAATTCACGAAATTACTTCGATCTTTGTGAGTAAATAGAGTGCAGTTACACAGTTTCATTTCAATTTCACTTCGGATGAGAGACATGCAGATCGAAAAACTGTGGGAATATATTTGAGAAAATTAAAGATTAAATTCATAAGAGTCAGCTGACCTGTAAGGCAATCCCTCGATAGAACTTTCACTTGGGAACTTGCACAGCCGTTGAGAAATAGGCTCCTTAATGACATCATCGTGATTGTGAATCTCCTCGACATTAAAGGCATGTATTGTTGGCTCGTTGGAGATCGGGTAAGTTATAGCATTAAAATATGGGAGGTCCTCAGGACTGCTAACAAACAACTAAAAATTGGCACAATATAAATTGTATGTTGCGTACTAATATATGAAGGGTTCTTACTTCATACCCATATACAAGACCACTTCGTAAAACCAATCTGAGGCTCCTGTATTTATCCAATGAAGAATATTGCAAAGGCATTTTTTCGGCGCTGTCGCTGGGAAATTTTAAAGAAATATCCTTTTAAATATTAGTTGAATGTTGATTTCTAATAAAACTTACTAGTCTATAAAATTGTTAGCAAGAAAGCAATAACCCATTTCTAGTTCATGAAATTTGAATATTTTTTCGCAGTCCGGTAGCAGTTTTTCATTAAAGTAAATTTGCTCAAAAAACTTGGTACAATTTCTGGGGAATAACTATATCGAGAATCGTAAAAATAAACTGTAAAATAGTATGAAAAAAACTACAAAATACAAAACAGTACCTGTCTTCTCATATCTTGAATATCAACTCCACATGATGAATTCAGATCGAGGCAATAATCCGGCTTTATGTACAAATTATTGGGATTTATAAATAGGTAATCGTATAACGTTCTTATATAGGTGTAGGGTTGTTTCTCTCCAGGAAAACGTTTTTGAATAGCCTCCGTAAACTCTTTGGTTATACGGCTTTTTGACAGACAGACTCCAATAGATGGGAAGGTGTTGGTCCAACGAGAGTAAGCAGTTGAGACTCCTATACTCGTGGAATCTGTTTCATATCTATTCTTCAGAAGAACGAATATTGTTATCATGTTCCATCCAGAAATGAGTACCACAAATATCCAAAATAATCTGCAGTGATAATTTGAAGTTGAGTATTTAATTCACAGATCAAATATTTGTTATTGGAAAATTTACCTCTTATTGCTAACAAGAAATATTAAAAATTTTGTAAAAGCTTTGACTGCTTTACTCGACATTTTGCATCGTATTGATTACATTTTGTCTACAATAAAAAGTGTAAGCGTTTGGAAATTAGTATATTATATATGTGTCCCCATTCGTCACGCAATTTTGGATGCACAACACATCCTTTTTTTAAGATACCGAATGATGCACGCAAGGTTTTAATGTATTAATGAGATTTTTCAACGATAAGAAAAAACACAGGTTTAAACACAAATATGCTGAATATATTTTATATGTGCTCGACAATGTTAAGTTGAAAACGGAATAGAAGTTTAAGATCCATAGTTTTAAACGTTTTCAATGAAAAAGGGTTAAGTAAATATGTTCTGGGCCAATAGTCTTTTACAACGCCAACAGCTAAAAATATTCAATATACAATCTGTTAAAATCGAAGCTATCCAAATCTAACCTGGTGGATCTTCTATAGTGGAGATTCTATTTCTATATCGATCAGATATGCCCTCAGGTCATCTCTAGTTTTGGTTTTTTCAGCATCAAAAACGACGTTTCGATGCACGCAGGATGGTAAACATGGCGTAAAAGCCGGTGCTAGAGACCAATGTCTAGCTTCTGCAAGTTTTAGTAAAATTTGAATTCTATAATTTTTTTACAATTTTAATAAATGTCGTTACTTTTGCCCACGCAATCTACTCCCTCGATTCCGCAAAAGTTTTTTGAACCTAAGAAACTCAAATACATTAGAAAATATTATGGAGTAATGTAACTTAACTTACTTTGATCACTATAACTGAATAGAGTGCAGTTGCATTTCTCCAACTCTATTTCACTAAGGATATTGCCCATACACGTCGAACGACTGTTGGAAAATGTTTAAAAGAAAATAGGGATGAAATACAATGTTAGGACGCACCTGTAAGGATATCCTTTGATAGTACTTTCATTTGGAAATCTACACTGCCGTTTAGAAATGGGTTCGTTGATCGATTTGCTATTAGGATTCGCAACCACTTTAAAAACGTCCTTCTTAGGAATGTATGAAATCGAATAACCTGAACTATTAAAATTCGGCAAATCCTCATTGCTTTGAACATAATACTAAAAAATATAAAAACTTATTTATCAACGATCATATTAGTTTTTGTTTTTACTTCATAATTATATATTGGGGGGGGTCGAAGGACCAGTCGTAGAACCGGGTTTTTTTCCGACGAAGAATACTGCAAGGGCATTTGTTCTGCACTGTCACTGAGGGAATTACAAGTAAAAGTTAAATTTTATTTAAAATAACTGATGTTTAAGCTTACTAGTCCATATAGTTGTTTGCAAGAAAGCAATAACCATGTTCTAGCTCATGAAACTTAAATATTTTTTCGCAGTCCGGTATCAGTTTTCCAGTAAAGTAGACTTGATCAAAAAACTCCTTGCACGTTCTAGGGAATAACTATCAACGGGAGGGTAAATCTTAAATAAGAGAGATCATATCATATGTTACCATTATTTAACCTCTCTCCTTAAGTCCAAAATATCAACGTCCCACGAAGAATTGCTAAGTGGCCCAATGTAAGTGTCGGTTGACTTTACATAAAAATAATTGTATAAGGCTTTCATATCGCGGTAAGATATTTTTTGTTTTCCGGGAAAACGCATGTGAAGAGCATTCCAAAATTCATCGCCAATCCTGTGTTTTGTCAGACATATTGCTACTGATGGAAATGTCGTACAATTCGTTTCATATATATTCTTTAAAACAATGAGCACAAATATCCAAAATAACCTGAAATGATACAAAATTAAAGATTTTAACTAGAAAAACAGATTTATACCTTTTATTTTCAACCAGAGATATTATGGCTGCTTTTCCCGACATTTTGCTCTTAATTATTATAAGTTCCATATTACCTTAACTTATATAGAGATGCCTATGAGCATTTAGTAAACAATTATAATTAATCAGGCATGCGATCATTTAGTAAATAATTAAAAGTAATCAGGCATGCAATCTTTCCGATTCATAAAACATTCTTTAATTAAAATGATTATGCAGGCAACGTTTAAATGCATTAATGGGTATCAAACAAAATGGGCAAATATTTTGAGAAAGTTAAGACACCTTATGAAAGTGTATTCAATTATATGGCTGCAACAATTATAACAGAGAAGATGAGCTTGTCCAAGCGTTCATTTTTATGCTCCATAGCACACACGCTAGCATTGAGATGCAGCATCTGAAAACTATCTTAACAACCATCATTCATAGGGCAACGTAAGGAAAGCTAATAGTAAAGTTTTTTCCAATATTTAAGGACACTCCGTTTGGGACAGGAGCAGTCATAAAGTATAATAATGTAACTCTATCTTTAAAACAACATAAAATTTATTCGGCAATATTACAATTTTAAAAGTGTGAATGATTTAGCAAATTTATATCCCCTTGCATAGTCTACAAAACCTTCGATTCCAAGCCAAGTATCAAATAATTTGGATGAAAAACCAATGCTAGTAGTCTTTAGTTGCCTGCAGTAAAAAGTATTCGTACAAAATGTTGGGGAAAGTGAAAAACAGCATTATTGTCATTTACATGACAATAGGTATGAAAGCCAGAGTCTATTATAACCCTTAAAATTAAAGTGACTTTTATTTATTTTACAGGACTGTTTTATATTCTGCTTAATATAAAGGCATCTTCTACTTACATGAGACCAAAACGACAGGTAAATATATATCAAATTGATATCTCTCTAGAAGAAAAGCGAAAGTACCTCAATCAACTTTCAGATGTGGTCGATGGATCATCCAGCCATTTTCTTATATAGACAACATCCAAACGCTATGCGAAAGTTTTATTGGTACAACAATAGGACCCCGATTTTGGTAGGAAAAATGCGACTAAAAAACTATATGCGTAATATGCAGATGTTACCAAGATATGTACACTCTCCTGTTCCATATCACGAAGGTTATGGAAATTCAAAAAGGTATGCTGTATTTGTTGTATAGATGAGATCACTCTTTCTATCTATTTTTCAGGAGTGTCTTTAGGGACTTAAATAATATTCATGGTTTCAAAACCACCTCCACACCATCTACTACTACTACAGTGGACTACGTTGCGGCTCCTGTTAACACAATTGAGTATAGTTCGGTTCCCGTAAACCCACCAGTGGATTTCAATATAGCTCCCGTCAACGCGTTCGTACCTCTAACGGCGGGAACACTTTCAAACGCAGAACGCTTGATGGGCGTTCCGAATCATTCAGACTACTCCACTGAAAGCTGGAAAACATGCACAGAGAACTGCTTCAAAAACTCGTTTCCGGACCAATCTAGCTCGCACAGTATGCCCAGTGAACAACCAGTGACCACAACAACTACTCTGCCTTACTTTAACTACGTTGCTCATACCTACTTTACTTTAGACGATGTAATTCTACCCCACTCTGCATCAAAATTGGCTAAGTCCCCAACAAAAGACCAAGATTTTCGACCTAGTCACCCAGTATTCACTACAGAAAGTCCCCAAGAGGTTTTTACTGAGCGAGTTACGCGTACCACACAACCCATTCCTACTAGTACTACGACTGAATTTTCTTTGCCAGCGAAGACCACATACTTTGATTTTGAATATAGCACCAGACCAAATTGGTTTAGTTCGACCACCTCAACCACTACAACAACAACAACTGAATCTCCCGTTTTTCAAAATCCAACTATTTGGACAACACCGCAACCTATACAAAATAGCTTTTCTACAGCGAATGTCACAACGCAATCCTACAAACATAGGTTCAAATCCATGAAAGCCACCAAAAACTTTTCGTCAAGTATTGAAACTAAATTGAAATTATTAAAGCTTCATCTTAAAAATCTAGTTACAACTAAAGAAACGCCAAAGAACATTCAAAATATAACGACAGCAGCGGTTTTCGATAGTAACACCACTTTACCCGATACAACTACTACACCCACTCCAGCAACAAGAAAAACAAATGTGAATAGAAAATTGAGAAAACTCCGAGTGTTGGCATCAACAAAAAAAGTCCCGGTTCAAGTAACAAGAAATTCTACAAATTCCAATAAACCAAAAGTGGAATATAAAAAATCAAAAAGAATTTATCAAAGGCGGAAACACCTTAATTCCACTGTAATCCCAGTGCCAACAAAAAACACAACAATCGATAGCGACAACGAACCGAATAAGTTTAAACGCCGCACAACAACAAGCACCCAAAAATCGCCCATTACCGATGAAAATTTAATCTTTCGAAACTCGTCGAAATCAACGAGACAAACTGTGGCTAAATCTCGCGCCGATGGAATACCAGAAGAAAAATTGGCGCTTGTCACGGAATCTGCAATAATGACTATTTCCAGCGGCACTATTAAAATGAGGCAGCCAGTAACTAAAGTAAAGTCCAAGCAGCACAGCTCCAGAAAAATAAAACATTTAGAGAACGACAACTTTATACCGTCCTTGCCCATTGAGGTATATTTCAAGAAAGTAAATCAGCAGTAAATACGTATAGTCATGCATATAAAATGTGTAAATTAACAGAGGAATATTAAATAATATTTATATTAACAGAGACATTACTAAGCACAAATTAAAAATATGTGTTTTATTTTAGTTATCATATTATAAAAATATATGAATTAGCAAAAAAAATTAAAACACAAATTTATTCTTACAGGTATATTATTCGTTCATTTTTATTTTCTGATTTCCGAATAAGTTGGCAGGCCCATATACGGTTTGCAAAAATTCCAATTAGGTCTCTAATTCCGATTCCACCGTCCCTAAAACAAGCGAAAGCGGAATGCGCTGATAATTCCGAGTGCTAAGATGCACCACTGCTCCTCTCTTATTATTGACCGGAAACAAAACGTGGGTTTGATTCGATAGCAGGGTTCTTTCATTTTACATCTTCGGTTGGAACAGTCACTGGACTTTGCAAGTAGGTTAGTAATTTCGCATTTTTGCGGATTAAAAATTTGCAAATTGATCCGTGAAACGCCGGAAATGTTTACTGGCGCTTGGAGATCACTGAAACAGTTGGAAAATTAGTGGGAGCTAGTAGAATTAACCTCTTATGTGCGAAAGAAAGTATTTACACACATATGTGCATACATATATGTACAATTCTGCAGTACACAACTTTCAAGTGCCGTGTCTCGATGACTTTGCCAATTTAAATGTTTGAACATTAAAGTGCTTGGGTGTGCATTTGGCATACGACATTTTGGATACATACATATATGGCCTGCCGAGATATATATATATATACATATGTATGCATTTTTCGGCTTGCACACACTCGTATTTACATACATACTTGCGAATCTGTCTGTGTCTGTATGTATCCATAGAACTCTGATGTATATAGTGTGCTTTCTACACTGACGGATGTCTCTTTGTGCTTAGCTTTAATTTATTTAATTCGTAATCAATTACCAAATAATTAATCGAATCAACTTCTTGTGTCGTGGCAGATATGGCTGATTTGGACGATCATTTCGATGTGGCAGATTCCGGCGCATCGACGACCTATCCCATGCAATGTTCGGCATTGCGCAAAAACGGATTCGTCATGCTGAAGTCCCGGCCATGCAAGATTGTCGAGATGTCTACTTCAAAGACTGGAAAGCACGGACACGCCAAGGTTCACATGGTTGGCATTGACATTTTCTCCAACAAGAAGTGAGTATACGGGTTTTCCTATTCTATGCAGCAGCACAAAGGAGGCTCTTCAATATTATCACCAAAAAGCGTTCGCAAGTAATCTTATCTCGGGACTAAAGTTATCAATAAATTTATGGAGAGTGGAGTCCACCGGTGCGACGCTATTTTCTCGAAGGCTTTCTTAAGCTTTAATTATGCAAGATGTCTGCGATTATCCCCTTACTAAACACCACTTTTAATTATCTCATCCTTGCAGATATGAAGATATTTGCCCATCTACTCACAACATGGACGTGCCCCATGTTAAAAGGGAAGACCTTCAGTTGATTGCTATAAGTGATGACGGCTTCCTTACAATGATGAACGAGGGCGGAGATTTGCGTGAAGACTTGAAGGTTCCAGACGGTGAATTGGGCGAGCAATTGCGTGCAGATTTTGATAATGGCAAGGACTTACTGGTGAGTTTCCTCTGCGGATGTTTCCGTGAATTCGATCTGATCAAATCCTTTGTTTTTGTTTCCAGTGCACCGTTCTCAAGGCTTGCGGAGAAGAGTGTGTTATCGCAATTAAAACCAATACTGCTCTGGACAAATAAGCAAATTGTGTCGCTGTAAATTTCTGTTGCATTTACATCTGAAACAAATTTATTCAAAGATGCTGTTATAGGCTAGTTGGCTCTACATCTTAAATCTGGTTCTAACGATTGTAATAAATATAACAGAAACTCGAAGCATCCATGTTTGAATAACTAAGTAACAAGATACACGTTTGCCAATAAAATTTTTTACCTAAACGTCATCCGTAAAATTTCATCCGCTTACTTTTCATTTCTTCTGTGGTACAAGCTGTTGAGGACAAATTTCTCAGCCGTGGGACGCCTTTTTTCCAGCAAAGAAATGTTTATGGGGAAAGTAAACAAAATGCTTGATTGACAGGAGAGAATGGCGTCACTTAGCATGCCGACAGTAAACAGGGCGGGAACCAGATGGGGTGATGCTACCGGTTTTGAATGGAATCGGTTCGGTAGAAAATCTATTAATTTGTTAATATAGGTGATAATATTAGAGGTGACCTATCAGAAAAATAACCAACAATCAATTTAGAAAAGAAACAATGTGAATTTGAAAAAAGGTGGGACGATTGTACAATAAATTTTATTATGTATATTAATTGAGGCAGGTCAAAATTTTACAACCATACCGGTGCGTTTAAAAATTTGAATTGCTTAATAGATTTCAAAACTGAAAAAAAGGGTACATGTTTCGGAACTTCGGAAGTAAGGGAACATACATATATAAAAAATATAACAAAATGTTATCAATTCCACGAATTGAAACGATAGTTAATTTACACCGGAATGATAAGAAATCGATATACAAATTATACTATACATTGGTCCCAAAAAATTGGTGGAATATATCAAATTAAATGAATTCTTTATTTTATAAGCTAAAAAATTGCCTTATATTCATTAGTGACTAAATTTATTTTCAACCTAAATTGATGAGCAACTCAGGACGAGCGATAAGCTGAACAATTTTCGAGAAATATTTTAGTATAGCAACTTTGTAACTAATATTTACAACCTTTTAACAATATTTAAGAGATTTAATTAATACAAAGCTTTACAAAACTTTGTAACTAATATTTACAACCATTTAACAATATTTAAGAGATTAAATTAATACAAAGCGTAATATTTAAATCAAAAATAATTACCAGGCTTATATCGTTGAACACGTTCCAATTCCGCGTTCCATTTTTGTCACTATTCATTCCGATAGCTCTTGGCGATACGTCACTTTCAACGCTCTCGCCGGAAATCGATAATCTTGTTCTTTCTTTTTCTGTGTGTCTTTTTTGCGGTACGTACGAGCTAAAACTGTCTTTGAAAAAATCGGCGAAATGTAATGTAATCTTTACCTTACAGCGACTGTTCAAGCCGAGATACCACAATGCCTCCCAAATTCGACCCCACGGAAGTTAAATTGGGTAAGTTATCCAGTGTTTGTGCGGAGACGTAGGCTCCTGAAACCAGGAATTTAAGTGGCGGCCTCAAATAACTTATTACTGTTTATCCAATTACAGTGTACCTGCGTTGCGTGGGCGGAGAAGTCGGAGCCACATCCTCCCTGGCCCCCAAGATCGGTCCCCTCGGTCTGGTAAGCATGCATCTCGGTTTGTTTACGTGCCTGTGCTAATGAGAGAATTTCCCCTGCAGTCGCCCAAAAAAATCGGTGATGACATCGCCAAGGCCACCTCTGACTGGAAGGGTCTGAAGATCACCGTCTGCCTGACCATCCAGAACCGACAGGCTGCCATCTCCGTGGTTCCCTCCGCCGCCTCTCTGATCATCAAGGCTCTGAAGGAACCCCCACGTGACCGCAAGAAGCAGAAGAACAGTGAGTGTTAACCGGCTTGTCCTGGCGCCCTAGTGCATTTGGGTTCAGGCCTAGTTTTGGCAAAGCGAAACACAAACAACGTTCCCAAGTGCACTATCCCAATTAGTTGACCGGTCAATTAACAACCACCTCCCTCCTCAATTACAGTCAAGCACAGTGGAAACATTGCCTTCGATGACATTCTGGCCATCGCCCGCGTGATGAGGCCCAGGTCCATGGCCCGTGAACTGAAGGGAACCTGCAAGGAGGTTTTGGGAACCGCCCAGAGCGTCGGCTGCACCGTTGACGGCAAGCACCCTCATGATGTTATTGACGAACTTAACGAGGGCTCCATTGAAGTTCCCGCGGAATAAACAGTTTTTAATCCAGAATTAATAAATTGTACGCGTTACAGTCTGTAATAATTGACCCAATCGGAAAGAATTTTACTTAGAGCTTATTGCCGCCAAGGTGCTTTTAGATAAGAGTTATAAGATTGTACATAAAGCGGATGGTGTAGTAGTAGAAGAGAAGTAATTGAAGTGGTTAGTGGGCAAACGATCCAAGGCTGATTTGTGGAATAAGAAACACCAAACCTTTTATAAGATATAACAAATGACCAGTATGTAAATATTAGTAAGTGCCCGCCCACCTGATTAAAACTGACTTAAGCAGTGTTTCTAGATTTCCAAGTATCTGAACATTTAGATTTGATCCGGACTCTGACAACAGCCGGACATTTGTCTAATAATGACGTAGCCTTTTTGGATGATACTCTGGTATTTCTACCTTTCAGATTAGCATTGCATCGCTTCAATGGAATTTTTCCTTTTGTAAGTAGTCATTTCAGACATCTGCGGTCAAAAATGTTTTTTATTGGCGGATTCCTATCCAATTCGTCCAAGCTATGGAAAGATTCCAAGAATAGATTCCCATTCAAACCCAACGTACAAACATAACAAGTGGTTTAATCCGAAAATTGAAAACGAATTTATTTTATATTCTTGAAAAGATCTTCAGCATTCCAACAAATTGCGGAGCTTCTGGAATCAACAGCTTACAGCTTCAACTTGGTACGCCTCCAGTGACGGCGCTTAGCGTTGTACCTGAAAATGGGAAACGGAGAGTACAAGTTAGATGGGTTCATATAATTCGATGACACAAGTTGTGGGCTAGTAGTTTTATCATGCTATCAAGGCTAAAAGTTTGATTTAAACGAAAGTACGGCATGAGCGGATCACTTAAAACTTGTTTTTAGGCAAGTTCTCGGGGGAACCATGTTTGTTTTGGCGAAATATACCGGCGCTCCCGCGTCTCCGAGAACAAAGCGAAAATTATGTTACATTTGGAACAGACATTTTAAAAACAACCGAAAACTAGCACAACATATACAATATAGATTTTCCTTTCGATTTTAGGGAAAATCGATATAAAACTCACCGGATAGTATTTCCA